GTTCACTAGGTTTGGATTGTCCTTACAGCCAGGGGTAAGGTCTTCCGTTATACCAGTTTCATGGGGGAGGGGACTGAGACTTAAAGAGGCTGTGTGCAGAGTGTGGACACCAGCTCCAGGGAGCCTCCGCGGGGAGAAGTTATGTCCTGTGTCCCCTACCTCAGGAGGCAGCCTCAACCTAGACCTGGAGGAGAGTGGCCAGCCGCTGATGCCACTTTGTTCTCACCCCAGCACTGCTCCTGTGAGGTCTACACAGGAGGTCTCTGACCTCCCACCTCTGAGAGCAGGAGGGGCGGGGTGGCTGGCGTCCACGGTGCATGGGGGGAGAGCTGGTCCTTGGGCTTCGAGGACCCGCTAGTATCCTTATTGGGAACCCTCGTGTAGTAAGATCCTACTGGCCTGCAAATCCTCTTGTGTTAGAGCTCTTGGGGCGGGCGGGGCTGCACTGGCTCTCGGGGCGGCGTGCGGAGTGCCAACTGAAAGGGCCTGTGAACGTTCTGCGCGAGTTTTAGACCCCCACTCTGCTGTGTCGTTCCCTCTCACCTTGGAGCCCATCGAACAAAACAGGTTTGGAACCAGAGCTCGTGGCTCTGGGCCTTCCCTGCCACCCCCCTCCCCACTGCGCTTCAAGCAGGTGTGGGACTGGTGATCCTCTCTGGAGTAGAATCCCAGAACCTTGTACTCTTTCACCCCTTGCACTTTCTGTGACCCACCCAAGAAGACAGCAAAGAAGTGGGGGCTGGGCCCCACTGGTTCTTGACTGGCCCCACTTAGTTTCCTGAGGTGCCTCGAGCCTCCCTCCCATCTCTCGTGTTTGCCCCTGCACTGCCAGGAACTCTGGTAGCGGCTCGGAGCCCTGGCTAGCTCAGGGTCCAGCCCTGCTGTGTTAGCATCCTGCCTGGATCGCCTCAAATGGGTTGGTAGTGAGGCTTAAATGAAGTAATGGTCTCTAGTTTCTAGTTGATTTTGTTTGTTTGTTCCTGGGCTCCCCAGGGTGATGCTGGGGGGTGGGGGTCACGCCTGGTGGTGCTCAGGGGATCAAACTCGGTGCTCCTGCATGCAAACCATGCACTTCAGCTCTTTGCGTTTGCGTGTGGGGGGCCCCGGGTCCAATCCCAGCACTGCAAACAAAACAGAATCACCCAGCCTAAAAGATTGCCTCTGAGAATTCATCAGGGCCTCTTTCAGCTCCCGTCAGGGCCTGCGTGGCTCCAGCCTGGCACGGTCATCAGCTCCGGGGTCCTCTGTCTTGCAGGCTGCTCTGAGACTTTGAGTGAATGACCGCGGGCCCTGTGGAAGCAGGTGCAGAAGGCCTCCTGCCTGTGACTGAGGGGAAGGGGGCCCCTGAAGGAGCTGGCATCTGGGGCAAGCCTGCCGCATCTCTGTCACATCACCTGAGTTCCGGTGATGCACCTGTGTTAAGAAATGACATCACTAGGTGGGGGAGGCACTTTCTGTGTCTCCCGGCCTGGTTCTGCCAGTCACGGGCCCTGCAGCCATTCACTCAACCAAAGCCACCGAGCAGCCTGTTACTCCGAGGACCCTAGAGCTGATGACTCGGCTGAAGTCTCCGCAGTCCCTGTCGTAGCAGCCACCTTGGGGGGAAGCTGAAAGAGGCAGTCTGCTTGGCTAGGTAATTTGTTTGCAAGTGCCAGGGGTGGAAAATAGGGCCTCATACCAGCAAGCACGTACTCTAGCACTGAGCTACATCTTTGGTCCTCAGAGGCAATTTTTTGAAGGTTAGGTAGAGAGGATTAGGGACGGGTAGAGGGAGGCGCGGGGGCTGTAGCTGAGGTGGCTAGTGAGGAATGCCTGGGATGTCTGGAGCATTGACCTGACTGTTTGGGGTCTCAAACGCCCTCCCCAGGCACCAGAGCTCTGATTCTTTCTAAGCAACTGCTCCCAGGGTCAAAGAATTTGGGACCTTAAGTCCAGGGTTGTTTTTGCAAGGACTCTTCCCTGAGGAGTCGAAATCAAGCTGGAGGACAGAGGATTTACCTCCACCCCCAATGCAAGCTCCTTGTCTGAGGCTGATGCTTGCCTGCCTGTTGGGCCCCCTGTGGTGAGCGCACACGAGACCCCTCACTGGCCTCTGCCCAACCTCTCTCGCTCAGGGTTACTCAGCCTTAGCGGAGTCTTTCACTGAGAGGCTGAGTGCATTCTTGAGATGGCCTCTCTTTGGAGAAAGGCTCCACGCCCCTGCTAAGCCCCTGATTGTGGTTCTGTGTGGAAAAAGCCATAAAGCAAAGAAAAAGTGATAGCTCCCCTTTGCTCCTGGAGCCTTGTGTCACCCAATATCCTCAGAGATCCTCGGCTTGGGAGTGAATGTGGATCAGAGAGGCAGGTGGGATTGTCTCTCCCTCTTTCTGTGTTAGTTGTTAAGAGGCAGACATCTAAGCAGCCCCTCCTCCTGGGGTTGCTCTGTGCTGGGCTTTGTTCCGAAGTTTCTTTCCTTGTGGTCAAAGAGGGGGAGGGGTGTCAGCCCCCCAGTGTAATTTTTTTTTTCTGGCAATTCCTGGAAGTCTTGGTTTTCTCAATAGTGATATCCAGGTTGTTAGCCCCGTTGCTGGGGCATCCTGATCATTTTCTTTTTTAAAAAATATTTCATTGTGTTTATTTACTATGGCTTTTGGGGTCACACTTGGTGATGCTCAGGGGTTACTCCTGGCTTTCCACTCAGGAATTACTCCTGGCAGTGCTTGGGGAAACCATATGGGATACTGGGGGTCAAACACAGGTCAGTCATGTGCAAGGCAAAAATGCCCTATCTGCTGTACTATCGACTATCGCTCTCGTCTCTTCCTTTTCTTCCCCCCCCCCTTTTTGGGTAACACCCAGCAGTGCACAGGGGTTACTCCTGGCTCATGCACTCAGCAATTACTCTTGGTGGTGCTCCGGGGACCATATGGGATGCTGGGAATTGAACCCGGGTCGACTACTTAGGTAGCTAACGCCCTACCCACTGTGCTATCACTCCAGCCCCCAGTCCCTTCATTTTCAAAAAAGCTTCTAAGATCCTAGATCTTAGCTCTGGTCTGATTGGGGTGACCCTGTCTGTACTTGCAGGAACTCTTCCACTTTTCTTCTTATTTCTTTACTATTTGGGCAACACCTGGTGTTACTCGGGTTTTACTCCTAGCTCTGCACTCAGGGTCATTCCTGGCAGAGCTCAAGAGACCAGATGCGGTGCTGGTGCTAGGTTGGCCACATGCAAGGCCTGTGCCCTGCCTGCTGTACTGCAGCTCCAGCTCTAACCCTTACACCTTTCTATTGGGTCAGGACTAAGTTGCCCTGAGATGGTGCTGGGGGCTACTTGCCCCTCTGCCTTCTGGGGCTGTGTACTTACCCGGGTCTGGTGGAATGGAGTTTCTCTTTCTGCCACTCTGCAGGGCCACAGGCAGCTCAGTCAGGGGATGCTAAATGACTCCTATCACTACTTCCTAAGACCACCTCTGTGTGGGCTGTGAGGACCTTTGAGCTCCTGGGTGGTCCCGCCTCATTGCCGTCCCTCTCACTCCTTAAAGGGAACAGTGCCACATTCTGTTTGCCTTTCCCCACCACAAAGACGGGGGAACTTCCAGGGAAGTTTGCTTTAAAGTGGAGTGTGTTAGGTTTCATCCCCAGGCACATCTCCAGCTCGGCTCTGGGGAGAGACCCTTGATTCCACCAGTGGTTGCGGTTGTGTGGCGCCACCTTCTGGCCACAATATATCGTCCTAGTCTGACTGCGCAGTTGATAGGTCCATTTCTGCTTGCTCCTATAATACCATGGCTTTTTGTATCACTTTGGCCTTTCTGCTTCTGCTTTACCAAGCCTCCCCCTCTTAAATGACTTTACTTCCAGTTAAGGAGATAGTACAGCGGGTGGGGTGCTTGCCTTGCCTGAGGCAGACCTGGGTTCAATCTCTGGCATTCCTTACGGTTGGTCCCCCTAGCATCACCAGGAGTGCAGAGCCAGGACTAACTCTTAGAATCACTGATGTGGTGCACCCCGCCCAAAAAAAAAATAACTAATTTCATTCCAGAGCCCAAAGGTGGAGCTCAAGGGCTGCAGTCTGCAAGCAGGGATACCAGCCTGGAGCCCAGAGCTGACTGTGAGTGGCCCACAGGCTAACCCGCCAAGGTTGCTTCCCAGACCTTGAATCAATCCTTTTTTTTTAAATTGTGGTTTGCAGTGTTGTTGATAGTTGAATTTTAAGCATATAGTATTTCAAAACCAATCCCACCACCAGTGCCAACGTGCCTCCACCAGTGTTCCCATATTCCCTCCCCCCCAACCCCTACCCCATCCCACTGTCAGCCTGATAGGCACATTACAGAATCTCAGTGGTTGCAACTTAGATACCATGTTTTCAGTATTGCTGAGTTTGTGTTTGGGGTGTATAGATTATACCACTCACCCATATTACCAGTGTAACTGAAGCCAGGCCTTGAATCCTCAAGGCAAAGAGTGTTAAGGAAAATTGTTGAGGAAGTAGGCGGGAGAGAGAGTACAGTAGTCGAGGCACTTGGCTTGTATGCACCCGACCTGAGTTCGATTCCTTGGCACCATCTATGGTGGGAGGGACCTCAGTTCCGCTGCTGCTATGGGGTCTCTGGGGAAGCTGGCCTTGAGAAGAATTGCAGCTGCACTAACTAGAGGATGGGCGAGCTGGTGGGAATGCTATCTTGGGGAGGGATTTTGATTTTGTGAATTAACTTAGAGGGATTTGCTCAGTGTGTTTGTAACAGAACTGTGGACCACCAGGTGACAAAGCTGGGTCCCCATCTTTGAGGGCTCTGTCCTTTGCTACCCTGGAAGGCACAGCAACCGTTCTGTGATTTGTTTCCCAAACAGAAAGTGGGAATTCCTGCTATCTGTTTGATGCTGAGACATGTCCAATTCCCTGTTCACTGTATTTAGTTATTCGCCAAGTACATGTGGAGTGACAGACGAGGGGGTGGGAGTGTCTGTTTAAAGAGGTGCCCTTTAGCTAAAATCTTTCATTCCCTCCTCTCCAGGCCTGGTCTCCAAGTCCTCTCCTAAGAAGCCTCGTGGACGTAACATCTTCAAGGCCCTCTTCTGCTGCTTCCGTGCCCAGCATGTTGGCCAGTCAAGCTCTTCCACGGAGCTTTCTGCTTATAAGGAGGAAGCCAACACCATTGCTAAGGTAGCTGACTCAGGGTGGTGTGATTCCAGCAAGGAAGAAACTTCTACCTGCGACCGCAGCCAGTAAGCAAGGTAGCCTTGCTGAAGGTGGCCAAGTTTTCTGGCTCAAGGGAGGCTCCTGCTGTTCATCCCAGAATAGTCCATGCTCTTGTTTCCCATTTGTGAGACACCCAGATGCCAGGTGCCCCTATGGTTTCTAGGGTCTCTGCCTTACAGCTCCTTCAGATTCCATAAATTGTGGAAAATATTTTGCATAAATTGTCTTGTGTGATTCATATAGCCACCCTTCTAGAAGATTCACAGGGTATCCACTCAGGAAAGTGGAAACTAAGATCCAGAGGATTTATACAGCACCTGAATAGTTAATGGTTTAAGAAAGGGTAATGTCAGGTTGGATAGGGTGCTTGCTTGCCTTGCACTCAGCTGACCCGTGTTCCATTCCCTAGTATCTCATATGGTCCACTGAGCACTGCCAGGATTGTTTCCTGAACACAGAGCCAGGAGTAAGCCTTCAGACTCAGGTCTCTCTGACTAAATCTTGTTGGTTGTTTCTTTGCCAAACTGGCTTCTAGGTTACTTGACTTTCTGGAAACCAAGAAATTAAAATGATGTCTGACTCTTAATAACTCCTTCCGTCACTTTCACCTCTACATGTGAGACGTTTGGGAAGATGTCTGGCATTTCACAGCCTGATCTGAAAATCATACTGCCGACACCATTGGCCCTTCTGCCAGGCTCAAAACATGAACATTCATTCAGGGTTTGGGGATGGGAGGGGAATCACTCATCCAGCAGGGGTATTGATGGTCAGGTTACAATATAAGTTTTACTAAGCTTAATTCTTTTGTTCAATTTTGTTTGAAATTTTAGTAAAGCACCATGATTTACAAAATTATTCATAATTGCATACTAAATTTTGATGAAGTTTTCCAAGTTTAGTAACATGGGTCCGCTGTCCTCCCATTGTTCATCGATTTGCTCGAGCAGGCCCAGTAACGTCTCCATTGTGAGACTTGTTACTGTGTTTGCCACATTAGATACACCACGGGGAACTTGCCAGGCTTTGCCGTGCGGGCGAGATACTCTAGGTAGCTTGCCGGCTCTCTGAGAGGGGTGGAGGTATTGAACCCAGGTCACCCCAGTCAGCCACATACAAGGCAAATGCCCTACGCACTCTGCTAGTAACATGGGAAAGAGTAAAATTGCATCATTAAGTCAGAAAGCAACATTAATATATTTTGGAGAGGGGAAGACTCTTAAAACAACTTGAAAGTATTTTTACTTTCAAAGTATACTGAAATGCCAACGTTGTTTTTTAAATGCTGAAATTTTAATGATTTTCAGCGTTTCTGTTACGAACACTACTTCGTTCTTTCATAACCATTAGTGAACGATGGGGGGAGCCTTTCATTTCTCTGCAGTCTCCCACCCCTCAATTTGGGGTCACATGGGCTTACTGTGGTATTTCATAGGGCTCAGCCCCACCCTGCCTAGACACTTCCCTCAGGAGGATTTAGGGCTTAAAAAGAAGTGTTCTCAGGGCCGGACAGATTGTACACTGGGTAAGGCATTTGCCCTGCACACTGCCAACCTGGGTCTCATCCCCAGCATCCCATATGGTCCCCCTGAGCCTCCAGGAGTGAAAACAAATATTCTCAAAAGAAGTCTGGGTGTAGGACTGAGCAAGAGGTTAATCGAGCAGAGTGAAGAATCCAGCATCTGGTTCTGCCTCTGACTCTGTCCCTTGAGTTCCTTGTTCCTCAGTTTCTCCAGTGGAGAGACAGTGGCACCAGGAACAGGCATGATCTTCTCCTTTCTCTATCAGCCCTAACGTGGAAAGGAAATTCTACCTCCCCCTTCCTTGCCCAGCTCTTTAGAAAAGTCTCTCTTGGGGCCAGAGCGGTAGTGCAGCGGGTCAGGCACTTGCCCGTGGCCCAACTGGGTTCAATTCCCAGCATCCTGTATGCTCCCCGAGCACTGCGGGTGTTGCTCAAAAATGAAGAAGCCAGAAGATACAAAGTTCCATGCGAGGCCCTTTGGGGGTTTGGCCGGAGGGCCTCGTGCTGGGGCAGTCGCCCCACCAGGCTGGGGTTGGCGTTCCCGACTCGGCTCTGACCGCCTTCTTTCCTCCCACAGTCGGACCTGCTCCAGTGTCTTCAGTACCAGTTTTATCAGGTGTGTGACTCTAGCAGAGTATGTGCTCAGAAGCCTCAGACCCTGTGGGCCCTGCTGACCCCGTGGGCTGAGGGCCGCTGGCCCCGCGCCTGGGAAAGCCTTTGCTTTCAGATACTCGCCCCGGGCCCGTCCCCAACATCCAGATCAGGTCGTGGTCCCGGTCCGAGGCTGATCTCAGCCAAGAACTCCAGGCTGTCCTTGTTCAACCGCTTGGCCTTCACGTGGGACCTGTCCTGGGTTGGTAAAATTGGGCGGTCCTCGGTCTCCTCAGTGAGCCCGTCTCTTTCGGGCATTCCCCTGAGGGGAGTAATGGGTCTTTCCTGGGCCGGATCTCAGCAGCAGTTCGCCTCTGGTTTTCTTTTGTGTTTTTTTTTTTTTTTTGCTTTTTTTTTCTTCCCCTCAATTATTTTGCCTCCCTTTATTTTTGTTTTTATTATTATTTTTTTTACAGATGCTATTGGTTTATAATAGTGTATAAGTTCAGCAGTATAGCTTCACACCTCCATATGTGTATCTGCTTCGCCTGTCCTCCAGCCCCGACCAAAGTTCTCACGCCACCACCGTGATCAGAGTCACACCCCTCTCCCCATTCCTCTAGCGCCCTTCCCCTTCTCTGGTAACCACCTTATTTTCTGGTGTCTGACAGATACTTTGCTTTGTTTGCTGACTCTGGTTCTAGATCCCAGGGACCTGCCTGCTCCCAGAGGTGACTGAGGAAGACCAAGGAAGGATCTGTGTGGTCATTGACCTGGACGAAACCCTCGTGCACAGCTCCTTTAAGGTACCTGGAGGCCTGGCGCCCTTATTCTACCTGCCGAGGCTGTCTCGTGACTCTCCCTACAGTGCTGTGAGGCAGCCTGGAGTCAGTGGGACAGTTCAGCCACATGGGCATCATAGCCACTTGGCGACACAGAGAGGAGTGTTGAGTGGGAACCTCCGCTCTTCGCAGTCTCTATCATCGGGCTGCCTCTGGGTCATGCCCCTCCCCACACACGGCAGAGGGCCACCAGAATCCCAAGGGTCTTAATCTGCCTTAGATCCTGCACCTTTCGGGGCTGGAGTGATAGTACAGTGGGTAGGGCATTTGCCTTGCACGCGGCCGACCCAGGTTCAATTCTGAGCATCCCATATGGTCCTCCCAAGCACCACCAGGAGTAACCCCTGTGCATCACCAGTGTGACCCAAAAAGCAAAAAGAAAAAAAAGATCCTGCACCTGTATTTTATAAGAATGTTTTCTAACTTAAGAAGATCTTGGGGACTGGAGAGATGGCACAGCGGGTAGGGAGTTTGTTTGCCTTGCATGCAGCCGACCCGGGTTCAATTCCCAACATCCCATATGATTGCCCAAGCACCACCAGGAGTAACCCCTGTGCATCGCCGGCTATGACCCAAAAGGGAAAAAAAAAGAAGACTACCAAAGAAACTACAGTGGCCTTGGGCACGGGTCTTGATTGTGGCTGGCCCAGGTTTGATCCCTGGCACCTTATATAGTCCTCTGATCAGTGCTGGAGTAATTGCTGAGTGCCAGGAGTAAGCCCTGAGCACAGCCCAGTGTGGCCCAAAAACCAGCTGGGAAAAGATACTAACTTTTTATCATGCTGAGCGAAATGAGTCAGAAAGAGAGGGATAGACATAGAAAGATTGCATTCATCTGGGGGATATAAAGTAACAAAGTATGAGATTAATACCCAAGAATAGCTGAGATCAGCACCAGGAGGATTACTCCATAACTTAGAGGCCAGCCGGGTATCCTAGAGGAAAGGGCAGTTCAGATAGAGAAGGGAGCGCCAAATAAAGGATGTTTGGAGGATCCTCCCAGGAGGGGAGATGCATGTCGAAAGTAGACTATGGACTGAACATGTTTGCCACTCAATGCCTCTTTTGCAGACCACAACACCCAAAAGGAGAGAGAGAACACAGGGGATTGCCCTGCCACAGAGACAGGGGGGATGGGGGGATGGGGATGGGAGGGATATTATCCATGGTGGTGGCAAATGGGCACTGGTGGAGGGATGGGTATCTGATCATTGTATAATTGAAACCAAAGCACAAAAAATTGTAAATCTACAACTGTAAAAAAAAATAAAATAAAGGGAAAAAAAGATACTAACTTTTTTTCCCCCCTTAGCTCTGGTATAACTAGATAGTTGGGGCTGAGGAGATAGTACAGCAAGTAGGGTGCTTGCCTTGTGTGCAGCCAACCTGGATTCAATCTCCAGCACCCCCCACCCACCTCCCCCAAAAAACCCAGTAACAACAACAAAAAACTGGAGAGTGGTAGGTAGGGAAACCAGAAGGGGATATTATATGCTCTGCTGGGCTGAGAACTACTTAGTGGATGGAACATCCTTGAATTTTAAGATCTGTTTCTCCTCCCTCCCCCACTCCCGGGTGCAATGGCTTTGTCAGGGACACAGGTGCAGTGTCTTCTTACCACCATGCCTCATTAACTGACCTCATTAACTTTTCTGTTTTCCAGCCTATCAACAACGCCGACTTCATAGTGCCTGTAGAGATTGAGGGAACCACTCACCAGGTGAGTTTCCTGCTGGCTCACGCCCTCCCGGAGGGCTCCGGTTTCCTCCTCTCTTCTCTCTTCAGCTTGGGTTCCATCTGCAGATCCTTTTCCCATCACCGGCCAGTGTCACGTAACACTAGTAGCTGTGATTTACTAGCACTGTCCCCCTGGTCCTGTGATGTATTAAATGTTCTCTAATCCTGAGGAGTTGGTATTCCGCTGTTGTCCCTCCTTCCCCGTGTCCACTCTCCATGTAGCTGGTGCCTTTCTTGCCCCCAGACCTGGCACCTCCTTCCTGAAGACGTCTCCCTGTCCCTGGAGTCCCTGCACTAGATTCTGCCCCCAGAAGTGCTTAGTACACATGTGTCACAGAGCACTTGAATCTGAGTCAGGCCAAGCTCCAGCCCTGTAATAACCCACTTGGCCTGTGTTAAGGATCATATGGTATTGATTGTGAGAAATCATTTACTCACTCAGCAGCTGAGAGACATCAGGATCATAGTCCCGGCATGTGTTTGCATGGCCTGGTCAAATAGTTTCTCTTTTATCTTTTTTTTTTTTTTTAATTTAATTTTTGACTTTTTGGGTCACACCCGCCGGTGCAACGCAGGGGTTACTTCTGGCTTTGCACTAAGGAATTACTCCTGGCAGTGCTCAGGGGACCGTATGGGATGCTGGGAATTGAACGCGGGTCCACCCTACCTGCTGTACTACTACTCCAGCCCCCTCAAATAGTTTTTTACAGGGAAATAAGATTTTTGGTGTCTTTGAGTTGCTGTCACTGTCCTATATCTCTTAGTCTCAATACTTCCTTCAGTGGCACCACCCCCACCTGAGCAGGTCTGTGGGGCTGAGCGCCAGCCCCTCATCAGTGCCAGCTCCTTTCCAGCAGGTCAAGGGTATAGAAATATATACAGGGAGGAAGGTGACAAATACACACTGAATTCCTGGTTAACAGGTAAGAGGGTGTGCGTAATGAAAAGGGGATGTGACTAGGAGGAGGAACAGGTTGGCTCTCTGCAGGGAGGGGGTGGTTAGGCAGAGCAGTGAGGGAATTCAAATTTAATAGCTAAGAAGAAAAAGTGAGGGGCACATGGGAGGTTGAGGAATAGCAAATAAAAGGGGGTCGAGCCATGGCAACTGAAGCACTGAATTCCTGCTATAGATCTGAGGTAGCGGCCACATCAGGCCACCTTCCAGGGGGCGAGTCACAGCAGGCTCTTTGAGGAGTGGGTGACATGAACAGAGTTGCTATGAAGAAATGGTTCTTAGTAGCGTCTCTAGACTGAGCGGGAAGGAGCCTGAAGCAGGGAAATGATATAGTGCACACCAACAGAGAATGTGTCTCTGGGGAACGTTTTAGGCCAAGCTTGCAAGAGCCTGGAAGTGGACCCAGGTGTTGGGAGTGACTGGCAAAATCAAGCAAGAAATGGTGGGTGGTGGGGACCAGAGAAGTAGTAGAGTGGGTAGGGGCCTTGCCTTGCTCTGACCAATCCTGGGCTCACTACTCAGCACCCCAGATGGTCTCCCAAGCACTGCCAGGAGTAATTCCTGAGTGCAGAGCCGGGAGTAACCCCTTAATACCTCTGGGTGTGGCCCAAGACAAAAAAAAAATGGGAGGGGTCTCGGGGGAGCGTCAGAATACCAGTCACTAGACTTGGACACCACAGAGTCTGGTCTGTTCTTCTCCAGGGAAAAGGTTAACTGTGCATTCCAGAGAAGCTGTGTGAGGTTCTAGGAAGTATCGAAAAGTTTGCCTGATGTTGTCCAGGACAGATTGTCCTGCCAGACCCGAGGACAGGAAGCTCCCTCAGAGGCTGTGGCTGGATTCAAGTAATCCAGGATAGGCTGTTTCCATCGGTGAGGCCTATTCTTGATTACTTGTTTCTGGAGGCAGCTGATGGTTCGCCGGAAACGAAAGCTGGCCCCTGGGAGATAGGCGGATGTCTCTCTTCCTGCGGTGGGTCAACTTTGGAGCCACCCAGACCGCAGAAGCCTGGTGAGGAAGTGATGCTAGTACCCTTGTCTGGACAGAGGCTTCCAGCGAGGTGGTGCCCGTGGGACTGGGTCATGGGGTATCACAGAGCGTGGTCTGAACCCACTTGCTGCTCTTTGCACACTTGATGGTGACTGATGTTTCCAGGCCCCACTCTCAGAGATGCCACCAACAGGCTTCTCTGCTTTTCCTCAGGTTTATGTGCTCAAGAGGCCTTATGTGGATGAATTCCTGAGGCGAATGGGGGAACTTTTTGAGTGTGTTCTCTTCACTGCCAGCCTGGCCAAGGTACCCCGGGGGCAGGAGGGGAGAAGAGAATAATGAGGGGCTGGTGTGGGTAGGTCTGGGAGCGGCCCAGCAGTTCCTTACCGTGCGTGGGGTTCCCTGGGGGAACCGGGGCTGCATGCAAGCAAAAACCTCTTCTCTTCTCTCCAGTACGCTGACCCGGTAACAGATCTGCTGGACAGGTGTGGCGTGTTTCGGGCCCGCCTGTTCCGGGAGTCCTGTGTGTTCCACCAGGGCTGCTATGTCAAAGACCTCAGCCGCCTGGGCAGGGACCTGAGGAAAACCCTCATCTTGGACAATTCGCCTGCGTCTTACATCTTCCACCCTGAGAATGCAGTACGTGGTCTCTCCAAGGGTGGGGGGAGCTGTGGGCGTGGCCAGAGGAACGGACTGCCCAGTCAGCCTCCAGGCCATTGGGGCGTGGGAGGAAAGAACTGGTCGGGTTCACTGGCACCATTTTCCCCCTGCTTCAGGTCCCTGTGCAGTCCTGGTTTGATGACATGGCAGACACTGAGCTGCTGAACCTGATTCCCATCTTTGAGGAGTTGAGTGGAGCAGAGGATGTCTACACCAGCCTTGGGCAGCTGCGGGCCCCCTAGCCTTCATTGCTCCTGATGGCAATGGCCATCCCAGTAGGGGACTTCCCTACACTGTGCCTTTACGATCTGCCTGACAGACAAACCAGAAGCTGGAACGTCTCACCAAATCAGGCCTGGAAATAGACGTTATTGGAAAGCTCTAGGACAGGTTAGATGCAGAGAGGCAGGCCTCAGACCAAGGATACCCAGAGTTAGCTGCCTGTGCCCTGAGTGGCCTCCCAAGCTGGATGCGAGCAGGTGCAGGTGCACGTGTGTGTGTGAGACCGTGAACAATAGCCCTGGGGTACAAATGATTCCGTTTGGGAGGGAAGCTGAGAGATCAACACTTTCCCCGGTTGGTCTGTCTCCTGTCCAGATATCCTGAGAGCTGCTGTGCTCTGTAGGGATGAAGACTATTGAAGGCCTTATTGCCAAGCCCCGGGCCTTTCCTCAGTGTTGCAAGGTTGCCAAGGAGAAAGGAGGGGTCGGAGGCTGCCTTTAGCTGCCCTGGGCACACACTTTACCGAATCCTTTCTCCAGCCAGCTGCTACAGCCAGAAAGACGTTTTGGGAAGAGGAAAATGTGTTTCCACAACTTGCTGCCCCAGTGTTCACCACGCCCTGTGGCCCAAGGGCTGCGCCTGCCTCCAGCCCCGGTGCTGGGTTCTTTCTGTGTCTCCCCAAGACTTGGGTACCCAGCCTGCCTTCCTCATCACCTAGCCATAGTCTTCACCAAGTGGGGAAGGAAGTCTTCTCCCTGGCCTGGAAGAGGACAGATCACTGATTTCCGTTCTTTTGACTCTTTAAAAATCCACTTTGCAAACGTGGTGTGTCGGACCTGTTCTGTTCATGACAAAGCTACAGTCCTGGACCTGAGATAAACGCGGGAAGCACTGATGTGCCGGGAAGAAGGAACTCCCCAAAGCGTGAGGGTGTGTCCCCGTGGCTTGTGGGTCGACCAGGCTCAGACTGGAAGTGTGCTCTTCAGGGATTCTCTGTGGTGCTGGGGCCCGGACTTGGACTCCAGGGTCCGGGAAGGCAGGCGCCGAGGCCCTCCTGCTCTTGGACAGGGCTCCCTCCTGTTGACTTCCTCCGGAGCCTGCCTTCTGCCAAGCTCGCTCTCTGCTTCAGTCCTCGTCCCGTCCCTCCTGGCTTGCTCTCTCCAGGCCCTCCTGCGTTGCTGGGACTGAGGGGGAGAGGATGTTCTCACCTTTCATTTCACCCTCCTCCTCCTGCAGGTGCCTCCTATCTCTGGTCCGGGTGTGGACACGTGCTTCACCCCTGCATTTTCCAAATCTCTTGCTTTCAGAGTTTAAGAGAACGCTTAAAAAAAAATCCTATAATGAGAATTTCCCCAAGATAGAAAACAAAAGGGAAAGTGCTGGAATCAGGGATATGGCTCTGTGGCTCAGCAGTAGGTATTTGCCTGGCATGTGTGAGCCCCTGATTCTGTCCCAGGCACCGCTCCGAAAGGGAGGGGGGTGCTGCTACAGTTGGGAGCACAAGGGGCCCCTCCCCAAAGGGGAGCCCCACCTCAGCATCACTGCCTTAATCATGACCTCCCCTGGGGCGGGGTGGGGCTCTCTCCTCCCCCTCCCCCCCCCCTCCCCCTTTCCCCTCCCTCCTCGCTCTCCCTGGAGGCAGGTGTTCCAAAGCATTTGTAAATTGCTACAGGTGCAGGGACACCGCCTGCTCAGGACTCGGCCCCATTACTTGCTCAGTTCCTACTCATTTTCGGTCCAGTCCGATAATGAGCTCACCAGTTGGAAGAGACGGTGGAGCAGCCGCCACAGCGTCTGAGTGATGGCCGTCTGGCTGGCCTCTCTCCAGCACCTCCCCTTATCCCAAGGTTGTGAGGCCTTATTTTTCCCTTGTGGTGTTGCCAAGTGGAACAGAATCCCCAGAGACCCAGGCATCCTTCCCTGGAGTCTGGGGGCTTGGGGGTGCTGCAGAGAGGGGAAAGTGCCCCAGCGGCCAGCCCAGAGCGCTGTTTCCTGAAGGAAGGTGGGGGCTTCCCATTCTCAGACCAATTGTGGCTTCTGTCCAGGCCCGGCCACTGCCCGAATCCACTCCCCACCCCCATGGTAAGAGCCAGATCTGCCCTCCAGGCCCACCAGGCTTCTCTGACTAAGCAATAAGAGGCTCTGAGCTGATCCGGCCCTCGGAACCCCTTCTGCCCCCCCTATTTTCATGTGTCAAGGAAGAACCATGCCACCCCTCCCCTGTCAGACTTGTCCCGGTTCTCTGAGACCCTCCTGCCCAGCGCCCGGCCACTCTGGTGGGCGTGTCCTGCTGTTCCCGCATGAAGCCTGCCTGCCTGCAGCCCGTTTCCCATAATGCTCACCCTTCCCCAGAGAAGCAACTCTGCCAAATCCACCTGAACTGGACCCACCCCACCGTGCGGCTCCGCCAGTGCACGGCCGTCATTTGCTGTCTGGTTTTGGTTTCAGTGTGCCAATGGCAGTAATCAGTGGCCCAACCTACTCCTGAGGTATCAGGCCAGACTTCAGAGGAGGGCAAGGTCATCCCGGGCGCTGGTCAAGGGCCTCCACCAGCGGTACCTCCTGGAGGCTGGTCTCCAGGGAGCAGTAGGCCTCTGCCTGGCCAGCACCATCTCAAGCCATGCCAGGAATCTGCCCGCCTGCCAGGTTCAGTTCTTTAAGGTGCCTCTTCAGGGACACGGTGTGTCTCTCTGATTGGGCTTCAAAATCAGCCTGATGTTCGTGTCCCTCTCATAGGGGGAGCTTTGGACACAGGACCAGTGTGGAAAGGGTCCACTAGGAGTGTCCACTCTGCACATTGTAGAGGGGACGCTCTGGAGGCCCCTGGGTCCCTTACAATAGAGTAAATTTGCCTTCCGTTCACCGGGGACCTTCTGTTTCCTTCCCTCTTGCCTCCCAAAGATTTTGACATTTTGTACGGTATAACCACACCCCTCTGAGTGGCCCAGAAGCTTCTTCGTGCTCAAAGCATGAGAAGTGTAACGGTCTCCATTCCCTAGGAATAGACCCCCCCTTCAGTTCTGCTGCCTCTCCCCGCTCCTGCGCCTCGGTCAGGCAGTCTTGGCACAGGGTCATCCTGTACTCCATGTCCCGGCCAGGCCAAGTGTCTTGAGGACGGGAAGCCTGTTTTCCCCTTGAAGTCTTCAGTTGGTCACTTACCACTGTCCTTCCCCCAACTCCCCTTGTTCTTTGTAAACTGGGCTTTTAATTTTGTCTCTGATGCCAGCCAATGCTTGCAGGGAGGGAAGACGGGTCTGACGAGCTCTCCCGTTTCTGTGATGCTGTCGGCCTTCCCCGGACCCTCCTCTTTGCGCCCCTTGAGCTTCTTTGCTCCTAGTCACCCCAGGGTTGACGCATCCCATGTCATGCCACCCTTCCCCCTTCAAGATGCCATTTGGAGGGCAGGGGATCAGCTTTCCACCGTGACTCGGTGGGATCCCAATAGCCCTCTCACAGGTTCATGGTTTGATAAATTTGTTGTATTCAAAAACTTGAAATGTAGGACGCCACCAAGTGTCTGTTTATATTTTTGGAATATTTGTATTACTTACAATTAATAAAAGCGGTTTTAAAACCCTGTCCTGGAATGGGTGCTGTCTCCTGTCCTGCTGTTCATCTGGGTCCGTGCCAGGCACCAGGCCAACCCTCAAGGTCACGGGGGTCAGGCTTGATTAGCTCCTCCTTGGCCCCAATTTGGAACCATGGCCATTGCCAGCCAGGTGCTTAATAAGCATATGCTCAATTTTTGACTGCTGGGGAGGAAGCCGAAATCCTCAGGGACTGAGGCTTCGGGCTTTGTCCCTTTCTGATTCTCCCAAACCAGGTGACCTAAAACTGCAGCCTGATTTTTGGCACATAGTAGGCATGCAAATACTGACTAGGTGAAGGACACCTCCACCCCCACGCCCCCAGGGAGAACCTAAGGAGCAAAACAGGATGGTCTGATTTGAGAAACGGCCAGAAGCTTCTCAGGGAGCACTTGCCTGGACAGCCCAGCTGCTGGCTCAGGGGGGCGGCTCCATCCCTTGCCTCTTGTCAGCAACATAATGCATCCATATCTTCAATAGGGTGAATTTCATATCCTCCCACCCTCCTCCCTGCATTATTAATGGGCTATGCACTTTTAAAAAATCAATTAGATCAGGGTGTGGAGCTGGGGTTAAAAGAGAAAAGAAGCCTTTAAAAGTCCACTCTTCTTTTTGCTGTTTTGAATAGGAACAGATAAAGCTTTCCCTCTGGTTTGAATAAGTCAGGCCCAGGGCTAGGTTGGCTGTGATTGGCCAGGACTAGGAAAATGCAGTTAAGATGCAAACACAGAGCAAATACAGCCCAGTGTCTCTGCAGCCATTACTAAATCACTAAGGAGGGGCCTGGAGCTTCCACTTGGGGACAGCTCTTCTATACCGCTGTTGCTTCCTGCCCTGAAAACTGCAAGTCTGGTGGGAAAGAAGGCAAGGTAAGGTCTACTTGGTTTATGGGCACTCGGGTTACCCTACTGAGCAAGGAAGAAATGAAAGGAAAAGGAGATGGAAATTAACTGGGCTCTGTCTCTTTGGATGTATTTTTTTAAGGGTTGAACCTGAAGTTTACGAAAGCTGATGCTGAGAAAACATGTTTGGAAGCCGTAAACAGTGTCTTTAATTCAAGAGCTAGGAAAGCTAAAGAAAACCCTTTCAGCTAGTTTAGAAAATGGTGTGGGGTAAGGCAGGAGTTAAACAGCTCCCTTTGCTTAAAATCCATTTTTGTGGGAACCTCTGGCAGGGTTATGGGGGCACCGACTTTTAACCTGGAATTTCAAGACTTCACCCTACTCTAGGAATTTCTGCAGCTGTTCTGAGAGAGGAAGTTTAGGACTTGGAGAGCAGCAGGGGAGAGTGAACGAACCTCGGGGGACTTGAGTGTCGCGGTTAAAGTGGCGTTTTGTGGGTGTTCCAAATGCAGGGCTCTCCATTGTGCATTGGGGCGGCTCCTGACATGGTGTACTTCTTCCACTTGCTGAGTCCTTGCTGGGAAATGGGATTGCTTGCAGGCTCTAAGACTAGCCCCCTCAATGCCAGGGGGCTCTGGTGCCAGTGATTTAATTCACCGTTGTCCCCTTCCGTCAGCTGGGTAACTGCTTTTACCTTTAATGACTGAAATCTGGGGTCTGGAGAAAATTGGAAGAAATATTTCCTGGTAATTCTGGGCAGCACGATTACAAATTTTTTAATAAGGAAGGCACCTGCCCTAACAGTAAACAAAAGGAGTTTTTTTGTGGTTTTGCCCAAGTCCATACTAGACAATGGCACATACTCTCCCAGTCTGGTTTCATCGACCAAGTAAGGGCAAACATGTTCCCCTTAATGTGCATAATATTTTGCCTCCAAATAGCAAAACTCCAGTCAGTTCCCTCCTGATGGATTGTGGGGTTTTTCCATTTTGTTTTGTTTTGGGGGCCACACCCAGCACTGCTCAGGGCTTACACCCGATTCTGCACTTGGGTCACTTCGGCAGAATTGGGACTGTATGGAGTGCCAGAGATCGAACTGGGTTGGCATGTGCAAGGAAGCATCCTACCCATTGTATATCACTCTAGACCCTCCTGGCTTTGTAGTGCTGTGTCAACCCATCAAGCTCGGTTTTCCTTTGCCCCTTGGGAACATTCATCAGTTGTGTGTGATTATCTCGTTACAAGTTCCTCAAGAGCAAGAACCAGGCAGGCATTTTATTTACATGATGTCCCTATGCAACTTCGGATGTGTAGGGGTGTCTGACTACCCCAGACACCTTCATCCAGGGAGTGTGAGGTCCATCTGGCATCCCCTTGCCCTTTCCTCCTCACCCTTCCCTACACCGTGCCCAGCACCTCTGGCCCCTTGGGGGTCTGGAAACCAGGAAGGTTATCCACCCCAGACTGCAACTGAACACGCCCACTACCTTGAACTCTGTCCCTAGTCCAGCCCTGCCATTTCACATTCTCTTTATTCTGTGGGGTGTAGGGAATACATTACTCTTATGAAAACATCAGGAAAACTGTTTTGAATTTTAAACATCTGGGACATAAAAACGCAAAGAGGAAGTTGAAGAGCTGGTGGTGGAGTGGCACATGAGGTGTCTGGGAGAGGCTGGAGAGGAGAATGGTAAGGCCACCAGCTTGGAAACACTTATTCCTTTTTGGGGGAGGAGGGGGCACACTTGGCAATGCTCAGGAATCATTCTGGGCAGTTCTCAGGGGACCTATATGGGATGCCAGTGATTGAATCCAGGTCAGCAGCACGCAAGGAAAGCACCTAACCTGCTGTCCTCTCACTCTGGCCCCATGAAAATACTCTGACATGTTTCCATGTGTGCCAGCAATGTTGTGTCCATTGAGGACAGGTAAGGAACCCTGAAGTGACAATTCACAGGGTTTAGGGTGAGATACAGAGTTTGCTCTAATGCAGTTGGTTACCTTGAACAAATGAACCTTTCTGAACCTGTTTTCCTACAGGGTCAGATGAAAAGATTTTTTTTTATTTCTTTTTTTCTCCTCTTAAACACCATGGTTTACAAAGTTTTCCATAGTACAATTGTTATAGGCATTCAATATTATAACCCCAATCCCTTCACCAGTGTGCCCTTCCCTCCACATTTTCCCAACCATCCCCCAAACCTGCCTCCTTAGAAAGCACAAAATTATTTTATACTGCTTGTTAGAACTAAATTGCTAATGGAATTATCCAAAAATTCCGCAGGAAAAGAAAATTGTTATATCTCACCATTAAATCCTTGTCTGGGGTTTAGTAAGCTTTTGTTGCTAGCTGAGCCTTCTTTGTTGCCATTTATTGAGTGTCCTTGGTGTCTGTGTTACTTTCCCATCTAATTTAGCATGCTCCCTACTGAGAGGTCAGTATTGTAGACTTTGGAGATATCACGCAGCCACAAATGCAGCCATGCACTCTAGAAACTCCGGGATCTGTAACTGGGCCATCATCGGTTCACAGGGCTGCGGTTGTGGGATGTGGGTGTGGAGATGAAGAGCTTTTACTTAGTTTATGAGAATGAAGTGAGATAACTAAGTGAATCAACACTGGGCTTAATGCTTACCACCTCTTCAGTGAGACACAGAGGGTGCAGAAATGCACTGCAGGGCCAGAACAGAATAGGACTGGGAGGCCAGGGTGGAGGCTGAATGGAGGCTCGCTCGCTCCCTCACTATGAGGCACCATCTCCCCACTTGTTCTGTGGTGTTTCCGTTCCAGGAAGCCAAAGAGCATGCCTCTGAGCAGCGCCTTCAGTGCTGTGGGCAATGACCCTGGGCTCATCACCTGGAGAATAGAGGTGAGTGGGGAGCAGCTGTGGGGGCGCAGCCTGGCCACCAGGCCTCCAGCTTGTGCTTGGGAAACAGTGGGACACATCACAGAGCTTGTTTTCCTATCCTTGCCTTCCTGGGTGCTCACAGCAGGTGGTGGCAGGTAGAAGGACGCGCTGGCAAGCGGGGCTCCAAGCCAGAGGAGGCCTTTATCCAGCCATCTGCTGGAGTCTGCACTGCCAGTAAATACCCTGCAGCGTGGGTGGGGATGGGCCCCACCCAGGAGGTTCCTGCCCCTTCTGTTAGCAGCGTGGAGCCTACTATCCGAAGGCCACAATAGCACATGCAAAGTGGTGGTGGGGGGACCCTTGAGGGGTGAGGTCAGAGCATTGGTCCCATCTGAGATTGAGCCCTTCTAGCTGACCTCAGGCTCCAGCAACCTGACCCAGGCAATTCCATCTGCCAGCGTGGGCCACACTTACTCTCTCACTCACCTCTCTGAGCCCAAGGAGGAGCTGCTGCCTAAAACCTCACTTCACTGTGCTCCCTCAGTGGGGAGCTTCCCTGCAGGCTCACCAGGTCACTTCCACTGTTTCTGTGCTGCCAGGACCCAACCAGGGCCTCACACATGCAAGGCAAGGGCGCAGCTACAGAGCCACATCCCAGCCCCTTCTTCCATTTTGTAAGACTATATCTAAAGGGGCCGGGGCGATAGCACAGTGGAGAGGACATTTGCCTTGCACGCAGCCAACCTTGGTTCAATCCCTGGCATCCCACATGGTCTCCTAAGCACTGCCAGGAGTCATTCCTGAGTGCAGAGCCAGGAGTAACCCCTGAGCATTGTGGGGTATGACCCAAAAAAGCCAAAAAAAAAAGGCTATATTTTAAAAATAGGAGACACTTGGGGACAGAGAGATAGTACAGTGGGTAGGGCTCTTGCCTTCCACACAGTCAACCCAGGTTTGGTCCCTGGCACCTGATATGGACCTCCAATATCACCATCAGGAGTAATCCCTGAGTGCAGAGCCAGGAGTAAGCCCTGAGCATCACCATGTGTGCCCCAAAATATCCAAAAACAAAACTTAAGAAGTACTTGGCTGGAGAGAGTACAGAGGATACAGCTGGACAGCTCTTACCTTGTATGTGACCACCCTGGGTTTGATCCCCAACCCCACATATAATCCCCCAAGCCCCACCAGGAGTGATCCTTGAGCACAGAGCCAACAGTACATCCTCCCATCCACTTAAATGAAAACAACAAAAATCTAAAAGATACTAAAGAGGTACAATAACAGTAGGCCAGTCCACATTTTTTCATTTGTCACACATTTCATAGTGTTCCACAAATATGACTGTAGTTTTCCCCTTGGGGTTGTTGACAAAACCCACATCCCAGTCCATGTCCCCAGCCCACTTGGGAAAAGCCAGACATGCTGGTGACAACCAGGGCCCCAACCAGGGCTCCACACTGACAGTCGTCAGTGGAGGTGGTGTCAGTAAGGGCGGAAGCGCTGGGGAGCAGGTGCGAGCTGGGGTGCGGTCCCCCCTGGGCTACCGCCCAGGGTTGCTTCGATGGTTCTCAGCGCCGACCAGCTCCCAGAGAAGCTGCAGCGGGACCACGTGGAAGTCGAGGCTGCGACTGCAACCGTTTCGCGCCCAGCTCCCGGGTACTCGTGGTGTTGTGTGCGGTGCAAAGCCCCTGTTTTAGAGACCCCGGCTTGTTACCAAATCCCTCTCCGAAGGGCCTCTGCAGATCCATGCCTTTGAGCAGAAAACGCTCACCCCCGCGAGCAGCAGAAATTAGGGACTTGAGGACTCAGGGCCCCCTTCAGTGTAGTGTTGGGGGAAACAGGGACCGCGAGGGCCTGGCTGCTCCCTGCCCCGCACCCCCACACCCCTACTGTTGATTGTTTCCACAGTCTGCAAGTTCCAACTCGCGAGAAGGCGGGTGTGCCTCCAACTGGGATGTGAGCGTTCTGGACCAGAGGGTGGCCTCCTGTGGCACCTCCTACCCGTCCCCACCACCACCCTAGCACTTCCCTGCTGGCCCCCGCAACAATTTTTTTTAAAGAAAATAATATGTGACAGTGGCAAAAGGAGTCCCGCACCCTGCGAGCATCCACATCCCCAAAATCCCAAGGATCTGGCATTCTGCCACGCAGAACCTCTTTGGTGGGCGGAGCCAGCGGGACGGGGCTAGACGGGGCGTGGCCAGCGGGGCGGGGGGGCGTGGTCCGAGGGGCGGGGCTTATAGGGGCGTGGCCTGATGGCGTTCTGGATGGGCGTGGTCTATGGGGCGGGGCCAGCCTGCCGGGAATCCCCGTGGCTGCTGGCATGTGTCCAGCGTTTCCTGCTGGCGTGCGTTCCCAAGACTCTTCACAAAGTCACAGCAGAGGAGAGGGTGGGCGAGGTCAGGTCCTGTTCAGCAGATGCTGGAGGGGTTGCACACTGGCGTGCGACTCCACATCCTGGCCAACAGAAGGTCACTTCTCTCTTTCCTCTCCTGGGCCTCATGACAGAAAAGAGGGAGCTGGTGGGATATTCAGTTCTTATACTGCCCTTGTCCTTGCAGAAAATGGAGCTGGCACTGGTGCCCCTGAGTGCCCACGGCAACTTCTATGAGGGGGACTGCTACGTTGTCCTGTCGGTGAGCCCCCATCCCCGTTCCCACCAGCATCTCCCAAGAGCCAGTTCCCACACTCTCCTGACTGCTTTCCCAGTGATGCTCATCAGGCCTCTGGCATCCGTCTTGAGTCTTTATGAGCCTTGTGCAAAGCAGACCTCCAGTTTGACTCTCAGAAGTCATTGATTTGGTTTTTCGTTTTAAATTTTGAACAGAAAAGGGGAAAGGGGCCTCATTTTGAGCCTCAGGGTGCAATCCACAATACATGTCTCCCCAGAGCAGCCTGCAAAAAGGCTGGAGAGAAAGTGCCTTGCATGCTTTGCATGCAGCTGACCCAGGTCTGATCTCCAGCACCACATATGCCACCTGCCCCCCAAGCCCTGAGAGAAGTTATCCCTGAGCACAGAGCCAGGAGTAAATCCTGAGCAAAGTGGGATTTGGCCCAAGAACCAAAATAAATGAACTTTTTAGTTAAGAGAAATAAAGTGGTGTGGTGGAAGGCCGGATCAATACTAGACTCTCTGACCACCAAGTGTCCATTCTGGTTGAGGACACGTGTTCCCACCTGGTGGGCATGGAACACAGCTGTTTAGGTGGATGATCTCCCTGGTACTGTGCAGGTATGTTCATGTAGTGAGTTTGTATATCCATGTAGTAAGTCTGAAATCTAATTTGGATGAGACCCCTTGGGTTTCCACTTATTCTGAGAACATTAAGCAAACAGCTTTCCTGACTGCAAAATTTGGACAGCCAAGGCAGGGGCACAGGGCAAGACCATACTGAGAGGAGGTGGCACCCACGCCGGCAGGGCACAGCTGCTGGAGGCTGCCCCTTCCCTACTCCTGAGCTGTCTCTCTGGCCACATCCCAGACCCGGAAAGCGGGCGGCCGCCTCTCCCAGGACATTCACTTCTGGATCGGGAAGGACTCCTCCCAGGACGAGCAGAGCTGTGCTGCCATCTACACCACGCAGCTGGACGACTACCTCGGGGGCAGCCCTGTACAGCACCGGGAGGTCCAGTTCCACGAGTCCGACACCTTCCGAGGCTACTTCAAGCAGGGAATCATGTGAGTGAGGCGGCAGCGGTGGATTCCTGAGGAGGAAACCCCACAGGTTAAGTGCACGTGCGCAGAGTAATCAGCGAAGCACAAATCAACTAACTTTCCACTTCCCCCGCTGGAGTTGCATGGATTTTTGTTTTGTTTCGTTTTCAATGGGGAGCCACATCTGGAGTTGCTCAGAGCTTACTCCTCACTCTGTGCTCAGGAATCACTCCTGGCAGTGCTCAGGGGTCTTAGGTGGGCTGCCAGGGATCAAACCTGGGTCAGTTGTGTGCAAGGCAAATCCCTACCCCCGATACTATCGCTCTGGCCCTGGACTGAGCCATTTATTTTATTTTATTACTTATTTATTTTGCTTTTTGAGTCACACCCGGGGATGCACAGGGGTTACTCTTGCCTTTGCACTCAGGAATTACTCCTGGCGATGCTCGGAGGTGCATATGGGATGCTGGAAATCAAACCCGGGTTCGGCCACGTGCAAGGCAAATGCCCGACCCACTGTACTATAGCTCCAGCCCCTGGACTGAGCCATTTAGCTTCAGTGCTAGCACATGGGCTTATAGGGAGGGGCACCTGGACTGGAGAATCTTGAGTTGGACAAGGCCAACTTCTTTTGGGTTAATAATCCAGGCTCCCCGCCACTCTCACCACCCACTGCTGGCCCCCGGTGGCTCCCTGCATGTCCTTCCTAGGAGGGTTCCTGGGAGAGAGACAGGCTTGGGGTGAGAACTGGCTGGGCTGCAAGAGAGCTGATAGTGGAGCCGGGGTGCTAAGGCCATGGGACCATTCATGGAGCTGCCGCTGAATCTCAACTGCCCAGAACATTCCTAGAACACCACAAGCTTTTCCATGCACTGAGGGCTTTCTCCTAAGGCGGCCCCTGTCTCAGGGACTCCCATCCAGGCACGGGTTCTCACCCTTCAGGGACAACAGCCAGTGTGACCCTGCCAGAGGGCCCGTCATGGCATCTTTATGGGTGACCGTGGCCCCCATCGCCTGGATTTGTTTTGGGGCTTCATCTGTGTCACCCACCTGGGCAGAAGCTGCATTTGTGTCACTCGCAGCTGTGTCCCCAGAACTGGCACAGAACAGACCCTCCATAAATAACCAAATGGCTGTTCTCTCATCTCAGCTACAAAAAGGGTGGTGTGGCTTCTGGGATGAAGCACGTGGAGACCAACACCTATGACGTGGAGCGGCTGCTACACGTGAAGGGGAAGAGGAACATCAGGGCCACTGAGGTAATTCCTGCCTGCTGTCAGCCCTGGGTCTCCCCACCTGACCTTTAAGAACCCCTTCCGAGGGGCCAGAGAGATGGCTTCGTGTGCAGCAGCCCCGGGTTCGAACCCCAACACAGAATGGTCCATACCCACCCCTCCTTGCCTGCTCCAAGCACCTCCACTATGAGCCAGGAACTTTCTTAGAAATTCCTCCTGAACAATGCTCACCTCTCATTCCAGGTGGAGATGTGCTGGGACAGTTTTAACCGAGGGGATGTCTTCCTGCTGGACCTGGGACAAGTCATCATCCAGTGGAATGGGCCGGAGAGCAACAGCAGGGAACGCCTGAAGGTCGGGCTCCGCCTGGTTCATGCTCTTCCCTCTCCCCCGGCCCTTGCACTTTCTTTGCTACTTTTTCCTTCTTTGTTGTGTGTTTTGTTGCTTTTTGTGGGGGGGGGGGGGGGTTAGAGGCCTCCCCAGCATGCTGGGGGCCACCAGGGTTTTATCCTGCTCGAGTCAAGAGCCCATGCAGCACTGGGGATCAGACCCAGGGTCCTGTGTATAGTAGGCATGTGCCCCAGCCCTCTGAACTGGTCCCTGCACCCACATTTTCTTTTTTCCTTTCCCACTGACTCTCCCCTGATAGGCAAGCCAGATCCTGCCTCGGGGTACAGTCTGTCTTAGCAGTAGGTCAACTGCCCAAGGTACACGCGTCAGCTACAGAGCGAGGCCTGTGTGTGAGCCCCAAGCAGTGTGTGCCGAAGCCGGCAGGCAGAGTGGAGGCCCCAGGAGCTGAGGGCATGCCTGGGCTTCCTTGACAGGCTATGCTTCTGGCTAAGGATATTCGGGACAGGGAGCGAGGGGGCCGTGCTGAAATCGGAGTGGTCGAGGGAGACAAGGAGGCAGCGAGTCCAGAGCTGATGAAGGTCCTTCAGGACACCCTGGGTCGCCGTTCCGCCATCAGGCCTGCCGTCCCCGACGAGAGCCCGGGCCAGCAGCAGAAAGCAAATATCATGCTGTATCAGTGAGTAGCTCCGCCTGGCTGCTGGTGGGAAGTTGGGGCGACAAAGTATCCCCTAGAAAACTAGGCACCTCTTTTTGGAGATGCAAGCTTCTGATTTTGAGTCCTATGCAAAGGCAGCTTCTAAGAGGGGACTCAGTACTCCACATTTAAGGTGTCCACCATCTGTTCTTGGCAGGAACTCTTCCCAGTCTCCATGGGGTATCCTTCCCTAATTGCAGTCTGGACATGCCCAGAGATGTGGAAAGGATAATATGCAGAACAGAGGTGCACAAAATCCTCTTTTAGAATGGATTGGAGGGGCTGGAGTGATAGCACAGCAGGTAGGGCATTTGCCTTGCACACAACCAACCTAGGTTCGATTCCCAGCATCCCATATGGTCCCCTGAGCACTGCCAGCAGTAATTCCTGAGTGCATGAGCCAGGAGTAACCCCTCTGCATTCCCAGGTGTGACCCAAAAAGGAATAAATAAATAAACAAATAAAAGAAATAGAATGGACTGGAGAGACCACATAGGGCCTGCATGCAGCTGACACTGGTTCCATCCCTAGTACTACATAGTTTGCTGAGCACCACCACGGGTAATCCCTGAGCACAAAGCCAAGAGTAGCCTCCAAGCACAGCTGGGTCTCCTCTCCCCTACTTCCCCCTGGAAAAAAAATAAGTAAAAATTAAAGAATTAAAATTAAAAGTCTCCTCTGGAGTATGAAGTCTTCCATATTCCTGCCTGCATTCCTGAGAAACTTCCTACTCAAACAAAGCCAGAAAAATATCAACTGCTGCTCTGTAGACAAAAGGCGCAGCCTAATCTCCCCATTCTCCAGCGTGTCAGACTCGGCCGGGAAGCTGGAAGTCACAGAGATAGCCCAAAGGCCTCTGGTCCAGGAATTACTGAATCATGATGTAAGTAGAACCTTCGGGGACTTAGGAGGGGGTGGTCAGCCCTGGCTTCTGAGGTCCAGAGCCTGGTCAAAGGCCTTCCTAAAGGTCTGAAGTCTCAGTAACCCTCTTCATCTCTCATTGCTTCAGGACTGCTACATCCTGGACCAAAGCGGCACCAAGATCTATGTGTGGAAAGGAAGAGGAGCCACAAAGCAGGAGAAACAGGCCGCCATGGGGAACGCCCTGGTAGGGTCTGCAGATGTACACTGCCATCCTCAGGAGTCTGCCAGTGGCACTTCAGATGTGTCCTGGGGCCATAGCGCTAAGCACATACGCATATGATTTCAGCTGCAAACCGGGACTCAGTTATTCAACCCAGGCTTCATCCCACTAGGATTAAACAACATGTGCCAAGAGCTCAGAGCAGTTCTCGCACATGCGGCTGCCCGACAAAAAGGGGGGCTGTTAATATCAAGGGGGTGTCACAGCTCCAGACTCACTTTCCATTCCTGTCCATCCCCCACAGGCCATACAGGTAGAATAAGGATGGTGCACAGCAGGGTGACAAATGAGCCTATAGACATGATTCAAAGTCATGAAAGGAAAGGAATGTAAGACAAAGAGACTGTACAGGCTAAGGTGCTCACCTCACATGCAATTGTCCTGGGTGTGGTCCCCAGCATTGATATGGTCCCCAAAACACTTCCAGGAGTTATCCCTGAGCACAGAGCCAGGAGTAAGCTTTGAGCACTGCCGGATGTGGCCCCAATTTTTTTTTAAAGGAGGGGCTGGAATGATAGCATAGCAGGTAGGGCGTTTGCCTTGCATGCGGCCGACCCACGTTTGATTCCCAGCATCCCATATGATCCCCTGAGTAATTCAACTCAGGAGTAATTCCTGAGTGCAGAGCCAGGAGTAACCCCTGTGCATCGCCGGGTGTGACCCAAAAAGAAAAAAAAAGGAAAAAAGAGGAGTCAAGAGGTCGGAGTGATATCACAGTGAATAAGACACTGGTTATGCAAGCAGCCAACCCAAGTTTGACATCCCATGTTGTCCTCCCAGCCCTGCCAGGGGTCAGCCCTGAATGCTGCTGCCAGGTGTGTCCAAAGAGAGAGACAGAGAGACAGTCAGACAGACAAGCAGACAGAGAACAGGAGTGCAAAGAAAAAAAAATGACCATGTGAAACCAATGAGGGAGTGCCCCAATGCCAGTCTGTTCCTCGAAGCAGATAACCCAGTCCCTAGGCACATCTCACTTAGACTCAGACTCTGCCTCCCAGGATGGAGCTATCTGCCCCTCTGCTTCAAAGGGAGGGATGTTTGGGAAGGGCTCTCGGAAGTCTGGTGGAGGGAGGCAGACTCTTCAGAGGTGGATGGGGTGTTGGAAGACATATGCACAAAAACTATTAGTAACACTATTGTAAATCTCTGTACCTCAATAAAAGTGGCTTAAGAAGGAAAAAGCGGGACCAAAGCAATAGTACAGCAAGTAGTGTATCTCCCCGCCTTGCCTCCGGCCAAGCCAGGTTTGGTTCCTGACATCCCAGATAGTCCCCAGAGCAGGTCAGAAATGATCCCTTAATGCAGAGCTAAGAGTAATCCATGAGCACTGCCAGTGTGCCCTTCCCCACCCCCAAAAAAAAATTTTGGGGGGGGTCACACCCAGCAATGCACAGGGGTTAGTCCTGGCTCTGCACTCAGGAATCACTCCTGGCAATGCTCAGGGGACCATATGGGATGCTGGGAATTGAACCCAGTTTGGCCACGTGCAAGGCAAACACCCTACCTGCTCCAGCCCCCAAAAATACTGTTTTAAAAGACCCTGGAGCAGAGTATAGCTGGTATAGCTGAGAAGGCGCTTGCCTTGCAAGCAGCTTCCCCCAGCTAGAAGATTTGATCTCCCATATCCCATATGGTTCCCCAGGCCCTACCAGGACTGATCCTCGAGCACAGTCAGAAATAGGCCCTGAATCCCAGCAGGTCTGAGCCAAGCGACCCCTCTCCCCCAAAAAGCCTTGTTTCTATAAGGCTATCCCAGGACCGTGAGTCAGGGGGTGAGACTGTGGAGCACCATAACAGTTAGAGATCAAAACTCCCACTTCACTTTCCCTACTCGGAAATAGCATGGACTAAAATAGGGAGGAGGTGCTGGAGATATAGCACAGCGGGTAGGGCGTTTGCCTTGCACGTGGCCGACCCGGGTTCGATTCCCAGCATCCCATATGGTCCCCTGAACACCGCCAGGAGTGACTCCTGAGTGCACAGCCAGGAGTAACCCCTGTGCATCACCAGGTGTGACCCAAAAAGCAAAAAAATAAATAAATAAATAAAACAGGGAGGAATTTAAAGGGACCCTAAAAAATAAAAGACGAAACAAAAGTAGTGAATGTCCAGGCAGAGCCCAACCCCAGCGTGTCCGTGTCTGCAGAGCTTCATCGGGATGAAGGGCTACCCGGGCAGCACCAACGTGGAGACTGTCAACGACGGCGCAGAGTCAGCCATGTTCAAGCAGTTGTTCCAGAACTGGTCAGTAAAGAACCAAAGCACAGGGCTGGGGAAGATATTCAACATTGGGAAAATTGGTGAGCTTATCCCTCAGACTATCTTCTTTTTGTTTAGGGGTGGGGGTGGAGAGGGCTGGTGGCAGGGTTACCCCTGTGTTGTTTGGGGGCTACTCTCTGGCAACCATCTGTGGTGCCAGGAATCAAACTGGGTTGGGCCTCCTGCAAGGTGAGAACCTTAACCCCGTACCCTCTCTCCAACCCAGATCATTTTCTGAAACTCTCTAGAAAAGGCAAAGGAAGGGCTGGAGCAATAGCACAGCGGGTAGGGCGTTTGCCTTGCATGCAGCCAATCCAGATTCGATTCCCAGCATCCCATATATTCCCCTGAGCACCACCAGGAGTAATTCCTGAGTGCAGAGCCAGGAGTAACCCCTGTGCAACGCCAGGTGTGACCCAAAAAGAAAAAAAGAAAAGGCAAAGGCTTTCACTTACTTCACTCCCCTCCACCCCTTACCTATAGCTAAAGTTTCCCAAGAGAAGTTTGATGTGACCCTGCTGCACTCCAAGCCGGAGGTGGCGGCCCAGGAGAGAATGGTGGACAACGGCCATGGAAAGGTGGAGGTAAGGCTAGGCCCAGCCGTTCCGGGTCCGGGGAATTCTGAGTCTGCTTTGATTTCGGATTTTTCACCTCTGGCATGGGGGTAATATTCAAGCTGCTGGAGTCTGCAGCATTTCTCCATAATTCTTTGTTTGGAGGTCACCCCTGGTGGTGCTCAGGACTTACTCCTGGCTCTGCACTCAGGGATAACTCCTGGTGGGGCTCAGGGGACCAGAGGGGGGTGCCAGGGATCAAACCCATGTTGATCACATGCAAGGCAAGTACCCTGACCACTGTGCTATCTCTGGCTCATCTCTACAGTTCTTCAGGGAAATGAAAGGCAGCTTCCCAACAGTTTGCCCACAGCGCATATATTCAAATCCTCCCTGCCCTGCTCCAGGGATGCACCTGACCGGGGATGAATCCAGTTCTTCTCCATATTCAAATCATGCAAATGTGATCAGCCCTGAGCTGGGAAAGGAGAACCAGCGGGGAGGGGTCCTGAGAGGAGATTAGCTCGGAACCCACCTGGAGCCTCTGTGGAAGGGGGCCCAGTACCCTCGAGGTGCCTCTCCTGCAAGGACCCCAGATCCTGGGAACTGCTTCCTCCTTTGCTCAGGTCTGGAGGATTGAAAACCTGGAGCTGGTCCCTGTGGAGCACCAGTGGCACGGCTTCTTCTATGGGGGAGACTGCTACCTGGTTCTCTACACATACGAGGTGAACGGCAAGCTGCACTACATCTTGTACATCTGGCAGGTAGGTCTGAGCCGGGCTCCCAGCCCTGGACACTGCAGGGGCAGTGGCCAGCAGGGCCCTTTCCTCCCCTCTCCCCCCTGCAGGGCCGCCACGCCTCCCAGGACGAACTGGCAGCCTCAGCGTACCAGGCTGTGGAGGTGGACCGGCAGTTTGACGGGGCCCCGGTACAGGTTCGGGTCGCCATGGGGAAGGAGCCTCGCCACTTCATGGCCATCTTCAAAGGGAAGTTGGTCATCTTCGAGGTGAGGCTCTCATATAAAAGAAAAAAAAACACACCTCAGGGGCTGGAGAGTGCTCAGGGATCACTCCTGAGCCTGCCAGGAGTGATCCCCTGAGCACAGAGCCAGGAGTAAGCCCTGAGCATCTCCAGTGTGCCCCCCTCTCCCGCAAAAAAAGAAAGACAGCAAATCACACCTTGAGTGGTTGAAGAGATAGTACAGTGGGTAGGGCACTTGCTTTGCCACGTAGCTGACCCAGATTAGATCCCTGGCACCACATATACTGCCCTGAGCCCTGCCAGGAGTGATATATGAGCCAGGAAATGAGCCCTGCCCTGAGCAGAGTTGGTGTACTGCTCAAAAAAAAAAATTTTTTTTTAAGAAAAAGAAAAATGACGTCTCAGGGCTGGGGAGAATATGTTTTGCTTAAGAGACACCCCCACTCCAAGCACTGCCAGGAGTGGCTCCTGTTATCCTACATCAACTAATGAGACTGCTTTGTGTTTGAAATTGTTTCTCTAGTTCAAATTTTGTGTTTTTGTAAAAAGAAAAGGGGGAGATGTAGGATAACATTGCTTTGTCCTTTCTGCCTTGCTGCAGGGAGCTTAGGTTTATTGGGTTACTCCCATCACAGTGCTCCCATTCCTCTGTGTTTATTTGTAACTTCTTTCTTTGTGCTCTGTTGACTTGTAAATATTGCTTTTCTCTTCTCCTTAAGTCCTTTGCATAGTTAATTCAGAGCAACGTCCTTTTTGTATGGATACAAGAAGAGATACACTGAGGCTTATAGGATGGCTCTCCTGGGAACATCTTGCCACAGACTCAGACTACAGTGCTCAGGCCAGATTAATCTTTCCTAACCCTTGCAGGGTCCAAATCAACTTTTTGGATCATGACAGAATTTATCCACGATCATGCTCTTAACTTATAGTTAAGCATTGTGGCACTTTGGCCAGGCCCATTTCAATGTCACGGTAGCACATAGCACACTGCTTGCCCTGGGTCCATCCAGTCCCTTGTTGGGACCCTGCTTTTGGGGTGCTAGGAAGTAAGGGCAACTGAGGCTTAAGTTGAGAGAACAGATGTCTAGGAGGAAAATATCATTCAGAATCAATTGACTCCCAAGCTACAAAAGCATAGCATTAACTGTCTTCTTGTGCCCATATGGAAAGAACATTGCTCAGAATTAACTAGGACTTAGGGAGAAGAGAAAAAAAAATATTTACAAGTCAACAGAGCACAAAGAAAGAAGTTCAAAATAAACACAAAGGAATGGGAGCACTGTGATGAGAGTAATTCAATAAACCTAAGCTCCCTGTGGCAAGGCGGAAAGGACCTACCGATATTATCCTACATCTCCAAAAACAAAATTTGAAAATTACACATTAAGTAAAAATGAACTAATAAGTTAGCACAATGGGCTCCCATAGAGGAGAGGCAGAGTGAACACAGGAAGGATGAGGGCTCACCTGTCTCCAGTCCCTCCACAGACAGTGGACCCAGCTCCCTTGGGCCTCAAGTTCATCAGTGCCTAATTGCTATTCAAGGTCTTTTTTTTTTATCTAAATCAATTTTTATCATCCAAACAAACAAATAATCCAGTCTTGTCTTTCATGGAAAACAGCATAATTCAGCTTGGCTCATACAATAGAGGTAAAAACCCATCTTGGTAGCTCTGAATTCCTGAAAAATATCTCATTCACAAGGCTGTTGTCACTATTCAGTGCTAAAAAACAAAAAGAGTAATGAGCACAGACGCACACAGATCCTGCAGAGGGGAAAGCACTCCCTCTTCCCTTTTCATGTGCTCTCTGCTATGAATATGGACATTGGAGTGTTCTGTTGTCAATTTAGTTGCCTGTCTCTTCCCTGGGTCTGTAGATATAGATAGATACAGATATAGAGATAGACATATATATGTACGTATGTGTGTGTCTCTATGTGTGTATTTTAAATAGTATTCGACAGCATTTTATTTTATTGGCTTCTTGGTTCACACCCAGTGATGCACAGGGGTTACTCTTGGCTCTGACTCAGGAATTACTCCTGGCTGTGCTTAGGGGACCATATGGAGAGCCAGGGATTTAACCTGGGTCAGCCATATGCAAGGCAAACACCCTACCCGCTGTACTATCACTCCAGACCTAAAGGTCTTTATATATATATATATATATATATATATATATATATATAAATATTTTTTGCTTTTTTTTGGGGGGTCACACCCAGCGATGCTCAGGGGTTACTCCTGGCTCTACACTCAGGAGTTACTCTTGGCGGTGCTGGGGGACCCTATGGGATGCTGGGGATTGAACCCAGATCAGCCGCATGCAAGGCAAATGCCCTACCCACTGTACTATCACTCCGGCCCCAGTGTCTTTATATTTTTAAAGGAGACAAACCCAGCCTTTCTGGGGTTGGAGGATAGGGCCACTCCCAGCCATGTGTAGGACTAGTAGGACCACCCTGGGCCTTCCTGGCTGGTGGAGCTTGGGAAACCATGCAGTGCAGGGGATCAAACTCAGGGCCTCACACATGTCAGGCATGTGCTCTATCTTGTGAGCTATCAGCTCCCTAATCTCCACACACCTCTCCAGTTGGTTGGCCTCTCACTGAGATGTCACATATGCTTTCTGACGCCATCCACCCCACCCCCATCTGAATGTGTCTCTTCAGGTCTCTACACCTCTACAAACCATTGGGAAAAAGCATGAATAAGAATATATGGGGCTGGAGTGATAGCACAGTGGGTAGGGCATTTGCCTTGCATGCAGCCAACCTGGGCTCCATCCCCAGCATCCCGTAGGGTCCCCCAAGCACCGCCAGGAGTAATTCTTGAGTGCAAAGTCAGGAGTAAAGTAACTTGTGAGCATCGCCAAGTGTGACCCAAAAAGCCAACATAAATAAATAAAGCTATTTTAAAAATAAAAAAGAATGTATAAAGTTATATACTACTGTCACACAAGCCTGCAGTCAAGTCCCAACCTTGTCATTTCTCAGCCAGGTCTCTTTCATTGTTTTTGTTTTGTTTGCTTTTTGGGTCACACCCAGCGATGCGCAGGGGTTACTCCTGGCTCTGCACTCAGGAATTACCCCTGGTGGTGCTCGGGGGACCATATGGGATGCTGGGAATTGAACCCAGGTCGGCCGAGTGCAAGGCAAATGCCCTACCCACTGTGCTATCGCCCCAGCCCCTTTTCGCTGTCTTTTTGTTTTGGGGGCACATCCTGTGGTAGTCAGGGCTTACACCTAGCTCTGTACTCAAGGATCACTGCTGGTGGGCTCAGGGACAATATGGCAGGACAGAACCCGGGTCGGCTGCATGGAAAGCAAGTGCCCCATGCCCCACAGGCAGATTTCTGAATTTATTTCCCTATCTATACTGGGGTTGGTAATAGCTACTTCATAGAGTTTTTGTGAGGCTCCGTGAAATTATGCAGGTGAGGCACCACTCACAAAGCGGCACATAATAAACACCTTAGAAGAGAAGCTAGAATTAGTGGCAGCACAACTCAGCTTGCCTGACCCGTCCAGTTAGCCTGGACGCTCCTCCATGAAACACGCCAACGTTCCCAGATTTTGTGCACCAGCGAGCACTGAGCTCTGCCCACAGCAGGCCCTTGCCCACCAGACTCTGCCTCTCTCCTCTCTAGGGAGGAACATCCAGGAAGGGAGATGCCGAGCCTGAACCCCCCGTAAGACTCTTCCAGATTCAAGGAAATAACAGCTCGAATACCAAAGCAGTGGAGGTGCCGGCCCTCTCGTCATCCCTCAACTCCAATGATGTCTTCCTGCTGCAGACCCAGACACAGCACTTCCTGTGGTATGGCAAGGTAGGTGCCCAGCTCTGCACCTCCCTCCCCATCAGCAGGTCCAAGGCAGAGGGAGTGGGCTCAGGCACAGTCCTGAAAGAGAAGAAACTTTCTCCTGAGGCTCTGCAGAAGGGCCACCGTGTTCCCCGAGAGTCCCCCAGAGAGACTCCATGCGCGGCCCCATTCTGCCCAGCAAACACGCCGCAGACTTCTGTGCCCATGGAGGTTGCACTGCACCAACCTTTCCACATCGGTTTGGTGATCGTCATCAGTACTAAACAAAAGCACTAAGATGGTAATTTTTTTTTCTTTTTGGGTCACACCCAGCAATGCACAGGGGTTACTCCTGGCTCATGCACTCAGGAATTACTCCTGGAAGTGCTCAAGGGACCATATGGGATGCTGGGATTCGAACCTGGGTCAACCACGTACAAGGCAAATGCCCTGCCCACTGTACTATCGCTCCAGCCCCTAAGATAGTGATTTTTGTCCATTCAGTCCATGCCTGCATTAGAAAGCATGAGAGTCCATTTATAAAGGAGAGTTTGTAAAGGAAAAGGAAAAGAAGCTCAATAACATTAGCCATTAGGCAGATGTAAACAAGAACTTTAGTCATGTACAGGTGAGGCACCTTCAGACATTGATGCAAATACAAATAGGAGGCACATACTGGGTCGGACATGTGGAGCAATGGTAGAGCACTCGCCTTGCATACGTGTGGCCCTGAATTCAATTCCCAACATGGTATGGGCACTTATCTGGAATATCACACCAGGAGTAGATCCTGAGCACACCATGGTATGGCTTCAAAACAAAAAACAGGACCAGCAAACACACACACACACACACACACACCATAAGATTCAGTGATTCCACTTTTAAAATTCTGTTTTATTTCTCCTGGGAATTTGTTTACCCAGGAGAAATAAGAAACTGTCTTCACACAACAACCTGAACATATGCTTATGGCACCTTTTTTGCATAATCACTAACAAAACAGCAAGCAACTCAGGTAGAGGATAGAAACACCCATACTGAGGAATACCACTCAGCACCACAAAGGAACAAGCAATTCACACACACACAATATGGTAAAGTCTCAACTACATTATGTTACATGAAAGAAGCCTGGTTCAAAAGCTTCTCACATAGCACGTCTGTATGCACGTGCACTTACAGTGCATGATGCTTATGGGGTTCTGAAAAAGGCAGAAGCATAGTGATGGCAAAGAGATTGGTGAAGTCAGAGATCATTAGTGCAAAAAAGGCTTGGGAGGGGGAAGCAATATTCTTTCCCTTTGAAAGGGGAAGGGCTGGAGCGATAGCACAGCGGGTAGGGCGTTTGCCTTACACGTAGCCAACATGGCCGACTCGAGTTCGATTCCTCTGCCCCTCTCGGAGAGCCCGGCAAGCTACCGAGAGTATCTCGCCCCCACAGCAGAGCCTGGCAAGCTACCTGTTACGTATTCGATCTGCCAAACACAGTAACAACAAGTCTCACAAAGGAGACGTTACTGGGCCCGCTCGAGCAAATCGACGAACAACAGGAGGACTGTGACTGTGTGACCACTGTGAAAGGGGGAGAGGGGCAGGGGTGATAGTACACCAAGGAGGGCATTTGTCTTGCAAGTGGTTGACCCAGGTTCGATCCCCAGCATGCCATGTGGTCCCCCAAGTACCACCAGGAATAATTCCTGAGTGCAAAGTCAGGAGGAACCCCTGAGAGTCACCGGATGTGTCCCAAAGATCCAAAAATTTTCAAAAGGGGAGAAGGAGAAACATAGGCCAGATAAATAGAACAGCAGGTAAAGAACTTGCCTTGTAAGCACCTAACTTTATTATTTTTTTTATAATGTAGAAGTACTGCTATTTATTCAACCATTGATTAAGCTGAATGAATTGGACATGAACTCCACATTGCATTTTTTATTCTGAATGTTAATTTTATTTTATTACTTTATTATTATTTTTCCCTCCTTTTTTTGATTCACCGTGAGATACAGTTACAAAGCTTTCATGTTTGAGCTTCAGTCATACAATCATCAAACACTCATCCATCCCTTCACCAGTGCACATTTTCTACCACCAAAATCCCCAGTATTCCCCACCCCAACTCCCATTCCAACCCTTCCCCTGCCTGTGTGACAATTTCCCCCATATTCTCTCTCTACTTTGGTTACATTCAATATTCTGACAACTACACCACCTCCGCTTTGCTGATGACATCGTTCTAATAACACCAAACATCAGCCAAGCGGCACAAATGCTGGCCGACTTTGACCATGAGTGTGGAAAGGTAGGACTACAGCTGAATCTTACGAAGACAATGTTTATGAGAAACAGTCTCGTTCCTGACGTTCCATTCGCTCTCAACGGAACAACCATCTCCGAATGCAACAGTTATGTGTACCTTGGTCGAGAAGTCAACATGACAAATGACCTGGCACCTGAGCTGCGCAGGAGGAAGAGAGCGGCTTGGAACGCCTTCAAGAGCGTCGAAGAAATAGCTAAGAGAACGAAGAACCTCCAGCTCCAGGCATATCTCTTCGATTCCACTGTTCTGTCTGCATTAACATATGCCTCAGAGACCTGGGCCCTATGAAAACAGGATGAGAACGCTATTTGGGTCTCTCAAAGAGGAATCGAAAGAGCTATGCTTGGAGTATCATGCTTCACTCAAATGAGAGAAAGAATTCGGAGTTCAGACCTCCATCAATGCTCAAGAATCAGGGACGCTGTCTCATTTGCCAAAGCGTCAAAAATCAGATGGGCTAGACACGTAATGAGATTTGGAGATAACCACTGGACTAGAGCCGTTACCAACTGGATTCCACGAGATGTCAAAAGATCGCGTGGACGCCCACCTATGAGATGGTCCGACTTCTTCGTCAAGACCCTGAATGATCGGTTTGAGACTCTTCGTGTTCCTAGAACAAGCAGATGCCACTGGGCTACACTAGCACACGACAGGGACGAATGGAGACATTACTGGCGCCCGCCCAAGCAAATCGATGAGTAATAGGATATCAAGTGATCAAGTGATCAATATTCCGACACCAGTCTCACCACCACTCAAACCTGCCGAAAAGGCAATGCCTGACCATTTGTTTTGTATTGCTTATTATGGATAGAATATAATGTCCAGGAAATTCTGTGGCACTCTCTTCTGGGAGTTTTAGTTTATAATTTCTGGGTCTTGGCCGTTGATGAGATTATATGGCGCCAGGGGCAGTTTGTGGGTGTGACTGCCAAGCTATTGAAAACCTGGGGAACTCGGGGGAGGAGGCCCAGTCCCAATCCAAGCAGGCTTGGAGATCTCAGTCTTGGGTTCCTGCATACCTGGGTTTTCCTGCTGGTCCGCTCTCAAGTGAGGTTCATCCTGTCTTGGGTGAGGCTTGTCTCCTCTTGGGTCAGGCTCGTCCGAGCATGTGGAGAGTGGCTTTGGGCATGGTGGCGGTTGGATTCTGGAGGTTTTCAGCTGCCAGGGTTCTGTTTGGAGTGGGGAGAGAGACTCAACCCGCCCCCCACCCCTCTGAGATGCCCTGGTAAAGACAGCTTGGCCTGGGGACCTGACCTTAATTTGATCCCTGGCACTGCACATTGTCCCCTGAGCACTACCAGGCATGATCCCTAAGCATGAGACCAGAACACTGAACACTCATATATGACTTAACTCCACCTTCCAAAAAATAGAAATCAGATCCTCAGCCCCACCACCACAAAAAAATAAAAAAATTTTTTTTAAAGAATAAAGGGGATTGGAGCTATCTAGATAGTACAGGAAGTGAGACACTTGCCTCACACTTGACTGTAATGACCACAATTCCTGGTTGAATCCTTGGAACCACATTCTGGTCCCCTGAGGACCACCAGGGATCACAGCCTGTAACAGCCTCTGAGCACCTCTGATGTGGCCCACCCCAACCCCCAAAACCCAAAGAAAGACAACCAGACAAAGGTTTGTAGAAATCGCTCGATGGGCTGAGTACATGCAAAACTTTCCATATGGGAGGTGTGTCTCATCCCCAGTACAAGTTCCCCTGAGCACCATCAAGAGCAATCTCTGAGGGGCTGGAGCGATAGCACAGCAGGTAGGGCATTTGTCTTGCATGCGGCGGACCTGGGTTCGATTCCCAGCATCCCATATGGTCCCCTGAGCACTGCCAGGGGTAATTCCTGAGTGCAGAGCCAGGAGTAACTCCTGTGCATTGCGGAGTGTGACCCAAAAAGAAAAGAAAAAAAAAGAGCAACCTCTGAGGTTAGAATCAGGACATGTCCCCCCCCACCCCCCAAGTACTGCTGGGAATGGCCCAAAGACAGAAGGGGGTGGGGGCAGGAAAGAAAGCTCAGTACTGAAGCTCAAAGCTTCCATGCTGAAACCAGTGTCAACATGCACTGTGGCTCCTGATGTCATCTGTCCTTGGCCACCACACACCATCCTCTCCTGGCCTCTTCCCAGAGTGGAACACTGGCTCCCAACCTGAGGCACTGGGGCATGGTGGCTGACCCTGGCCATTCTGACCTGACCATAGTTTCCACAGCTTCTTTTTTATTTATTTTCTTTTTGGGTCACACTCGGCGAAGCACAGGGGTTACTCCTGACTCTGCACTCAGGAGTTACTTCTGGCAGTGCTCAGGGAACCATATGAAATACTGGGAATTGAACCTGGATCAGCCGCATGCAAGGCAAACGCCCTACCCACTGTGCTATCGCTCCAGCCCCTCCACAACTTCTTTGCCCCATGCATGTGCTCAGGCTGGACTAACACCTGCATTTTCTCCTCGCCTGCTCCCAGGGCTCCAGCGGGGACGAGCGAACGATGGCCAAGGAGCTGGCTGTGCTGCTCTGTGACGGCACAGAGGACACCATAGCTGAGGGCCAGGAGTCCCCCGAGTTCTGGGACCTGCTGGGCGGGAAAGCGCCCTATGCCAATGACAAAAGGTATGAGACCTCGGTGTCCCCTCCTCTCGGCTCCCCCTGTCCCCTAAGCCCGTGAACTGCACAGACCTGAGCTCGCTCCCTCTCACGGCCTCGGTTGCAGACTGCAGCAGGAAATCGATGTCCAGGCCCGACTCTTTGAATGCTCCAACAAAACTGGCCGCTTCCTGGTCACTGAGATCACAGACTTCACCCAGGATGACCTAAACCCGGGCGATGTGATGCTCCTGGACACCTGGGACCAGGTGAAGTACTCCCAGGACACTGGGAACAATCAAGACAAGGATCCCTGAACTTGAGGCTATTGCTGGTAGGGTGCTCCACTCCAGAACTCAGGTATGATAGTCCTGGGTCACCTCCACCTCAATCAAACATTTGCCAGTGGTGACCAGCTGAAAGGGTGCTTGGCCAGGGCAGTAGAGAACAGAAGGCTGTTTCTTTTTCTTCTTTGGTAGAGGTGTGGGGGCTTTGGGGCCACACCTGGCGGTGCTCATGGCTTACTCCTGAATCTGTGCCCGGGGTTCACTCCCGGCAGTCTCAGGGGACCATGTGGGATGCCCAGGCACGTGCAAGGCAAGCAACTTACCCCCTAGATTATATCTTCAGCCCCTTGAATGTTGTTTCAAACTCATCATTCTGGGACCAGGAGAGAGAGCTCAAAATGCTAAGTCCGGGGCTGGAGCAATAGCACAGTGCATTTGCTATGCACGCAGCCAACCCGGGTTCGATTCCCAGCATCCCATATGGTCCCCTGAGCACTGCCAGGAGTAATCCTGAGTGCAGAGCCAGGAGTAACTCCTGTGCATCACCGGGTGTGCCCCCCACCAAAAAAAATACCCCAAAAAAGCTAAGTCCGTGCTCTGCATATAGGAGGTCCCAGGTTTGATGCATAGCACTGCAGGTCTCCTGGAAGCAGTCCCTGAGCACAGAGTTGGGAGTAATGCCAGATGTGGCCCCAAAACAAAGTCGGTAACAACAACTAAAAAAAGTTAGGCTTCAGATGAATCACTCCAGCGAATGTAAGAGAGGAGGATGCGGGTGAGAAAGGAGGTGGTGCGTGGGGAGACTGAAACAGAACAGACGAGTCTAAGAGTGGGGCGAGAGCTGCTGCGGCCTCTGACACGCCACGTTGGCAGGGAGGGGGCTGAGGACATAAACGCCCAGGAGGCAAATGGCCAGCCCTGGGGAGAGTCGTTGGATATGGGAGTGCCTAGGAAAACTCCCGGATTATTGTTCTTAGTGATTGGATAAATGAAAGTCACCAAGAATAGAGACTGGAAATTCTGAGAGACAGTACAGGGGGCAGGGAAGAAGCCAACCCCAGTTCAATCCCCAACACTCCATACAGGTCCCCAAGCACCATCAGGAGTATGCCCACCTCCCCATCAAAGAAAACAGAGACCAAACATGAGTCTAGAAAATAGGGGCATGGGGCCAGAGCAATAGTACAGCAGGTAGGGCGTCTGCCTTGCATGCGGTCAACCCGGGTTTAATTTCCAGCATCCCATATGGTCCCCTGAGCACCGCCAGGAGTGATTCCTGAGTGCATGAGCCAGGAGTAACCCCTGTGCATCGCCAGGTGTGACCCAAAAAGCGAAAAGAAAAGAAAAGAAAAGAGGGGCAACATTTGGGTGTGGAGGGGGGAGGGTGGGATGTTCCACGTGAGGGGCATGGAGACAATCCAGAGGAGGTATCATACAAGTTCAGAGCTATGGGTTTGCAAGATGCATGTGATCATCCAAATCGCAGTCCTTCTGAGGAAGCTGTTCCACCTGCTGAATAAATTAGACTGGAAAATTTCTCAAGACCCTATGGCCAGAGCTGTAACACGGAGGGCAGGGCTTTTGCCTTGCATGCAACCAACCTGGATTTGATCCCTGGCATCCCTGTGGTTCTCCCAAGCCCACCACGAGTGATTCCCGAGTGCAGAGTCAGGATTAAACCCTGAGCATCTCAAGGTATGGCTCCAAAATGAAACAAAATGAAAAGTTCTCAAGACCCTAGCAGGCGAAGCCAGAGTTAGCATGTGCCCTTGTACCAGCGCCTCTGCACATTCTCTCTGCCACCAGGTATTCCTGTGGGTCGGGGCTGAGGCGAATGCCAAGGAGAAGGAAGGAGCTCTCCAGACGGCCCAGGAGTACCTGCGCACCCACCCTGGCGACCGAGACACCGGCACGCCCATCCTAATCATCAAACAGGGGTTCGAGCCTCCCACCTTCACAGGCTGGTTCTTGGCTTGGGACGCTCATATCTGGAGTGTAAGCACAGAGCCCAGAGCCCAATCAGTCCAGAACCCACCCATCACAGCTCCAAGTCAGAAAACCCTCAGCTTGCCTCAGTAAAGCAGGGCTGTGGCAGTAATACAAAGTTCATACAATGTATCCACCATTTCTTTCTGAGCTCTCCAATCTCCTGATAGCCCGGCAGATGTTGTTAGACAGGAGGAAGTTTAGAGAAACTGTTCCTCTGAAATCACAACTTGCCTGCAGAGCTCCAGCTTTCTGGCTCTGAACCAGAAATAACTCCTAAGCACCGTGAGGTGTGGCCCCGAAGCCAAATAAGGTCACAATTGGCCAAAAGGCAGAAGCCAGCTTTCCTGATGCTTAGTCGATTGCTGTCTTCTAAGGAGGCTGGGAGAGGTCCCAGAGAAGCCAACTGGTCCTGCTTAAGTACCTTCAACCAGCCGGCAGGGGGCTGTGGGGGGAGGGCAATCACGTTTTCTTATCCCTGAAATTTCTTCTCATTCCCCGACTCTTACTTATTTACTCATCTGCTTCCCCCAGGTTTCGGCTAGGTCTGGGATGTCCCTCTCCTATTAAGCAGGGTTTTCCCTTCTTTTCAGGAAGGGAAATCATATGAACAGCTAAAGGCAGAGCTGGGCGACGCTGCAGCCATCCAGAGGATCACCACGGTGAGCTGGGGGTTTCTGGGGGGATGCGAGGAGCCATGAGCCGGGACAAAGGTCTCTCCTATACTATTTTTGTTCTTTTCTGCACACGCATTGATATTCATCTAGAAAGGCTGGTCTAGAAGCAAGCTGCTCCAGGGGTTGAGGGGCTCCAACCTAAAAAAAATTAAGTTGCTAGGGTTGGAGAGATAGAGTCCTGTCGGTAGGGAGCTTGTGTGTGACAGTTCAGTCCAAGGCATCAGGTCCTCTGAGCCCACCAGGAGTGATCCCTGAATGCAGAGCCAGGAGTAATCCCTGAGCATCACCAGGTATACAAACAAACAACAACAACAAAATAATGTTCGGGGCTGGAGAATAGTACAGTGGATAAGATGCCTGCCTGGCACATGGCCCACTCGGATTTGATGCCTGGCACCCCAAGAGTGATCTCTGAGGTCAGAGTCAGGAGTAAACCCTGAGCATCGCTGGGTGTAGCCCTCAAGCAAAACAACAACCTGAAAAAAATATATAAAACATAACAACTGAGGGCGGGGAGATCGTTCACAGGGCTAGAACACAGGCCTGCCTGGCATGTACAGGTCCTGGGTCCCATCCCTTGTACCCTGTGGTCTCCTGAACATAGCTGGGCACAGCCCTGGTAGCCCTCAGGACTTCGGGGAAGGTCCAAAAACAAAACTATTTGTTTTTTGTTTGGGGGCCACACCCGGCAGTTCTCAGGGCTTGCTGGAGCGATAGCACAGCGGTAGGGCGTTCGCCTTACAAGCGGCCAACATGGCCGACCCGAGTTCGATTCCTCCGCCCCTCTCGGAGAGCCCGGCAAGCTACCGAGAGTATTCGGTATGCCAGACACAGTAACAACAAAGTCTCCAATGGAGACGTTACTGGGCCCGCTCGAGCAAATCGACGATCAACGGGAGGGCCTTTACCTTTACGTTTTACTCCTTGCTCTTTGCTCAGGGAACCAACACATGTGGAAGATCAAACCCAGGTGAGCCACACACAGAATCAGCACTTTAATCCTTGTACTATTTCCTCAGCCCAAAATAAATTTTATTATTCAATGCAGTCATTCAAGAATATTTAATTTACTGCCATTTGTTCCAGAAATGCCTAACGCGGAATCATGTTTATCAGTTTCTGACAATGGGGTACACAGCCAGCCAGGCCACTTCACCCTATTTTCTTTTTCTGTTGTGGGGAATCAAACCTAGGACCTCACACATGCAAAAACCAAGTGCTCCACCACTAAGCCATATACCCTGTCTCTCTCCTCCTACTTTGTTCCGGAGCCACAGTGCTTATAAGCCCAGGGCTTATCCCTAGCTCTGTGCTCAGGGGTCATATAGGGTGCTGGGGACTCAAATAAGGGTCCATGGCATGCAAGGCAAGTGCCTTCTCACTGTACTATGGCCCCAGCCCCCTTCTCCACCCCACTCCCATTTTGAGGATCAAGAACTGCAGCCTCTGGCCAGGAATCCAGCAGCTCGCTAACAAGCGGAGGAGAGCTTGGCACCTGGTGGCCCTGCACCATCTGGCAATTTTGTCCTTTGTGCTCCACAGACTCAAGATTCCGAAGCTAATGATGATAGAGTGTCATTAAAACGTATTTAAGAAAAAGTGCAGCTTCAAGCTGCTGTAATTTAAAAGTTGGAAATGTAGTTAAGTGCCAAGAGAAGGGATGTGATCACAATATTTAAATGAAGTTTCAGTGCAGCATTTATGCCAAACTGGCTGCACAAGATTTTCCAGACTTACAGAATCAGCTTTCCTGAGAAGGATCCCTGTGTCTGAGTTAACTGAGATTCCCACATCATCCTGAGACAGGCAGCCAGGTTTGGGGACCCCTTTCTGAGATGATTCTCAAAGATGCAGTGGTGCAAACCAGGTCGTGAAAGAGTTTTCCAGGGCCAGTACTGTGGGGAGGGCGTTTGCCTTGCACACTGCTGACCCGGGTTCAATCTCCGGCATCCCATATGATTCTCTGAGCACCGCCAGTATTTTCTGAGTGTAGAGCCAGGAGCGGCCCCTAAGCATTGCCGGGTGTAACCCAAAAAAGCAAAAGTTAGAAAGAAAGAAAAAAAGCTCCTGAGGTATCTCAGCTCGTGTCTCTCTCCCTTACCTAGGACATGAAGAATGCCACCCTCTCCCTGAACACTGACGATGGAGAGCCAAAATATTACCCACTAGAAGTTCTGCTGAAAAAACAAAACCAGGAGCTGCCAGAAGGTATAAATCCTGCAAAAAAGGAGGTGAGTGGCCGGAGGGGCTGTGTCTGGTGCGAGCAAAATTCTCCCACGGGTCTGGGCCCAAGCATCCTTCGAGCGCATAAGGTATTCAGGGGACACCTTAGCTACACAGTAGTTCCAACCCACACCCCGGGGCTCTGCGATGCTTCCTTACCTCCCACCTCACTCCACCCAGTCACCTCTGTCCACTTCTCTGCAGTCACTCTGGCCTAGTCAGACCTGCAACCATCCCCAAACTGGTTTCCAGCTCTGTCCCATCATCTGTTCCCCACATGATAGCCAGCAGGGGAACCACACATCACTATTCTTTGGGGGCACTGTGGTTTACAAAATCGTTATTAGTAGGGTTTCATACATGAAGCATCCCAGTACCGCATCCACCCGGTCAGTTTCCCCCTACACACAGCCCCATCAAAAGTATGGGGAGAAGGAGCTGGAGCGACAGCACAGCACGTAGGGCATTTGCTGTGCATATGGCCAACCTGGGTTCGATTCCCAGCATCCCATATGGTCCCCCGAGCACCGCCAGGAGTAATTCCTGAGTGCAGAGCCAGGAGTAATCCCTGTGCATCGTCAGGTGTGACCCAAAAAGCAAAGAAAGAAACAAACAGAACAACAACAACAACAAAAAAAAAAACATGGGGAGAAGGGGCCAGATCGGTCGTATAGCAGGGAGGGCATTTGCCTTGCACACAGCTGACCTGGTTCAATCTCCAGCATCCCATGTGGCCCTCTGGAGTGATCCTAGATAGTCTCCACCAGGAGTGTTCCCTGAGCACAGAGCCAGGAGTGAGTCCTGAACACTGCCCAGTGTGGCTCCCCACCCTGACCCCTCAAAAGGGGGGTAAGAGATGAACAGAAATCTGCTCAGAGAAGACATACTGGGGTCAAAAGGCACATGAGGGGAAAGGCACTGTGCTATTTAAAACATCTTCCGGGGGGCTGAAGCGATAGCACAGTGGGTAGGGCGTTTGCCTTGCACGCAGCCAACATGGCCGATACAGGTTCGATTCCCAGCATCCCATCTGGTCCCCCGAGCACTGCCAGGAGTGATTCCTGAGTGCATAAGCCAGGAGTAACCCCTGAGCATCGCCGGGTGTGACCCAAAAAGAAAAAAAAAATCTTCTGGAGTCAAGGAAGTAACTCAGAGCACAGGAACCCGGGCTTGGTCCCCAGCACCACGTGCTTCTCCATGCACCACTGAAATGACCTAAGTATCCAGCCAGGTATAGTTCACTGGGTCCTGTGAATCCTCCCACCCCCCAACACACACACACAGTTAAAATTAAACACGTGGAGAAAATGCAAAGACCTTCCTAGAGCCTCCAGGACCCACACATTTTGCCTCTGCCTATGTCTGGTTTTGTCTCAACCACCAGTTCCCTCTTCACTTCACTCTACTGTGTCAAACATGCTCATTCCTGCCTGGAGGCCTTTTTCACTTGCTATTTTGTCTGCTTGGAAAAAATTCTGCTCCAGTGTCACCTCCTCCAGGAAGCCTTCCCTCACTCTTCTAGTATTTGATCACTATTATCTTAGTGAGGCGAACGTGATACCACTACACTATGGAAGGATGTGATAGCACAGCAGGCATTTGTCCTGCACATGGCCAACCCGGGTTCGATTCCTCCATCCCTCTTGGAGAGCCCAGCAAGCTACCAAGCTCCTGCCCGCATGGCAGAGTCTGACAAGGTCCCTGTGGCATATTCGATATGCCAAAAACAGTAACAAGTCTCACAATGGAGACGTTACTGGTGCCCACTTGAGCAAATCGATGAACAATGGGAGGACGGTGCTATAGTGCTATTATCTTAGTATTTGATCACTATTATTGCCTCTAATAGTAGCCTCAAGAGCAAAGATCCTGTCTATCTTGTACACAATTGTATTCTCAACTTTTGAGCATCTGAAACAGTTTCTTGTACCCTAAAGTTATGACTGAATACATTACCATATAAAATGACTGGTACCCTAAAGTTATGACTAAATACATTATCATATATAATGAATGGGTTTCTTTTCCCTTTGGAAGATTTGATGGGGTAAGGATTCCTGGGATTTTCCCCTCCACAGTTTTTCCTTTAGTCAGCTTTTAATAACTGAACTTTACAGCTTTCCTGAAAACTGGATCGTTTCTATAATTTTCTATAGAAATATTCACAACCGTTACTGAATATTTGGAGAATGTGTCAGCAAGATCCACCAGATCTTTCATTTGAAAATGTCTGAACAGGGGGCAGTACAGCAGGTAGGGTGCTTGCCTTGCACAAGGCTGACCCAGGTTTAAAACCTGGCACCCCATATGGTCCCCAAATCTGCCAGGAATGATTCCTGAGTGCCAGGAGTAAGCCCTGAGCATCACCTGGTGTGGCTGAAAAAACAAAACAATGTCTGGATAAAAACAGCACGTATTGGGGCCAGATAGGGAGGGGGCTTGCCTTGCACACGGTTGACCTGGGTTCGATCTCCAGCATTCCATATGGATGATCTCCAAGCCTGCAAGGAGTGATCCCTGAGTGCAGAACGACTTATTCCATTCAAACTCTAATGTGTAGAATTCACACATAATAGAGAACCCATTGTCCTTCTGGCAAAACTGCTGCCAGTTGGGACTATGAGTCACGAATTCAGTTTTGTTTTTTTTTTCTTTTTGGGTCACACCCAGCAATGCACAGAGATTACTGCTGGCTCTGCACTCAGGAATCACTCCTGACGGTGCTCGGGAGATCCTATGGGATGCAGGGAATTGAACCCGGGTCAGTTGCGTGCAAGGCAAACGCCCTACCCGCTGTGCTATCGCTCTAGCCCCACAAAACCAGTTTCTTCCACAGATCTCACAACGTGAAGAACTCTGCAAAGACTAACAAGCCCATGGCAGACCTCCTCAACAATCCATCCCCTGCCCTTTCATAGGAACTCCCCAAACTCTCTCCGATGCCCCCAGTCAATGTTCCCTCTAACAGAAAACTTTGCTTTCTCTCAGAATTATCTCTCTGAACAGGACTTTGTTTCTGTATTTGGCATCACAAGAGGGCAATTTGCTGCTCTGCCTGGCTGGAAGCAACTGCAAATTAAGAAAGAAAAGGGGCTTTTCTAAGGCAAGAAAGCACGTGCTGCCTGTAGTATCCCCAGAAGAGAGCAAATAGTGCCTGTACTGGGAAAGAATTTGCCCGCAGCCCCGTGTCTGCCAAGCACCCAAGCTACTCTCTTAGACACAACAGGATCTGCGCATCACAGCATGTTTTCCATGCCTCGGCCCTATGTCCCCAAGCTGTTGTAACCTAATAAAATTACCCACTTTTTGATGGTGTAGCCTTTTGGATGTTTTCAGAAGCACTGAAACTGCATGACACTGAAGAAGTCAAAAGGGACAAAAAAACGAAACACCAGTTTTATTTATTTATTTATTTTTGCTTTTTGGGTCACACCCGGCGATGCACAGGGGTTACTCCTCGCTCTGCACTCACGAGTCACTCCTGGCAGTACTCAGGGGACCATATGGGATGCTGGGAATCAAACCCGGGTCGGTCGCGTGCAAGGCAAACGCCCTACCCGCTGTGCTATTGCTCCAGCCCCAAAACACCAGTTTTAAAGTCGTTAATACTGGCGCCTAGGTTTTTTTCAAAGTATAAGATCAGTATTTCCAAAATCCATAAAACGTTGACATTATCCATATACATTCAATATACCCTAAAGTCAAAATCCAGATCTGTATGTGCCTAAGATTTTTTTTAATTTTTCAAGTAAAATGCCTACATAAGCAAATAGTGTTCTTCTATTTTTGAGTTTGCCTATAAGGATAATTTTTCTACGTTTACATTGGAAGAAAAGTCTCAGTACTGGGAACGTGATGCAGCATTGCTGGGTGAGTGAGCTGGATAACTGGACCGAGGTGATGCTGTTTCTGGCACGAGAACGTCCAAATCTCCAAATCTGTCTCACAGCTGTCAAGGAAACCTCAGTCCGCACGTAGCCACACTCCACTGTCCAACAGAGAAACAGCACCATGTGTTACTAGTTTCAGGAATAAGGCCACAACCAGTGTGCGTAGCGCTGAGGAGAGCCTTCCAAGCCCGCATGCACGGAGTCTGAGTCTGAGTCAACAATTCCAAAGAAAACCCTGTGATACAAATGGGAAGTTCGGAAACAGAACAGAGTGAAAGCAGAACAGGGGAGTTCCAGGTCACAGGTTTCAGAGAGAATGAGCTAGGAAGCTGGGATGCAGGGAAGGCAGTTGCAGCACAGTGTTGATACCGTTTTCCTAGTGAGTTTCCAGAAGGCCCACCTATTGCCTGCCAAAACCTGTCCCAAGTCAGGCACCGATGTCTAAATCTAGGGCTAGTGAGATTAGTAGAACAGGTAAGGCGCTTGCCATGCCCACAGCCGACCTGTGCCCAACACCACAGCTGCCCCCCCAACACATACCCCCACTGGCAATGAATCCCCCCAAACAAAAGCCAAATCCAGCATGACACAGGCAAGGGAAAGCGCCTTTTCACTTCATTACACAATTTTATTAACTTTACCCATGATGCTTATAATTTCATTATAAACTTAAAAAATGAGAAACACACTCAGGGCTTGAAGAGGCTTCGGATGTAGCTCCTTTTTGCAATGCTGTCCAAAGCTAATACAAGTGCTTCTTCCTGGCTCAGTCTCTGGAGCCTATCCAGCCTCTGCTGCCTCTTCGCCTTCTCCACACTCAAATCGTACGAAGTCCACTACAGACACCCCGTGGGGCTGCACAAACTGTCCCAGCGTGATGGACGGGTCCAGCAAGTACGGCTGGGACAGCATCTTGGTTTCCGTCTCGCCGCCAGGCACATCATCCAGGGAGCCAACAGAGAGGGGGGCCATGCCCACCACGTGCTGCCCCAGGCGACGGCCAATATCCTCCAGGTTGGCTTTTGGCTCGGCCGCCTCGCAGACCACCAAGGCCCCATATTTCCCCAGCACCAGGTTGTGGGGTGAGGGGCCCTGTACTGCTCCGTGGACGTAGGAGCCGACATAGAACCCAGCTGGCACGCTCACCCAGGCTGCTCGCTTCAGGGTCATGTTCTCTCCCAGTTTCCCTAAGAAAAAGAACAAAACCATAGACACTGGCTTCCAGAATCCAATACCAGCAGCACTGCCCGGTATGTAGAGCAGTCAGGTTTGGGGGAAGCCCTCTGCACTGACGTGGCGGGAACAGCATCAGGTGAAGATACTGGACCCTACATTCTTCACTCTCAGTTTAAACAGTCGGGCAGGGGAATGGGGAGGAGGGTGGGGGATGCTGACATGTGCCTTTATGGAACACCAACGAGATGCCAGGTACGTGAAAACTAAAAATGTACAGAAACCACGCAGCTGACCCAGGTTCAATTCCTGGCATCCCACATGGTCCCGACCCCTACCAGTAGTGATGAGCACAGAGCCAGGAGTGGCCCCAAAACAAAAACAAGTAACCTTACTTTCCTTTGGGATGGAGCAATAGCACAGCAGCTAGGGTGCCTGCCATGCATATGGCCAACCTGGGTCTGGGTTTACTCCCCAACATCCCATATATTCCCCCATGAACCACCAGGAGTAATTCCTGGGTGCAAAGCCAGAAGTAACCCCTGAGCATGTCCGGGTGTGGCCACGATCCCAGAAAAAAAATCAAAAATAAAAAAATATAGATGTGCAGGTTACAATGCTTGCCTTGCATACATCCAACACGGGTTCAATCCCCAGCAACCTAAATTAATATCCCCTAAACATAGCCAGGTGTGGCCAAGAAAACAAAATAAAATAAAATAAAATGCATAGACACAGACACAGGCATTATTTCTCTCTGCCTCTTACATGTGACTGTATTATTACATGTGACTGTAATAAATCATAACAAATTCCACATACTAATTGGGAGAGGGGGAGAAGAGGGGGTTTCCAGCAGTGCTAGGGGGCCGCCTGGGCTACTATGGCAATGCTGTGGTGGAGGGGGGCATTCAGAACCAGGGATGGAACTTGGGGTCCCACATATACTTGGCATGCATTCCAGCCGTTTAAACTCTCTCTCTCTGGCCCTCCATTTATTAATTGATCAAGTGTTCATCTATAAAATGTTGGTACTGACACTTAAAATAACCTAAAAGCAGGATCACTGAATACATAATATATGTAGAAGCACTTCTGACAGTACCTGGCACATAGCGGACTCTCAAACACTGGCCATTTTCAGGACAATTAAACCAAAGCTTGAGAATTCAAGTATCACACCCAAAGATACAGAGATGACACTGGGCAGAACTGAAACTGAAACTCAGATCTGGACCAGAATGACGCTGTGCACAAGGCTGACCTGGGTTCCATCCCCAGCACCCCATATGGTTCCCTGGTGCACCAGGAGTGATCACTGAGCACCACCAAACGTGGCCCCAAGACAAACAAAGGCCCCCAAAGCCCCTCAAACCAGACTCCAAAGAATGTGTGTCTTCCCCACACTAATCTACCATCCCTCCCAAATTCCACCAGAACTGATGGAAACAATTCCTCATCACCTGTTCTATCATGAAAAACCCTCAACTAAAAACCCCAGAAAATCCCCAAACTTCATGCCATCCAATAGTTTTTTTTTCTCTTATTTTAATGAATCATCTTGAGACACATTTACAGACTTACATTAACTTTGGTGATTGTGTTTCAGTCAAACAATGTTCAAGTACCCATCCCAGTGCCCATTCTCCACCCCCCAATGTTCCCAGTATCCCTCCTTCCACCCCCACCCCCATCCAATAGTTTTAACTTCCTCTCATCAAAAAAAAAAAAAAATCAAAAGAACAGAGGCCAGGGGCTGGAGCAACTAGCACAGCGGGTAGGGCGTTTGCCTTGCACGCGGCCAACCCGGGTTCAATTCCCAGCATCCCATATGGTCCCCTGAGCACCGCCAGGGGTAATTCCTGAGCTCAGAGCCAGGAGGAACCCCTGTGCATTGCCGGGTATGACCCAAAAGCAAAAAAAAAGAACAGAGGCCAGGAAGAGAATACAGTGGGAAAGGCACTTGCCTTGCATGCAGCAGACCCAAGTTTGATCCCTGGCACTCCATATGGTCCCCGGGACACTTCCTGAGCACAGAACCAGAAGTAGGGCCAGAGTACTGTTTTGGATGTGGCCCCAAACAACAACAAAAAGAGAACATATTCATCTATGAGAGCCAGCTTTCTCCCCCTTTCTCACAGGAAGCCAATCTCCTCTCACACAATTCCAAATAAGGGGCCAAAGCAATAGCACAGCAGGTAGGGCACTCATGTTGCACACAGCCAACTGGGGCTCAATCCCGATATCCCATATGGTCCCTTGAGCACCACCAGGAATGATTCCTGAGCAAGACTGAGTATTGCATGCTTCAAAATAAAAAAGTAAAGATGTATGTCTCTATTTTCACCCCATTTTTACTCCTCAATCCTTGTATTAACTAGTTAATATAACCTCCAAGCACCCCAGAGATTGGGGACATGATAAAGTTCCAAATGGCAAAAAAAAAAAAAGACTGAGTATTGCCAAAACCAATAATAATAATAATAATAATAATAATAACTACAAATAAGCCACAAAATAAGAAGCATATCGATTTGCTCGAGCGGGCCCAGTAACGTCTCCATTTTGAGACTTGTTGTTACTGTGTTTGGCATATCAAATACGTCACGGGGAGGTTGCCAGGCTTTGCCGTGTGGGCGAGATACTCTCGGTAGCTTGCCGGGCTCTCTGAGAGGGGCGGAGGAATCGAACCCTGCTTGGCAGGGCCGGCAGTGTGCAAGGCAAACGCCCTACTGCTGTGCTATTGCTCCAGCCCAAGAAGCATATAAATAAACAAAAGGCGTAGAGGGGTGTGAGTATAAACACTTACACTAGCAACAATAATAACTAACTCATGAAAAGTCATCCAAAAGCCAAAATAAATTTCTGGGGGGTCGAGGGGATGGGATTTGGTGCGACATGACGCTCCTCAGGGGCTCCTCCAGACTCAACTGGGGACCGATTTTGTTTGGGAGCTGCACCTTGCAGTACTCAGGGCTTACTCCTAGCTCTGAACTTGGGGATCACGCCTGGAAGAGCTCATGGGACCACATGGGGTAACAGGGATGGAAACTTGGCGGGCTGCATGCAGAGCAAGCTCCCTGTCTGCTGTACTCTGTCTAGCCCCTTTACTGGGGATCGAACTAGAGTCAGCCACACGCCAGGTCCTGTGCTGAACCCCTGTACTAGCTCTTCGCGACCCCCTCAAGAGTCCTCTCCCCCACACACAAAGAAATCTAATTCAGCCCTTAACATCTACAAATTGGTTAATTCCCAGAAACTGACAAGGCTGAAACGCCCAGTTCTTCCAGAATTCCTTAATGAATTCCACACACAGCTGTCTGCCTAGCTTCTCACGCATGAGTCACTGAAATATCATGCACATAAAATAATCTTATAAAGACAAAACTTGTGCTTTGTCTGGAAAGAGCAGTAAATTTCCAGGGAGTCATTTTCCTCTCTTTAATAAGGATGCATAGAAGAGGCAGAATCCCACTCGGGTGACCCAAACCATGCAGGATCTAGGTATGCTTTCCACGGTTAACAGGTTCTGAAAGGAGGAACTTTCTCAAATTCAGAATCTACTTTTTGGTTACTGTTGTTTTGTTTTTTGGGGGGCAACACCCAGCAGTGCTCAGGGATCACTCCTGACAGGGCTAAGGGGACGTTGGGGGATTGAAACGAGGTCAGCTTGTGCAAATGCCCTTCCCGTTATACTACCTTTCCAGCCAGGATCTACATTTTTAAAACAAGAGGAGAAATTATATTCCTAGAAAGGCTCCTAAATTGTTCAGGGTCCCCTATTTAAAAAGGGAACATATAAAGATGGGATGTGACAGAAATAGTATGTCAAAAAGTATGCATGCAAGGTAAGCACCTTAACCTCTGCCCTGAAAAAAATTTCACTCTGCCGAGAAAAATCTTCCAGTTATGAAAAGGTAAATTATTTCAGTTGTGAGATTTCAAGTCTAAATTTATATAAAGAAACGTCGTAGGGCCAGAGCAGTACAGTGCGGAGGGCATTGCCTTGCACATGCTGACCCAGGCTTGATCCCCGGCATCCCATCCCTTCCCCTGTGCACCACCAGGAGTGATTCTGAGTGCAGAGCCAGGAGGAACCCCTGAGCACCACTGAGCATTGCCCAAAAAACAAAATAAAAAGAAAAGATAAAATTCTGAGTACACTGAGACCTCATCTTCTCTTCAAAGTAACAATTACTTAGTGCTCAGAGTGGCTTTGACAGAGGATGAGTTTTTCAAGACACCCACTGCCTCCTAACATCCAACATCAACCCACCCAGCACATTCCCATTATCTGGCCCTTGGGGGCTCATGAGCTTGCAATTCTTTTTTTTGTTTTTAGACCCATGATCCCTTGGATCCCGTCAGGAGAGATCTCTGAGTGCAGAGCCAGGAGGAAAGTGGCTGACGATGGTAGCGTTTCTGGGGTAAGCACCACACTCTGCTCTAGAGTGCCTACATCCCTCCATCAGGGTCCCTCTGCCCCCACCTTCCTACTGAGCTGGCGAGTCTCAATCCAGATTAGGAGAAACACAAAAGAGTCAAGGAGATCCAGCTGCTGTTTCCAGTTTCCAGATCCCTTAGGGAAATACTCACCAATGGCTAAGGTCAGCTGATCCCTAAGAGATCCTTCTCTCTCTGGCCCAGCTGGAAGTTCAGAGAGCTCTGAGGAATTTAAGAAGCCCTAAATATAGAGAAAACAAACATGAATCCATCTGCACGAGTCAAGTGTTCAGGAATAAGGTAAGAATGACCTATTTCTCAGAAATAGGTTTGGAGAGGTTGGAGAGAGTCAAGTGGGTAGGGGGCTTGCCTTCCCTGTACCTGACCCGGGCTCAATCCCCCAGCACTCCATATGGTCCCCCAAGTTCCGCCAGCCCCGAGTGCAGAGCCAGCAGGAAGCCCTGAGCACAGCTGGGTGTGGCCCAAAAACAAAAGCATAAAATGACTTAAGACAACTAAGCATAAGTAGATGTTTTCATGATGTTAAGAAACGATAAAAGTCAGAAAGGGGGGAGCGATAGCACAGGGGGTAGAGAATTTGCTTTGCACGCGACTGACCCAGGTTCGAGTCCCAGAATCCCATATGGTCCCCTCAGTACTGCCAGGAGTAATTCCTGAGTGCAGAGCCAGGAGTAACCCCTGAACATCGCCGGGTGTGACCCAAAAAGAAAAAAAATAGTAAGAAAGAGTTTTGTCTTGTTAATTTTAATTCTTGGGCCACACATGGCAGTGCTCAGGGCTTGCTTCTGGCTCTGCTCTGTGCTCAGGGATCACTCCTGGTGGGGGTCAGGAGACCCACATAGGGTGCCAAGGATTGAATCTGGGTTGGCTGCAGGCAAGGCAAGCGCCCTCTCCACTGTACAATATCTCTCTAGCAGCTCCATCTTTATCTTTTATTCTCTCACTGTATCACACTCAATTTCATTACACTCCTATCCTCTGCATAACTCTTAAAATGCGGTTTCCTAGAAATCATGATTACTGTTATACAATGAGACATTTTTATACAATAGTGAAAAGGTAAGGCTGGGTGGGCCAACAGATGGGAGAGATACAAAATGTTGCACACCCAGTGGAGGAGAATAGTCCAAAGCTGACAAGATCACTTACACTTCCATTCTCTGATTTCCACAATCCTATTTAAAACTGCCCAACATTGGAAGAAAGTAGTTAATAAATCCTGGCGCCTCCACACAATGAACTCTATGCAGCTGGAAAAGGGAAAAAGAAATGATCTCTCTAGACAAGTGGGACTATCTTAAACTAAGAAGCTTCTGCACCTCCAAAGAAACAGTGGCCAAAATACAAAGACAGTCTACAGAATGGGAAAGGATATTCGCCGAATACACATCCGACAAGGGGTTGACATCAAGGATATACAAAATACTGGCTGAACTCCACAAGAAGAAAACATCCAACCCCATCAAAAAATGGGGCGAACAGAGTCGGGGTGGGATGGGGGGGATGGGGGATGGGAGGGATACTGGGATCCGTGGTGGTGGGAAATGGGCACTGGTGGAGGGATGGGTATTTGATCATTGTATAATTGAAACCCAAGCACAAAAATTTGTAAGTCTACAACTGTACCTCATGATGTCTCACTAATAAAAATTAAAAAAAAAAATGGGGCGTTGAAATGAACAGAAACTTTCTCAAAGAAGAAATCCAAATGGCTAAAAGGCACATGAGAAAATGCTCTACATCATTAATCATCAGGGAGATGCAGATCAAAACCACAATGAGATATCATTTCACACCACAGAGACTGGCCCACATCCAAAAGAACTAAAGCAACCTGTGTTGGCACGGATGTGGCAAGAAAGGGATACTCCTTCACTGCTGGTGGGAATACCGACTGGTTCAGCCCTTTTGGAAAAGAGTATGGACGATTCTCAAAAAAACAGAAACTGAGCTCCCATTTGACCCAGCAATACCACTCCTGGAAATATACCCAGGAGAGGCAAAAAATATAGTCAAAGCGACATCTGTACTTGTTTGTTCATTGCAGCATTGTTTACAATAGCTAGAATCTGGAAAAACCCTGAGTGCCCAAGAACAGATGACTGGTAAAAGAAACTTTGGTACATCTACACAATGGAGTACTATGTAGCTGTTAGAAAAAAATGAAGTCATGAAATTTGCATACAAATGGTACCACATGGAAAATATCATGCTAAGCGAAATGAGCCAGAAAGAGACAGACAGACATAGAAAGATTGCATTCATCTGGGGAACATAAAGTAACAAAATAGGAGACTAACACCCAAGAATAGCTGTGATAAATACCAGGAGGTTCACTCCATGGCTTGGAGGCCAGTTGCACACTCTAGGGGTAAAGGCAGCTCAGATAGAGAAGGCAGCACCAAATAAAGCGTGTTGGGAGGATCCGCCCAGAATAGGAGAAGCATGCTGAAAATAGACTATAGACTGAACATGATTGTCACCCAATGTCTCTTTTGCAAACCACAGCATCCAAAAGGAAAGAGAGAACAAAAGGGAGTGCCCTGCCACAGAGGCAGGATGGGATGGGGGGATGGGGAGGTGGGAGGGATACTGGGATCCGTGGTGGTGGAGAATGGGCACTGGTAGAGGGATGGGTACTTGATCATTGTATAACTGAAACCCAAGAACAAATATTTATAAGTCTACAAATGTACCTCATGGTGTTTCACTAATAAAAATAAATAAATAAATAAAAAAGATATGATCTCTCCATGAGCTGCTATGGAGAATGTCTAGTATATATAATTAAATTCAAAAAGAGGGACCAGAGAGATAGTACAGATAGCACCATGGGTAGGACACTTGCCTTGCATGTGGCCGATCTGGGTTCAATATCTGGCACCCCAAATGGGTCCCCTGACACCCACCAGGAGTGATTCCTGAGAACAGAAGCAGAAGAAAACCCTGAACAATGCTGGGTGTGGTGCACAAATACAAAAAAAGAGGAAAAAAGAAGGCAAAGAGAAAAGTAAACAAGAGGGGCTGGAGCAATAGCACAGTGGGTAGGGAATTTGCCTTGCATGCAGCCAACCCGGGTTCAATTCCCAGCATCCCATATGGTCCCCTGAGCACTGCCAGGGGGTAATTCCTGAGTGCAGAGCAAGGAGTAACCCATGTGAATCACCGGGTGTGACCCAAGAAGCAAAAAAAAAAAAAAAAAAAAAAGTCAACAAGAACCAGAAAGATAATACAGTGGGCAGTGTGCTTGCTGGTTAAATCTTTGGCACCCCTTATGGTTACCCCGAGCCCCCCGAGCACAGAGCCAGGAAAAAGTACTAAGCACAGCAAGGCTAGAGGGGAGGAAGGAAAGAAGGAAGAGAGGGAGTGAGGGAAAGCGAGAAAGGCAGTGAGTTTTTATGTATTATATCACCATATGTGTAAGAAAGAGACATTTGTAAACATTTTTTTTTTGCTGAAGACACAGAGGGGACCAGGAAACTCATTATCTGCTGAGTGATTAAGAATAGAAGAGATTGTCGCCCACGAATGGCCTCTCTGGCTCCTGATCAAGCTGCTTAATGGCCATGATCCCAGAGACTCAGAAACAAATCTCGGAACCCAGTGGCTTTTGGCAGAGATGCGTCCAGTTCCCGCAGTAGGTTACAGGGCCAGTCTACCCCAGGGGGGAATAGGTTTCGTGCCTTGGTTTGTTCCCCCTGGCAGCTCGGTGGCCACCATCCTCCAGAGGTCACTGGACAGTCAGGTTTGGGCCCGAAGTGACGAGACACACGGGGCCTCATGGGATGGGGGTGGAGCCAGCCCTTTCCTCCCCACTCCAACAAGACTCCGAATCACTGCCCATGAACGGCCTCTCTGGCTCCTGATCAAGCTGCGTAATGGCCACGATCCCAGAGACTCAGGAACAAATCTCAGAACCCAGCAGGTTTTGGTAGAAATCCCTCCAGATTTAATTGCTAAAATTTCAGAATTCCAAAACCGTGTGCCCACTACGGCAGCCAAGTGACATCATGTGATATTCATAACCAGCAATAGAAAACAAATTGTCTACAGTTGCCTTTTCGGCACATCTGAGTGTTGGGTTAAAATCCCAAATAATAATGGTGGGTCTGGGGTCGAAATATTGAATGAAATCAAAGTGGAAAGAGAGCAATCATCTGCCCCACAGGTAGGGGGAGGGTGTGCGATGGGGGGCATACTATGGTTTTTGGTGGTGGAGAATGGGCACTGGTGAAGGGACAGGTGTTTCATCATTGTATGACTGAAACTTAAACCCAAAAGCTTTGTAACTGCTCTCACAGTGATTCAATAAATAAATTTATAAAAAAAGGAAAAAAAGGGTAAGGTGGAATTTATGCCCAATTCAATCAGCCTAATCAATGGCTGAAAAAAATAGCAATACTCCTGCATTAAAAAAAAAAAAGAATAGAAGAGAAGGGCTAGAGCAATACAGTGGGTAGGGCGTTTGCCTTGAACCCAGGTTCGATCCCCGACATCCTATATGGTCCCCTAAGCACCAGCAAGAGTGACCCTTGAGCACTGAGCCAAGAATAAGTCTTGAGTATCCCTAGGTATGACTCTAAAACCAGGAGAAAAGGGGAGTAAGAAAAGGGGAGTAAGACTTTTTCATGTATGTTTTATACTTTTGTTTTTTCTTTTTTGGGTCATACCTGGTGGTGCTCAGGGTTACTCCTGGCTCTAGGCTCTGACTCAGGAATTACTCCTGGCAGTGCTCGAGGGATCATATAGGATGCTGGGGATGGAAACCCAGGTCAGCCGCATGTAAGGCAAACGCCCTACCTGCTGGACTATCGCTCGAGCCCTGTTTTTATACTTTTAAGTTTCAGAATCTTGTTACTGGTTTGCATATTCAAAAAATAAATTAGGGCCAGGAAGAAGATCAACGAATTCGAGTGCATGTCTTGCCTGAGACTGGTCCTCGTGGTCAGCCCTAAACTTGGTGGTTGCACCAAAACCACCAGGAGCAACCCCGGGCCAGAGCTGGGAGTAGCCACTGGACGCTTCTGGGAATGGCCCCAAACAAAAAATAATTAACAAGGATTTGGTGTGAAAATGTCTAAACAGAAACCTAAGACCCTAACGATACTTGACACGAATAAGAAAATCTCACAGAAGGTAAAAAATAACCAAATAACTCAGGTGAGGGGGTGAGGGGTACATTGGGTCAAGTCCACAGTTCTAAGGGCCTGTTTCTGCTGTGTGTTGTGGAGTGACCACTGGCACTGCCCAGGGACCATACGTGGTAAGAGGAACCAGGGCCAGTTGCATACAACTGACCTGTACTTCTTTCCAGCCCCAAAGAACTTTTCAATAACAGGTCTGGGACCACCTAACGCCAATGTAAAGACAACAACAAATCTTGAACTTCTTAGCCGGTATGATGCAGTCTGTTACTTTATTGAAGAGACCAGTTACAGGAGCTCTAAAACACATTGGGGGGCTGGACTGATAGCACAGCGGGGAGGGCGTTTGCACTACAAGCGGCCGACCCAGGTTCGATTCCCAGCATCCCATATGGTCCCCTGAGCACCGCCCGGGGTAATTCCTGAATACAGAGCCAGGAGGAACCCCTGTGCATCACCAGGTATGACCCAAAAAGCAAAAAATAAATAAATAAAAATAAAACACATTTGTTTGTATTACAATCAGTGGGCTGGAGCGATAGCACAGTGGGTAGGGCATTTGCCTTGCACGTGGCCGACCCGGCTTCAATTCCTCCATCCCTCTCGGAGAGCCCAGCAAGCTACCGAGAGTATCCCACCCGCACAGCAGAGCCTGGCAAGCTCCCTGTGGAGTATCCGATATGCCAAAAATAGTAACAACAAGTCTCACAATGGAGACGTTACTGGTGCCCGCTAGAGCATATCGATGAGGACAGTGCTACAGTGCTATAACATTAGTAAGTAAACACTGAAGTCTGCTAGGAGCCAGTGTCCTCAACAGAATAGAAAATACAAGTATCCAACGGGGAAGCGAAGTGGTGCAGGATTAGAACTGAATTCTCTCTTTCTCTCTGTCTCTGTCTCTCCCTTCCCCCGCCCCACCCATTTCCTCTCTCTCCACATCCAGATTTGGTATCTCAGTAAAAAGGATCAGGATTCCTCGGGGAAATTCTATGATTAGGGCAAAAGATGGCATAAGTCCAAAGTACCTTAAGGAACATAAGATGAGGGAGATGATTCAACGGGCTGCAGCACAGGATTTCCTTGCAGAAGGCCTGGGTTCCATCCCCAGCACCACCAGAGTGACCTGTAAGACTGCTGGCCATGGTCCAAAACATAAAACCCACCAAAATAGGGAAATATTCAGGAAAGAATGAGGAGTAATCAAAGGGACAATGAACGCGCTTGCACAAACTTGGGCTTATACCAGCCAGTTCCAAAAATAATTTTGGCTTCAAAATAAAATATATTCTTCATTATTTTTAAATATACCTAGGTTACAATGTAGCACTGTCTGTAGCACTGTCCTCCCTCTGTTCATCATTTCCTCTGCCCAGTGACTCTCCATTGTGACACTTGTTACTGTGTTTAGCATAAGGAATACGTCAGGAGCAGCTTGCCAGGCTTTGCCATGCGGGCGAGATATAATAAACTAATGATAATCTGTTTATAAAATTAGAATCCAAGAATCAACGTTGGTACAAAATGAATCACTAAATGAAAATGAAGAAGAGAAATCTCAAGCTTGGTTTGGTAATTTTTTTTTTATCCTCTACCCAGTGGTACTCAAGGGCCACGCTTGGTAGTACTCAGGGGACCATATGTGGTGCCAGAATTCAGATCTCAGGGTCATGTCCAAAGTCACATTTGAGGCAAGTGCCTTAACTTTAGTACCGTCTCTCTGGGCCTCTCTTTGTCTTCTTAAATACTTGCTTTAAATAGAAATAAGACAAAATAAAAGTGCCTGCCTTGCAAGCATGAAGCCATGGGTTGGATCCCCGCTGCCAGTCACATGCCCCCAGTGCTATCCCCGCTATTCCGCTGTCTGGGCCCCCCACCACACACTCATGGGAACACAAGTGTGTGCCAGCCCCAAACCAGATATGTAGTCCCCAGTTATCCCAACAACAGAACAAACAAGAAGGGGGGGAAAACTGACACATCATTTGAAGCAAAATATTAACAAATGGAACCGGAACAATAGTACTTCGGGTAAGACACTTGCCTTGCACACAGCTGACCCAGGTTCAACCCTTGACACCCCATATGGTCCACCATGCCTGAGTACCACCAGGCATGGCCCAAAATATAAACAAAAGAGTTAAAAGGAAACTTAAATAAAGACCAAAAGGTAAAGTAATATATAAAGCTAAAAGAAATTAAGGCCCTTACTACAGATAATGAGAAAAGGCACAATACAGTGAATGACTCACACCAACTGGCCAAGGGCTCACACTGGCAGATCAAGATTGGACTTTCCGGGGCTGGAGCAATGTACAGTGGGTAAGGCATTTGCCTTGCACAAGGCCGACCCGGGTTCAATCCCCGGCATCCCATGTGGTCCCCCAAGCACCGCCAGGAGTGATTCCTGAGTGCAGAGCCAAGAGTAACCCCTGTGCATCACTGGGTGTGACCCAAAAAAGCAAAAAAAAAAAAAAAAAAAAAAAAAAGATTGGACTTTCACATTCAAGTGGCAATGCAATTCTAAAAAGTAATCTTCACAGTTTTCAGAGGAATGATAACACTAATAACACTTATGAGTCTCAAGAGAAGGATCACGAAGAGCATAAGGGTGGCACTAAACACACATGCTGATGTGACTTAGGAGTTTCATTTCTGCCTTGACCGCAAAGATGAATCAAAAGCAGAGGAATAAATTTCTTCCAGGATCTTGACAGGATCAAGAATATGCTCATTCTCTGGGGCCGAAGAGACAGCTCAGCAGGTCAGGTGTTCACCTTGCATGCATCTGACCAGTTCAATCCCCTGAATCCCATAAGGTCCCCCAAGCCCTGCCAGGAGTAATTCCTGAGTGCAGAGCCAGGACTGACCACTGAGCATCTCTGGATGTGGCTCACCCCAAAGAAACAAGCAAAAAAAGAATATGCTTATCTCAACTAAGCCTTCTCCAAGCCTTTTCCACTTAGAAAGCCTTTCCTAAGGTCAGGGATATGGCTCCGGGAAAAAATGCCTGCTTTGCGAGCATGAGATCTGGGTTTGATCCAGGCAAGCAAACAATAACTACAACAACAAAAAATATGTATCCTAATTAAAAAGCCTTTCCTCAGGCTATTCTAGATTACTGGATTTCAAACCAGAACCAAAACAAAAGAACTGGGGCAAAAGAATTGATGGGTTAGACAGACAATACAGTTGGCAGGGTGCTTACCTAGCATGCAGTGACCCGGGTTCAAACCCCAGCACTATATAACCCCGAGCAAGCATGATCCCTCAGTACATAGCCGAAATTAAATCCTGAGCAATCCACGTATAGTTCTAACACCAAATCAAACCAAACAAGAACTATTACAGGAGTTAAGGCACTTGCCTTACACACAGTCAACCCTTGTTTGATTGTTGGCACCACATATGGTTCCCTAAGCACCCCTGAGAGAGATCCTTGAGCACAGAGCCAGGAGCAAGCCCTAAGCACTGCCAGGTATAGAACAAAAACCTGAAGAAAAAAAAAAATTTCTAACTTCAGTACTACCTGAATTGATACAGATCTCCACCCCATAGTATTCATTCATTCATTCATTCAACACCATTACCGAACCCCAGTGGCTGAGCTCACTGCTCTTTCCCAGAGACACAGAAGTAAAAAAACTTTTGCCTGCTGAGCTCACATTCTTTTGAGAATGACAGGCAATATATAAATAAAAGCAACATGTGCATTATAGCAACGAAAAGAAATTAATGATGCGAAAGAAGGGACTAGAGCAATAGGAGGAAAGCTACTCCTTTAAAGGGGTGACAGCTAAGCAAAGACAAAAAAAACAAGGAATTGAGATATGACAACATATGAAAAGAGACAAGCAAAGGTCACCCCCCACTAATAAATAAACAACAACAAATAACACTCACTTTCCGGTATGTGGAGAGTTGATCCTTTAGGCTCTGACAATACAACATGGTTCCGAGGGCTACTTGCTGGACCAACTGCTGAAACTTCACATTCCTGGAAACAAAATCTGTCTCACAGTTTACCTGTAGAATCAAATAGATGTTGCTGTATAAGCTTTCTACTGCTGCTTCCAAAAGTGACTTGAGGGAACACAGCAGTAAACCAAGTAACTAGGAAGCACAATGGTGGACTCAACAAGACATGCTGACAAACAAGACATACGCTCAAGAAGACAAACAGCTGAGAATCCCGCCGCCCTTGAACCACTGTCAGCGATGCTCAGAGATCACTCCTGACAGGCGTGCCAGGACTGATGGGGGATTGACCACATGCAAGGCAAGCGTCATCCCACTGGACTGTTCCTCCAGTCCAGCAGCTGGGATTCTGACCACTCACTTCTACTAACACGGCCGCGTTTCCATCCTGCAGAAGCCCAATCAGACCTTCCTTCGTCTTCCTCCCGCTGAGCTTGGCGGCTTTACTCCAGCCCTCCTTCTGAGCCTGCTGGTGGAGCCAGATCTCTGCCTAGAGTGAGAAGAAAAAGAGCTGATAACAGAGTCAAAGAATTCTGAACCAAAGGGGAACGGGGGAGTCTTCAAATAAAGTCAGGTTCCATGATTTATTCTGCTTGCCCTCAATTCTAAAACAGAAACAAAATGGGCTGGGGACAAAGTTCAAGCAGGAGAATACATGTTTAGAATGGGTGAGGCCCTGAGCAAAATACTCTTAAATCAGAAGGGCCCCTATGACCTCTATTTAAAATCAAATTAGAGGGGCTGGAGCAAAAGCACAGCGAGTAGGGCGTTTGCCTTGCACGCGGCAGACCCAGGTTCAATTCCCAGCATCCCATATGGTCCCCCAAGCACTGCCAGGAGTGATTCCTGAGTGCATAAGCCAGGAGTAACTTCTGTGCATCACCGGGTGTGACCCAAAACAAAACAAAAAAATAATAAAATAAAATAAATTCAGAGGTCAGAGAGATAGTACAACCAGTAGGATGCTTGCCGTGCCTGCAGTCAACCCAGGTTCAATCCCCCATCCCTTATATGGTCCCCCGAACACTGTCAGGAGTGATCTCTGAATGCAGAGCAGGAATAAGCCCTGAACATCACCAGCGTGGCCCAAAAATCAAAATAATAATAATTTTTAAATAAAATAAAATTGGGGAACCAGAGAGATTGTGTAGGGATTAATGCACTTTCTTCATATATGACTGACATGTCTGATCCCTTGCAACATATGGTACCCCAAGCACCACTGAGCACCCCTAACACAGAACTGGAAACAGCCCCAGAGGTGCCCTTGTCAGAGGTGGCCAAAAAAGTGAAATGAAATTTAATCAATAAAATGAAATGAAATCAAGCCCCAGAGATAGTCCAGAGGTTATTGCCACACCACATGGCCTCCTGAGATGGGGAGGTCTCAAGCATCTCATGGGGTGTTCCTAGAGGCCCCCAGCAGGGAGCTGTAATGCTCCTGGCACCACGTTCTCAGGCCCTCACACTGAACCACTGACCCAAGTGGCAAGGATTAGTGGGGGTGGCCCCTGAACCAATTCTGGGAGCCTCCTACTCCCCTCAAAGAAATCAAGGATATGCTCAGCAGTAGAGGATCTGTCTTGCATATGTGAGACCCTGGATTCAATCCTCCTCAACTTCAAAAGTGAAGTAATGGCTCATTTCCTGGCAGGCCACCCCTAAATGCCAGGCACCAGGCACCAAGGAGGGTGAGGGGAAGAGGGGGGCAAACACTAATGTTTTGTTTTGTTTTTATGTTGCAGTCACACCCTGAGGTGCTCAGGGCTTACTCCCTGTTCTGTGCTCAGGAAATCAGCCCTGGTGGTGTTTGGGGAACCATATGTGATGGGGGATTGAACACAGATTGGATGTGTGCAAGGCAAGCGGCCCACCCGGTGTACTATGGCTCTATTCCTAAGACTAGTGGAGTTTTTTGTTTGTTTATTGTAGAGACTGGAGCGATAGCACAGCGGTAGGGCGTTTGCCTGGCACACAGCCAACATGGCCGACCTGAGTTCGATTCCTCCGCCCCTCTCGGAGAGCCCGGCAAGCTACCGAGAGTATCTCGCCCGCAGGGCAGAGCCTGGCAAGCTCCGCCTGAGGAATTCGATATGCCAAACACAGTAACAACAAAGTCTCCAATGGAGACGTTACTGGGCCCGCTGGAGCAAATCGATGAACAACGGCAGGACAGTGACAGTATTATAGAGACAAAAACAACGCAAGCAACATTGAAAGATCAACGCAACACTGAAAGATTTAACTGAAGGTATCTAAGATCATGGGACTGGCATGAGAGCACCACGATCTGAGTCTTGATGGGGTGACCTCAAAGTTCACAGGCCTGGGTTTGGAGTGATAGTATAGTACAGCGGGTAGGGCGTTTGCCTTGCGCACAGCCAACCCGGGTTCCATCCCCAGCATCCTTTATGGTCCCCTATGTACTGCCAGGAGTAATTCCTGAGTGCAGAGCCAGGAATAACCCCTGAGCATCGCATCGCTGGGTGTTGTCATAACTCCCCCCCAGCAAAAAAAAGAGGGGAAAAAAAGTTCACAAGCCCTGCAGCAGCTTAACAGAGCAGCCAGCAGCCTTGCCAGTTCTGAGGATTCTTAAAGCGGGGGTCCCGAGCTAACTGCTTCCAAAGAAGAGCCCAAGGTGAGGGTGTTTAGGTCAGAAAGCCTCGGCTCCGGGTGGAAGGGTGAGCGGGTGGGTGGGACCCAGCCCAGCGGCCACACCTGCTGGAGATCGCCGCCGCAAGTCTCCAGGGCTTTCTTGCAGTTCACGAACGAGTAGCCCGTCTTCCGGCGCAGCGTCACGAGCAGCTCCTTGCTGGAGGCGGCGGCGGAGAGCCGGCGCGCGGCGGGAAACGCGCTCCCCGGCGGCGGAGGCCACTGCAACCGCGGGGACCGGGTCTGGGCGGAAAGGAGAGAGGGGTGAGACCCGGAGAGCAGCGGCGGGGGCGGACGGCCGCGGCGTGGGGCAGGGGAGGGTGGTGGCAGGGTCCGCCCCGGCACGGCAGGCAAATCGCCGGCAGAGCCAAGAAGCCTCACCTGGCAGCTTCCCGGCCATGCGATCAGACGGTGGCGGAGCGGCCGCAGCAGGGACATCCTGGTGGCCGCCATACCCGGCTACGGCAACCGGCGCGTGGATGAGGCCAGCGAGCTACGGCGCGGCAGCTGGGCCAAACCGCGCCACCAGCACGTGCACGGCGAGGATAGCGCCACCTGCCGTCTGGAGGGGCGCTTTGCTTCACTGACTTGGGCTTGGAGAGGACAGTTCAGTGGGGGGGAGGGGACAACGACTCCGCAGCCCCACCCCCACCCCTAGATAATGGAAACTTTGAGATCAAGTTGCCGTAAAATAAGAATGCAAGACGGGTAACACTTTGCTTCTTTATTTCCAATGCGCTTTCATATTCACTAACCATTTATGGCCCAAGACATGCTTGTGAGGTAGAGTCAAGGTAGAGAGGCTCATAAATTTCGTCAAGATTGCCTTAGGAAGGAGGGATGGAGCCTCTTCAACAAAACAAATAAAATTTTGTTGAGAGCAGGAGAGACAGTACCGGGGGAGGGGGGTGTAAAGTGCTTGCTTTGCATGCAGCTGACCCCAGTCTGATCTCAGGCACTACATATGATTGATCCTCTGGGCATTACCATGAGTGACCCCTGAGCACCAGAGCCAGGAGCAGACGCTGAGCACTGACGGGTGTGATCCCAAAACAAAACAACAACAAAAATATGTTGAATGAGTGAACTATTTGTTGAACATCCATGTGACCCAGGAGCTGTAGTTAGGCTTCGGGGAATTAGAGATGAGAAAACCACAGCCCTGTCTTCCAGGATAATGGTGAGATCATGGGGAATACCCAGACCAAGGAAGTCCCTTAAGATCACCAAATGGTTGCAGCATCTTAAAAAAGAAAGAAATCCTATCGAAGCAGATAGCTCGGGAAAAGTTTTGTTGTTGTTGTTGTTGTTTTAAGAAAGAGGGAAAGAGTAATGAAGTAATGAAGATTTGGGCAGAAAAAAATAGCCCTTCCGGGTGGGAAATCATTAAAAAGAATGAGGAAAAAGGTCAGGGAATCTTGGGCTGGATCAGGTAACAACTTTTGCTCAGTTGTCCGGGGGCTGCAATGCAGGGAAGAAGGCACGGGCAGCTGCAATTGAAGGGGAGCCTGAGTACCACCCCAGGTAGACTAAGTACCATGCCGAGGAGTGCAGTCTTGCTTCTGCAGGAAGCAAAAGCTAATTTAAGCTGATGGGGAAGCTCACAGTTTGCGAATGGCTTGAAGGAGAGAGAAGGTAGGCCAGGAGTCCAGAGAAGCTGACGTGTGGCCCAAGGAGGAAGCAGAGAGCCCAAGTCAGAGGTACCAGAGCGGGAAAAGGGGGGAAAGTGAAGGCAAGTCCGTTAGGACAAAGAACAGACAGGACTTGGGAAGCTAGAAAATACGAGGAGCCTGGTTCCTAGTGACTGGGGCTCCAGCACTGGAGAAGGTGAGGAAGCTACAGCCCGAAGGACGGCTCTGCTGTCCCCTCCCAATTTAAGGAGTCATGGGTTCGCAGCATTTCTCTGGAAACAAGAAGCTGGTGGTGGGAGGGGGACGGGAATCTATGGCTTCTCCTCAGGCCCCAAGCAGAAGCCTGAGTTCTGTGATGCAGAAGGGATCGTTAATGCCCCTTTCTTTCCCTTAAAGCTTTTTTCCCAGTAGAATTTGGCAGTGCCAAAGATTCCACCCTGTACAAACCGACCACAGCCAGCTGGAAATGATGGGTGAGTCTCTCTAGAACCCTGGCTCACAGCCCACTCCCTCCCCGGCCCCGAATTGCCTGGACACCCTCCCACCTGCCTGAGCATCTCAGGTTCTCAGGGATTCTGGCAAACACATGTCTCCCTTCCCCTGCCCAAGAGCATCTGAGGGACTGAAGGCGGAAGGAGAAAGGAGAAGGGCAACGGGATTCCATCCTCTTTGGTCCTTATGTTTGGGGCCTTGGAGGGATGATTGTTTCTTCACTGGGACAAGCAGTTCGGTGGCATCGGAGGTGGATGTCAAGCAGGTCTTGGTTCCCTGTGCCTGGCCCTATAGATGTTGACATTTTCATCCTCATCCCGGTGAGCCAGCTCCAGTTGGAAATGCTGGGGCAGAAGGTGCTGGAAGAAGCTCTCTGTCCTGTGCTCCTCTCTCATCTTGGAAGCCAGATAGATGGTGCCATGGGGCCCACACAGGTGCTGGAGGGTCCCCAGCAGCAGGGGGAAGGTGGGTTCCTGGTATACGATATCGGCCCCTAGTACCAGGTCATAGTCTCCGGGAAAGATATGCTGGTCAATCCCCCAGGACAAGGCGCAGACCTGGGCCTGGCCTCCAGCCGGCACATTGGCCTGGACGTTGCCCTGGATCTGCTCTAGGGCCACGGGCAGGTCAGTGATGGTAACATTACCCCCTGAGAGAAAGGAAGGAGGAAAAATGCGAGTCAGAAGGACAGGGCCTGGTGGTCTCCATGTCTGGGTCAAAAGTCTGGAAATAGCCAGGCCTGGAGGTCGGTGTCTCTGTCAGCCTTATGTCCACCTTCTGCCTTCCGGTTGCCCCGAGTTCCACCTCACCCACTGACACTCTCGTTACTCTACATTCTACAACATCAACATTCTCTCAGAGCTAATATTCAACCTCTTGGCCCAACACACAACGCTTTGGTGTCAGCAGAAGCTGGGGCAGGAATAAAGCTGGAGCTTGGCTGGGACCCACCTTCCCCGACACCAGCCAGCCTGCAGGGAGCTGGAAGACTTCCCAAGAGATGTGACCTCAGCGAGAACGTCAAGGGCAAGAAGCACAGAGTCAGGGGAAGATTCCAAGCAGAGAACAGAACCAAAAGCCTGCTGGGGTGAGTTGTGGCATACTGAAGGCAGATGTTCAGTGGCCCTGCAAGCAAGAGGACCAGTATCAGTCACAGGCTAGAGAGATGCTCACCGGGCTCCAGCATATGCTAGACATGTAGGAGGCCCAAGTTTGATCCCCAGCTCCAAAGTTCCCCAAGCACAGAGCCAGGAGCACTGCTGGATGTGGCCTCAAAACCAGATAAAGAAAGTGAAGTGTTGGTCAGAAGGCTAATGTAAAATGTTAATGGTTTGAGGGAGATTCAGGCTCAATGGTGAAGACAGAAAGTTCTAAGAGTAGAAGTAAAGGTGCCAGACAAATAAAAGGTGTTGGAGGATCCTCCCAGGATGGTAGATGCGTGCTGAGAGTAGACTCTAGACCGAACATGATTGCCACTCAATGCCTCTTTTGCAAACCACATCACCCAAAAGGAGAGAGAGAATAAAAGGGAATGTCCTGCCACAGAGGCAGGGGGGAATGGGGAGGACGGGGGGTGGGAGGGATACTGCGATCAGTGGTGGTGGAGAATGGGCACTGGTGGAGGGATGGGTACTCGATCAGTGTATAACTGAAACCCAAGCACAAAAATTTGTAAATCTACAACTGTACCTCATGGTGTTTCACTAATAAAAATCTAAAAAAAAAAAAAAATAAGAAGTAAAGGTGCCAGAGGGGCCGGAGAGATAGTACAGTGGGTAGGGTGCTTGTCTTGCACACAGCCGACCCGGGTTCAATCCCTAGCATCCATCTAGTCCCCTGAGCACCGCCAGGAGTAATTCATGAGGGCAGAGTCAGGAGTAATCCCTGAGCACAGCATGAGTGGTCGAAAACAATCAAACACAAAATAGAAGCAAGGGGATCAGAGCAAAAGTACAGTGAGTAGGGCATTTGCTTTGCACATGGCCAACTGGGTTTGATCTCTAGTATCCCATACGGTCCCCTGAGCCCATCAGGAGTGATCACCGGGCACAGACAGAGCCAGTAGTAATCCCTGAGCACTGCCACTGCTTAAGCCCCACCTCCTCCAAAAAAAAAAAAAGTACAAGAAAGAGCCAGAGAATAAAGGGGTTAAGGCAGGTGATTTTCACTTGACTGTTCCCAGCTTGATCCTTTGCACCACACATGATCCCCTGAACACTGCCAGGGATCACTCCTGAGCACAGAACCAGGAAGCCCCTGAGCTCTGCAGCCCTCACGCCAAACAAACAAACAAACAACAAAACAGTAATCAACGGGGAGAGGTGAGAGTCAAAATCAAGAGTAAAGATGAAAGATCAGCATTCCAGAAAGCCTCATTCCATAAACTCGTGTACTGGGCTATTACTAAGTTCCAGGGAGACACTGGCAGGCAGGAGACCCTCTGCCTTCCCTGAGTGTCATCCTAGAGGGAGCCAGTAGGGAGTGCAAAATATTTAGTCACAATGACAATGACTGTTCTAGAAAGAGAAACAGGAGGCCAGAGGGATAGTACAGGAGGTAAAACTTTGCCCTGCGCACAGCCAACAATCCCCAGAGCCCTGTCAGGAATGATCCCTGCACAGAGCCAGGAGTAAGCCCCGAGCATCGCCAGGGAGGAGGAGGAGGAAGAGGAGACGATCATCATGAGCTGGTTTCCAGACACACTAAGTTAGGAATGGCCATCAGACAACCACATGATGCTATCGAGTGATCAGGAGTGACAGAGACCAGGCTGGAGAGAGAAATGCGAAGTCATAGAGGTCATTGAGAGCAGGGCCACAGCCATAACACAGCGGGAATGGTACTTGCCTTACATATCGCTGACCCAGGTTCGATCCCCGGCATCCCATATGGTCCCCCATGGAGCACCGCCAGGAGTAATACCTGAGTGCAGAGCCAGGAGTAACCTCTGGGTACTGCTGGGTGTGGCCCCCAAACAAAAAACAGAAAGGGCATTGAAAGCGATGAAGGGATGCTTGGGCATGAGAGAGTCAAGAAGTGAAGAACTGCCCCAAGGTGTGCAGCACTCCAAACCCCAACTGTAAAGATGTGAAGGAGTCCACAAAGCAGATCAGATGAGTGCCAGGGAGGAGAACACAAACCACAAAGGATGGTACTCTGGAAAAAAAGGGAAGTTCCTTCTTCATTCTACGTCAAAGAGAAAAGGAAGGCGAAATACTACATGATATGCTGCAGAGGCATTATCAGGGAGGCTGGGCTCCTCGCTGACTCCTGCACTAAGAGGAAACTGGAAATGAGGCCCCCTATCAGGCACCAATCTGGGGTCGGGTTCGTGCCAGGTTCACCTGCAATGGACTGAGGAAGCAACAGGAAGAGAAGAACTGCACAGTGAGAATGATGTCCTCAGAGGTTTGTTATAAAAGCAGAACAGGGACCGGAGTAATAGGAAAGCAGGTAGGGCATTTGCCTTGCACGTGGCCAACCCAGGTTCAATCTCTGGCATCCCAAATGTTCCCCCAGCACAGCCAGGAGAGATCTCTGGGCACAGAACCATGAGTAAGCCCTGAGCACCACTGGGTGTGGCCAAAAAAAAACAATATATATATATGTGTGTGTGTGTGTGTGTGTGGTGTGTGTAGTGTGTGTGTGTGTGTGTGTATAAATAGTAGATTTTAAACATGGAATGATGACTAGAGGGGTATGCAAGATCAAGAGGTTTTATTTTGTTTTATCTAAGATAAATTAGAAAATACTGATATACACTATACATACCATAAGTTCGCATATATAAGGAATGGTTCTCAGGAAATGAAAAGCTGATAATGCAGAGAAGACAGGTGAGAGAGGAGTGTCTAGAGGAGGCAAAAAAATAAAAGCAACCAAAAACATAGTTCCGCTATAGAGCACCTACTTTGCATGTGTGAGACCCTGGGCTCAATTCCCAGGAGAGAGAGAGAGAACAAAAGGAATCAGAAAACAGACGGAATAAAGTCATAGACTGAGAGCAAAGAGAGGAGAGAAGGCATTCGCAGGCTTGAAGGACAAGAAGGTACAAAGCAGCAGCTAGGGAGATGGCTGACAAGGGCTGTATCACATACATGCTTTGCATGCAGGAGCCCCAGTTCGACCCCAGAACTGCTGGAGCCCCAGCATCAGCAGGAGTGACCCTTAAGCACTGAGTTAGGAGTAGCCCCTAGCATGTATGCATGTGCACACACTCTCACACACACACACACACACAGAGAGAGAGAGAGAGAGAGAGAGAGAGAGAGAGAGAGCGCAGAAGGGGAAGAGAACAGCAGAGAAATAGCACAGCAGGTACTATATCTTGCCAACTCCAATCTCCAGCATCCCATATGGTATCCTGAGCCCTGCCAGAAGTAATCCCTGAGCAGAGTCAAGAGTCAAATCCCTTAAACACCACTAGGTATGGCCCAAAAACAACAGAACAAAAAATAGGGGGTGGGCATGGGCAAGCTGGGGAGATAGTATAGGAGTTAGGACACAAGCCCTGAAAACATCCAACCCTAGTTTGATCCCTGGTACCACATGCCTTTCCCCAGAGCCTCCCAGTAGTCCTGAAGGTCCCCAGTACTGCCAGGTATGGCCCTGGAGATCCTTAAGCATCACTGGGTGGTCTGACTGTCCAAGCACTGCATGGCCCAGAGCAGCACAGAATCCTTAGGCTCTGCATTCAACTCGATAGCCTAGTTGGCCAAGAATCAACAGAGTTGGCTGTGGGCTCTCTGAGCACCACTTGGAAAGACTCTCCCCACACCCCACACCCACCTACCCCCCACCCCCCCACAAAAAAGATACAAAATAGATGTTTAGGAGAGCAGAAGAGTAAGTTCATAAGGGAAATGAAATAAGAGTAGCTGGACAGCACTTCAGGACACACCTGAGATTAGTGGCCACAAATGTATACTGTATAATGGGACCTCAGAGCACAGTGAGTGGAGGCGGTGGGGGGGGAAGTATTACTGGGGGGTAGGCCTATACTAGAGGGCCCAAGTGGGTCAGCGTGGCAAGAGTCCAGGAGGCCTTCCCTGGGAAGGGGTGCTGGAACTGAAGGACACATGTGCATTAAGCGTGTGTGTGATACAAGGATTCCAGACTCAAAATGCAGCCTGTGTGAAGGCCCCCAGGAAAGAACCTCAAGAGAAGCTTGAGGACTGACAGAAGGAGCCCCGCAGCACATGCTGTGCAGGATGGGAGGCGCAGGAAGAGGCTCAAGAGCCAGGCAGAACCTCAGAGGCCAAGCAGAAGAGGGTGGGGCCGGTTCTTTCCAGAAACCAAAAAGTTAGTGAATGGAGGGGCCGGGCAGGAAGAAGAGAGGAGTTACTGTTGCAGATTCAAAAGCTGAGTCTGGGGGCTGGAATGATAGCACAGTGGGTAGGGCGTTTGCCTTGCACGCGGCCAACCCGGGTTCGATTCCCAGCATCCCATATGGTCCCCTGAACACCGCCAGGAGTAACTCCTGAGTGCAAAGCCAGGAGTAACCCCTGTGCATCGCCTGATGTGACCCAAAAAGCCAAAAAAAAAAAGCTCAGTCTGACTGCTGTGTGAATGAGTGAATGAGTTGGGGAAACGCAGTCAAAGCCCAGTCAAAGCCAGAAGCATGATTTGACAGGTCATAGCAGTCCAGACAGATGGGGGGAGGGGGAGCAAGGCCTGGGAACCCTTCCTTGTATGTGGAAAAAGATGAAGAGATTCAAGAGATGTTATGGAACTGGAATCCATAGGACCTGAATGATGGATACGGGGGTGAGAAGAAACGTATTAAAGGTCTAGGCTTCCCATATACAGGGTGGTTTTGACTCACTGGGATAGGAAAGGTGTAAGGAAGAAACAGGTTTGGTGGGAAAAGATCACAGGTCCAGTTTGGGCGTGTCTAACTTCCCCAAGGGGAAGCCTGACAGCATGTATGAAATCCAGGAGAGATGACAGAGGCCTGGATTAGAGATGATGAGAAGAAAAAGTTGTAGAGGCTGTATTACGGACAAGGGATTCACAGGCCTGGCTGATGGCAGAAGTGTAAGGAGGAAAAGCGAGGAAAGAGGCGACACCCAGATATAAGATTTAGAAGAGAAGATATTCTGTCCGCATCACAGGCCTTTTGTCTCATTTCAGCAGAACAAAATCACTCACCCAGGTCTCACTCTCCCAGGAAAATGCTTTTGACCTTCCCTCAGTTCTTAAGGAGCTGGTGCTCACGCTACTCACCTCCTTGTCTGACACAGATTCTCCCTGATGGTTTCCGGGAGGCCGAGGGAAACTGTCCTGAGCATGTCTACAGACTCTGCTGGGGGCCTCGTCACAGTTCCTACACCCTAATACCTCCCACCAGGTCACAAGCTCCACTGGGAGAGGGGCTTAACTCACCACTGCATCCCAATTCCTAGCACGACTCTTGGCGTGGCTGACCTCCAAATACATATGGGTTGAGCAAAGAGAATGAAAACCCCCAGAAGTCATCTCTGAATGTGACTTAGTTGTGTGAGCAAGGAACATGTGAGTTTTCATTCCTAGGGAGTTGGCATCTGAAAGCAATGTCATGAGTGTGAGTCTTGTCTGTGCTTTTGACTATGACCTTAGGAACTGTTTCCTTTTTAGTTTTTGGTTGTGGGAAAAATAAAAACAATTTTTTTGACCTTTTCCTTTCCCAAGTGTAATTTCTATCCCATATCCCATCAACACACCTGAGCTCTCAGAATCCCTTAAGTCTGTTCCTCCCAAGCAGTCAAAATCTAAAGAATCTAACATATGTTCACAATAAAGTTCTAAAAACTGATGAAGGTTGATACATACAGGTGGCTGGCTCCTATAGAGTGCTCCCATATGTGCATTTTGGCAGAAGTTCCTGCCCAAAGCAAAGATTATAAGTGAACAGTGTTTTCTATGAAATCGCTAAGTGCAAAGCAGTAGAAACACTTGCTTCTGCTAGAACCTGTTTGATTTTTATTTCCTGTCCCAAATCGACCTACTTGGGTTTCTAAGACGGATGAATCAGGGCTGTCTGGCACACAGAACAAACGAGACAGAAAAGAAAACCCAAGACGTGCCCGTTTTCCCACACCCGTCCCCCACTCCCCACCCTCCTCCTCCCAACCCCACCCTCGTGCGAGCCTCACGCACCTTGAAGGGCGGCCAAAATGCCCACGATGCCCGTGCCAGCGCCCAGTTCAATCACTTTCTTGCCTCGGAAATCCACATTTTCACTCTCGAAATAGTTGCAGAGACTCAGAGCCTATAGAGAGAAAAAGAGAAAGACCGTTTGAAAGAATGAATGGCTCCAATGGGAACGAGGAGTCCAACGTCTGGACCTCCCGCGGACCCTCGCACAAGAGCCACGTGGCCCGGCCCCCTCCTCACCGCGTCCCACACGCGCGCTGCCACCCCCAGGCGGGACCCGAAGTTTTGCGTGATGTTTAACACGTGTCCACAGAAACGGAACCGACTCTTCTCGGAGTAAGAGTCGGCGAAGAGCCCGACCTCCCGCGGGAACACCGACTCCATCTCTGGTTCTGGATCTGGGCGCGGGTGAGCCATCTGGTGGAGAGCGCCACCGTGGCCGGGGCTCGCGTCCGGATCTGCTAAGTGGGATGTGGCTCGGGGGATCTCGGCTTCTCGGCTTTCCCCGTGGCACTTCGAGGAGCCCCGCCTCCCCGAGCACCTCCTCCCACCAGTTGGACTTCCCGGAGGGGGGCGGGGAGGGGCAGCTGCCCTCCCGCCCCAGTCCCCAGCGTACGTCCTACGGGACTCACTCTACGCCTAGCTGATCGGACAACTGAGATCCGAAACCCGGGGAGAGGGAAGAGGACGCCGGATCAATTCTAGCCGGGGAACAGGGTCCCCAAGACCTCTCTCACTTGCAAGGCGCACAGGTGTCTGCAACCAGGGTGGGGACCCAGACCAGGCCGAAGCTGGCGGAGAAATGAGATTGCGTGGCGAGGTCTGATGCGGCCAGGCCAGCGAGGCTTTAGCGGGGACGACACGCCCTCCGCTCGGGACCCCAAGGGCGCTCCCAGCCCCGCGGAATTGACGCGCGGACCTTTAAGGGGCGGCGCCTGCGCCCACGCTGCCCGCTGCGTCATCACCGTGCGCCGGGGGCTCGACTTCCACGTGGGTGCGCGGAAGCGGCCCCGGCGCGATCATGGAGGGGGCCGAGGCTGGGGGTGCGGCCCGAGCCCAGGCCCCGCAGCCTCAGAAGCGCTACTATCGGCAACGTGCGCATTCCAACCCCATGGCCGACCACACGCTGCGCTAGTGAGTGAGCAGGGGAGGGGAGGAGGGACTTCAGCAGCCCGGAAGACCCGCGTCCTGGCAAGGTGGATCGGCTGTGGGACGGGCCCGTGGACCGGGCTGGTGACGTCGGAGGACCCGGGGGGCGGGGGGTGGATTTGGCGACCGACAGAGTTGGCGGCTTGGGCGCAGGCGGGGCCTTCTGGCCCGGTCTGGAGAAGAACCAGAAAATGGTACCGGTACTGGAGCGATGGAGACTGAAAGTCGGTTTCGTTTGTAAAGACACGAACAGGCAGTATCCGCTTCCCGCTGAGCACATAGAGTTTGGACCGTCTTAGCCACTCTGAGAGAAGGGGAGCTTGTAGCCCAGAAAGAAGAGCTGCCCCTCAGTCACATCACCCGGGTCAAAAGATAGAACGCAAGGGGCCGGAGACATAGCCCAGCGGGAAAGGCGCTTGCCTTGCCCACTGCCGTCTTGGGCACTAGATATAGTTTCCTGAGTATTGCCAGGATTGATCCCAGAGCACATCACCTGGAGTAAGCCCTACGCACTGCTGGGCGTATCCAGAACAAAACCAAAATTTCTGGCACTAGGCACAGAAGATAGCTGTATGGACTGGTGTGTGTATTTGCCTGCAGGAGCTCCGGGTTCGGTTCCCTTATAGGATGGTCTCACAAGCACCTCAGGTGTGCCCACCTCCCCACAATAAAAATTTCAAAATCCAAGGTATAGCTCAGCGGTAGAGCACATGCCTTACACATGAGGCCCGAGGTTGGATCCTTGGCATACAGTCACCCCTGTCTCCCCTGCTCCTCCTGGCCATTCCTCTGAGTATATTTGGATATACAAGGTTAAGGTACTTGATGCCACTTTAGTTTCTATACCTCCAGGAGTGACCCCTGAACACAGCGTCAGGACTAGCTCCCCAGTTACTAAACCCTAAAACAACACACACACACACACACACACACACACACACACACACACCGCACCTCTACTAACTACACGTGAAAATCTAATTGGCTTTATGACTTTATAGGTCAGACACCATACATCAAGTAGAAAGGTACTCACAGAAGTTGATCAAAATGGAGGCTTTTTTTTTTCTTGATGTGTGTGTGTGTGTGTGTGTGTGTGTGTATTTTGTGTGTGTGTGTGTGTGTGTGTGTATTTTGTGTGTTTTGGAGCCATACCCAGCTGGACTCAAGGCTTACTCCTGGCTCTAAGGGACCACTTCTGGCACATCTTGGGAAACCATATGGTGTGAAAGAATTGAACCCAGGTGGGCCATGTGCAAGGCAAGCACTCAACCCACTGTGCTATTTCTCCGGTTCCCAGAATGGAAAATTTTTATAGCCAGAAAGGGAGTGGAGCAAGAGATTACTAGCAAAAAGAAAACTGTATATGTAGTATGTAATAATATATGTATATGCATATCATATATTATTACATGGGTTGGAGCGATAGAACAGCGGGTAGGGCATTTGCCTTGCACGAGGCCGACCTGGCTGACCTAGGTCGATCCCTCTCGGAGAGCCCAGCAAGCTACCAAGAGTATCTCGCCTGCACGGCAAAGCCTGGCAAGCTACCCGTGACGTATTTGATATGCCAAACACAGCAACAAGTGTCACAATGGAGACGTTACTGGGCCTGCTCGAGCAAATCAATGAACAATGGGAGGACAGTGACAGTGATAGATTACATACAGTTCTTACATACAGTTTTAGCAGGGTTACCTTCCCCTGTGTGGGTTCTTATTATTTGGTTACAGCTCGTAGGACAGGCTGAAACTGCTATGGGATTAGATTTTAAATCTTTAAGGCACCATGGTTTGCTGTACTATTAGTGATGGGGTTTCCCACATAAAACATTCCAGGTATTAAATTTTCATTTGATATCATGGGCATAAGCAACTACACTTGAAGCCTTTTTTTTTCTTTTTGGGTCACACCCAGCGATGCTCAGGGGTTATTCCTGGCTCTGCTCTCAGGAATTACTCCTGGCGGTGCTTGGGGGACCATATGGGATGCCGGGGATCGAACCCAGGTCGGCCGCATGCAAGGCAAATGCCCTACCTGCTATGCTATTGCTCTGGCCCCATTTTTTTTTTTAACCCAGGGCTTCTGCATGAGAAGCAGCCTGTGTCCAGTCCCGTAAACTATCTCCCAGATCCTAGTTTCTTTTTCATTTGGGGCTTATTTTTCCTTTTTTTAACAACCCCCAGAAATAGACCAGCTGGCCAACGATAATGGACCCCATGATGGACTTATGATTCACACTAAGGGTTGAGGGTGGTTTCCATGATTCCGTCTCACAGTCACCAGGGCCCACTGGACGACAATGTCTGAGGAAACCCTCCTCTCATTTGTCTCCACCCGGCACCCTTCACCCACACACTAGCTGTACCACTTTCTGTATTGAGAGGAGCAATCAGCTCTTCCCTCACACGTCTTCTCTCCACTAGCCCTGTGAAGCCAGAGGAGATGGACTGGTCAGAGCTATACCCAGAGTTCTTTGCTCCACCAACTTCAAATGAGAACCATGACGATCCAAAGGAGAAGAAAGAAAAGAAAACTGACATCCAAGTAGAGTTTGCAGACATCGGCTGCGGCTACGGAGGCCTGTTAGGTAACATTCTGACCCTTTCTCTGGGGCCAGGAAAGGCAATGCCTAGGTTTGGCCACCTCAGCAGGTTTGGTCAGGGACCAAAGTGGCCTTTCCCCTTCGGACCAGACATGGGTGCTGTGACATCAGCATAAAGAACCCCTGCTCAGGAGCTGTGGCCTTTGCCCTGGGAAAGAGAGAGCGGCTGCCTCTCTTGCCTCTCAGGGCCTGGCTTGTTCTGTCTGGTAACCCCCTCACTCTGTGAGCTATTACACCTGCCAGGTGCCGGGTCAGTGAGCCGGTCAGCACGAGCGTCAGAGATGACCCCCTGTGGCCAACAGTCCTGAACTGTTTAACTTGGGGATCTCAGAACTCCTCCCCCCACTACCTGCTTCTTCCCCAGGATTCATTCCCGCTCCTATTCTCAGATTCCTCAGGGGTGTCTGGGTTGCCCCACCTCTGCTGGTTGTGCACTTCCTTCTTTTCAGAATATGGGAGTGGGTGGCGAGAAACCTTGCTTCTGTCCTGCCCCTTTGGGGCATTCCCACCACCCCACGCAACCCCTCCAACCCACCCTGTCTTGGTTCCCTTAATAGTTTGGCACGATTGGTGTGGATTAAATGAGACAACATGGAAAACTCTGTAAAGCACTTGCGGATAAACAAAATAAACATCTTCCCAACCCTCCCTCTTGCAGTCTTAGGGAGACTGTTCTACTCTCCCCACCAGACCTTTTCCCCTGTGTGGAACCCTCAGATAGAGAGACGTCTGTCCACACTCGCTGTCCCTGATTCAGAGGTCGTAGAGGGAGACCACTTCCTGCAGACTTGCACCTGATGAATCCATTCCTATTTCTCTGTCCAGTGGAACTGTCCCCACTGTTCCCAGACACGCTGATTCTGGGCCTGGAGATCCGGGTGAAGGTCTCCGACTATGTCCAAGATCGTATTCGGGCTCTGCGAGCGGCTCCCGGAGGCGGCTTCCAGAACATTGCCTGTCTCCGCAGCAACGCCATGAAACACCTCCCGAACTTCTTCCACAAGGGCCAGGTGGGAAGCAGCCCTGGGGGGTGAGAGCAGCAGGCAGGTGGGTGTGGAGGCCAGGCTCTCACCACCCCATCTGTGTCACAGCTGACGAAGATGTTCTTCCTCTTCCCTGACCCACATTTCAAGCGGACCAAGCACAAATGGCGAATCATCAGTCCCACGTTGCTGGCTGAATATGCCTACGTGCTGCGAGTCGGGGTGAGCAGGGACTGGGTGGGTGAGTGTGGGGAGTGGCCTCTTCTGGAAACTTCCACAGGAGGTGCCTACTACCCTCTGGCTGCTCCATGGCTCATCCTCCCTGTCCTGTCTCACGTGTTGTTGCCTTTGCAGGGGCTGGTCTATACCATCACAGATGTGCAGGAACTCCATGAATGGATGTGTACCCATTTTGAAGGACACCCACTGTTTGAGCGGGTACCTCTGGAGGAGCTGGTATGTCAGGGACCCAAGGGAAATCGCGTAGAGACAGGCCCTTTCCAGAGTGTTCTAGGTTTTTAAACTCAAACTCAGTGCCAGGAGGAGAAGGAGGTTGGGAAGGAGGGGGAGTGGCATCTGAAAGATGGACAGCGACTTACTGATCCCTTTCTTCCCCAAGAGTGAAGACCCCATTGTAGGACATCTGGGCACCTCCACAGAGGAGGGAAAGAAAGTGCTACGCAATGGAGGAAAGAATTTCCCTGCTGTCTTCCGAAGAATTCAGGACCCCACCCTCCAGGCAGTGAATCCCAGCCCTGCCCCTCCCGGCCACTGACTGCTATCTTGCCTGAAATGGACCCTTCCTCTTTAGGGACCTAGAATGACTAAGGGCCTGAGCGATGGTCCAGCGACTGGGCACTTGTCTTGCACGTGTCCAATTCCTGGCATCCCATATGGTCCCCCGACCACTGCTAGGAGTGAACCCTGAGGGCAGAGCTGGAAGTCACCCCTGAGCATCACTGGGCATCACCCAAAAGAAAAAAAGGATCAGGTCTCTGCACTCAGGCTGAGACTGCTGAGGCTAACAAACTACTGAGGCCTCTCCCAAAAGAACTCTTGCCTTATAGGTGTGAGGCCCTGTGCTCGTTCCCTGGCACCAAGAGAAAGGAAGTTGAGTGACTGTCCCTGACAGAACAGGTGGTATTCATAAGGTCCCCCATAGTGCTAGCAGAAAGCAACAAAGCTGACCGGGCAGGTGAAAAGATGCATCTGAAGGGATTTGGGGAAGGGTCACGTGCTCCCTCTACCTCTGGGATCACCCCTCACCAGGAGTGAGGAATGCACTGTGTCTAAACTGCCTGCCAAGCTCAAACCACCTGTCTACTGTGTTTACTGTGCAGCCCTGGAGAGATAGTGTGTACATGTGCGCATCCCCATGGGACTGCCTCCACAAAGGCTTGAGTGGAGACAAGGCCGCCTTCGACCTCTGCCTTTGGCATTACCCGGAGAGTCTGTGTGTCTCTGAAGAGTCCCAGAGAAGAGGGAAGTGGGTGGGGGGTGGGAACGCTCTTTTTTTTTTTTTTTTTACTTTGGGGGGTGGGGAACAACACCTCAGAGCTTACTCCTGGCTCTGTACTCAGGAATCACTCCTGGTGAGTTCGGGGGACTGTATGGGGTGCTGAGGATTGAACCTGGATTGGCCGCATGCAAGGCAAGTGTCCTACTCACTGTGTCTCCAACACTGCCCCCTCCCTTGATTTTTCATATTGACCTTGGATTCCAAAACTTCAGAGTTAGCCAGTTGGCACTGAGCCTAATGGGGGTGGGTGGGGAATAGGGGAGTTAGGTACAAACAGGTAAACTGTGGAGGGTTCACAGGCTGTAAGTGAAAAGGGGCCATCACTGTCCCTCAGAAAGGCCCCCCCAAAGCCATTCTAAGCTCTCAATCCTTGTTCTGTCCGGAGCTCTGAGCGATCTTGGAACTTCTCTCATTTGTAGAAAGTCCCTTTCTTTGAGTTACTCAAGCCTTGGATGCCCAGGGCCAGAAGGACAGCTCTGGAGAAGAGGACACCCATTCTGCCCAAGATGAGGTTTCTTGCAGCCATTTGAGTCGTTTTAACCCGTTAATCATCTCCCACACACATCTGCTATTTATGGGGGAGGCCAATACTCAGTACTAAGCTCTACTGGTGGAAGGTGCAGGGAATCCGATTCTCTGAGAAGAAAGGAGAGGATCAGGCATTCTGAGAATGGGCTGGTTTCCTCAGGAAGCAGAGGCCTATCGCCCAAGTCTTACCAAATACCCTTTCCCAGAAAAAAGACCTTGTTGACCTGGAGCATGCCTCCGATGGGAGAAACTGAGGCAGGCAGGCAGGCCTGCTCTCCTTAGTGCGTGGGTCATAGCAACTCGAGACCCAGACCGGAGGGAACCGCCGCTGAGACAGCCACAGCCCCGCCCACTTGCTAATCCCCAGCAAGGACCACTCTGGAGAGGGGATTGGCTGAGGAGTTTGGAGAGGGGGCGTCGCCACTACCTCGCCCAAGACTTAAATAGGGGTGCAGGCAAGCCTTCCCGGAGCAGCACTCCGCGGGGTTCCCCGAACCAAACCATGACCCAGAACCTCAAATTCGCTTCCAGAGTGTTCCATCGCGCCCGCCGTGCTCCAGAACTGGGCACCAGAGGCTCCAGCTCAGCGGCCCGTAGTTTGGCAGACATCCCAGGCCCCTCCACGCCCAGCTTCCTTGCCGAACTTTTCTGCAAGGGGGGGCTGTGGCGGCTGCACGAGCTGCAGGTAGCGGGGGACGCTGCTCCAGGGACAGAACGCGGGGGGGTGGGGGGGGACGACACCTGACTTGGATTCGCTAACGCCAGAAAGGGCGGACGAGTGCAGAACGTGGGCTGGGAGGGTCGGTGAGAGCTGGACGCCGAGGAATTATTGAAAAGACAAGTTGCGGGGTGACGTTCCATCGGCGCGGGATCCATGCCAGCCCCCAGCAGAGAAGCGCGCGCAAAAGGCGCCTTCTCCCTATGCACAAGTCTGGAGGCCGGGTAGAACCGGGACAAGCGCGCGGGAGGCGGAGACGCGTGGTACCAGCTCGGCGCCGAATGCGCGCCTGGTAAAAAGCTTCTAGCGCTCCGCATATATTCCGCCGGGGCCGGTCCTGTGATGGTTGGTCAACGGAAGGGACCTTAAGGGATCTCTCTGACTGGGCTGGGGTCAGATAGCCAAAGAGTTCCTGAAATGCCCTTTTCCCCATCACACTCAAAATTTCTAAGGATGGGAAGCGGCGGTGAGATCAGAAGAGGGACTGCAGCCTAACCCGCATCCATTATTCGGGATTCTTGGGAAAGGTGCAGAAAGGGCCTCTTCCAAAGCCCAACCCAAGCCGGGAGTCCCCAGCCCGGCGCTGTAGCGACCTGGGCGCCCGTTTCAGGTGCAGGGAGCCGCGCGCTTCGGGCCGGTGTGGTTGGCCAGCTTCGGGACGGTGCGCACCGTGTATGTGGCGGCCCCTGCGCTCGTGGAGCAGCTGCTGAGACAGGAGGGACCCCTGCCCGAGCGCTGCAGTTTCTCACCGTGGGCCGAGCATCGCCGCCGCCGCCGGCGGGCATGCGGACTGCTCACCGCGTGAGTCCCCTCTGCGAAGCCCGCGCGCCCGATCCCGCCTCACGAGAAACTGTGGGAGCGGAGGAAGCTGGGGTGGCAGTTCCGTCCGACCTTGTGGCCTCTCGTGCTTCCCACCCATCTCTTCCGCTCAAGCTCAAGTAGAGCGCAGCCCGCCCCCGGTACCCAGGTCCCCGCCGCCGCCTTTCTCCGGCGCGTCCAGATTTCGGGGCCCCGCGGAGAGGACTAGGGTACCAGGATCTAGATGGGCTGTGAGACTGTGACTCAGGTTACCCAGGAATCGGGCCCCTCCAGGGCAGGAAATGAGTCAGGGGGGCGGGGGGCGTGAAAAGCGGGCGCAGGCAGGGGCAAGTCCCTGCCCCCGGAGGGATAGACGCGATCGCTCTCCGACCACCCCGGGCCGCACGCGCCGCCGCGCCGCCGCCAGCCCCCGCCCGCCCCCCGCCTCGGCCCTGACGCTCCCTCCCGCCCCCCGCGTGCAGGGAAGGCGAGGAATGGCAGAGGCTTCGCAGCCTCCTGGCCCCGCTCCTGCTCCGGCCCCAGGCGGCCGCCCGCTACGCCGGGACCTTGGACGACGTGGTCCGTGACCTGGTGCGGCGACTGCGGCGCCAGCGGGGTCGGGGTGCGGGGCCGCCCACCCTGGTACGGGACGTGGCAGGAGAGTTTTACAAATTCGGCCTCGAAGGTGAGTCAGTCCCCAGACGCCCGCGGGCGGAGGAGGGGCCCTGCCGGGGGGGGGGGGGGGGGGGCGGGGGGGGCGCTCTCTGCGCCTTGACAGCGCCCCCTCCCGGGCAGGCATCGCAGCGGTGCTGCTGGGGTCCCGCCTGGGCTGCCTGGAGACCCAGGTCCCACCCGACACTGAGACCTTCATCCGCGCTGTGGGATCCGTGTTTGTGTCCACGCTCTTGACGATGGCGATGCCCAGCTGGCTGCACCGCCTGGTGCCCGGACCCTGGAGCCGCCTCTGCCGAGACTGGGACCAGATGTTTGCCTTTGGTGAGGGCACAGAAATGAACTGGGGCCCAGGGAGGAACACGGAGCTGTTCACAGATGCATTCCTGAATCTTCTCCGCACGCAGCCCAGCAGCATGTGGAGCGGCGAGCGGCAGAAGTGGCCGGGAGGAGCCCCGGGAAGCCTGAGGAAGACGTGGGACCCGGGGCACACCTCACCCACTTCCTGCTCCGGGAAGAACTGCCTGCCCCGTGCATCCTGGGGAACGTGACAGAGTTGCTACTGGCGGGAGTTGACACGGTGGGTGAGGTTCTCTGTGCACGTTGCAAGCCCCAGTCCCAGAGCTTCTCCTCCCCCGTCTCAGGGATCACTTCCCTGCTGCCCTCCAGCTTAGCACCTTCTGGGCTCCAGTTTGCCTCATGTTCTGCCCCCTGACCTGGGTCCCCCACGCGCAACACTTCTCATGCTCCCACTCGTTCCCTCAGGTGTCCAACACGCTCTCCTGGGCTCTGTATGAACTGGCCCAGCATCCTGAAGTGCAAAAGGCGCTCCACTGTGAGATCACCACTGCCCTGGGTCCTGGAGGCCAGCCCCCTGCCACTGGGCTGTCTCAGCTGCCACTACTGAAGGCTGTGGTTAAGGAAGTGCTCAGGTGAGCGGCCCAGAGAGGAAGCACTAGAGACAATTCTGGGAAGGGTTGGAGAAGCAGATAGTGCATGGCAGCAGAGCAAAATTGGTTATCTTCCTCCAGCCAAGAACGGGTCTAGAAGTCAGGGTGGCAGGTGAGGGACGCCACAGCACCAGCCTCCCTTCACTAAGTCTCCCTCTTGTGCTCTGCAAGGCAGACTGTATCCTGTGGTACCTGGCAATTCTCGTGTCCCAGACAAAGACATTCATATAGGTGACTACATTATTCCAAAAAATGTGAGTAGAGCCCAAGATTCCTTTTGTTTAAGCCATTCCTGACTATATGGGACCCTAGTTTTGTTCTCAAACCTTTTTTTTTTTTGCTTTTTTTTTGGGTCACACCTGGCGATGCACAGAGGTTACTCCTGGCTCTGCACTCAGGAGTTACTCCTGGCGGTGCCCAGGGGACCATATGGGATGCTGGGAATAGAATCCGGGTTGGCCGTGTGCAAGGCAAACCCTACCCACTGTGCTATCTCTCCAGCCCCTCAAGCCTTCTCTTGATCTGAATGCTTCTCTCTGGGCTGTAATTGGGGCAGTCGAGACATCATTCCACAAGTAACTTCAGGACCAGAGAGATAGTACAGTGGGCACAAGGTGGACCTGGGAGGTTTAATTAATTTCTAGCACACATATGACAACTCCAAAGGTGATCTCATAGAGTCAGGAGTAAGCCCAAAAAATAAAGCAAAGAACGGCCCCCCACACACACACACAAACAAAAACAGGAGGCTGGAGAGATAGCACAGCAGGTTGGTACAAGAGACCTCCTTTGCACATGGCTAACTCAGGTTTGATCCCAGAACTCCTTATCCTCGATCCCCATTAGGACTGATCCCTATGCACAGAATCAGGAGTAAGCCCTGAGCACTGCTGGGTATAGGCAAAAAATTAAAGTAGCCCCCGAAAGTTTGCCCATCACTAACAAGAACTTACCTTTTTTCCATTCCCTATATCCTCTTCTGCATATCCCTTCTGCATTCCTCAGTTTCACAAATTTGCATTTCTCCCCACCAGACACTGGTGACACTGTGTCACTATGCCACTTCAAGGGACCCTGCCCAATTCCCAGAGCCAAATTCTTTTCGCCCAACTCGCTGGCTGGGAGAGGACCCAGCCCCCCACCCATTTGCATCTCTTCCCTTTGGATTTGGCAAACGCAGCTGCATGGGGAGACGCCTGGCAGAACTTGAACTGCAAATGGCCTTGGCTCAGGTAAACATCTGCCTTTTACTTTTCCCAGATAGGTGAGACCCCAACATCTCACACCATGAGCACTCCCCAAAACTAGCAGAGGAAGACTGGGGAGATGGCTGAAGAGTGGATGCTTTGCATGGGGAAGCCCCTGGCTCAGTCCTTGGGATCACGTGTCCCCTAAGCAGTGCTGAGAATAAGCCAATGCACAAATAAAATTAAGACTTGATTGCTATGATCCCCTGAAATACAGCATTTGTGTCCAAGCCTTGCTGGAAGGTCAAAGAGAGTGTTCAGACTGAAATTTTTCCTGGCATGATACCTTATCTTCATTAACCGAGATGCATCTCATCAAGGGCTGGGTCAATAGTACAGCAGGTAGGGCATTTGCCTTGCATGCATCCCAACCCAGGTTTGATCCCTGGCATCCCATATGGCTCCCCGAGCCTGCCAGGAATGATCCCTGAGTGCCGTGTTAGGAGTAACCCTTGTGCACCACCAGGTATGCCCTCCCCACCAAAAAAGTATCCCATCAACCATAGCATCATTTCAACATTGACTGTCCTAACACTCTAATGCCCTCTCCACTTTGCTTCCACTGTGATTGCCTTCTTTCTACCTTGCAGATCTTGATCCACTTTGAGGTACAGCCTGAGCCAGGTGCTGCCCCAATCAAACCCATGACCCGGACAGTGCTGGTGCCCGAGAGGACCATCAACCTCCAGTTCCTGGACAGATAATCCTGTGGAAGGGAACCACCATCACCAGCCTTTCTCATCTCTTTACTAGGTACAAGACAGGGAGCTGTGTCTATCCCTGAGGCCTGCCCTACCAAACTAAAATGACTAAGGATCAGTACCTGAAGCAGTTCTGATCTTGGTATGAAGTCTAACCAAGAAAACCATGGTCTTCTGCCTCCTCAGCTCTTCTGCCTCCTCAGCCCTTCTGCTCATAAATGCATCAGTCATATCTTAACTAATACTGCTGGGCAGCCTGAGGAAGAATCCAACCATTATCCATTTGAGACTTCTGTGACCTTCAGTGCTGCTGGCTAAGCACTTATCATGGCTTTAGCTATATAGCTGTACATCTGGTCTGCACCTGGTTGGCCCTCTCTCCTTGGACGTGAACTCTTTGAGAGATGACGCCTCATTCACTCTATATTTTCTCTGCCAGGGTCTATGCTTAACTAAGCAATGCCCTGGGATTGAATTTGGATCATGGAGCAGAAGATAAACAGTTTATCCTCTCTCCTCCTATTTTTCTTCCCCTAGAAATTGAGTCTGCCCTGGCTTATTATTATTTTTTATTGTTTCTGCTTCTTGGGCACACCCAGTCATATGGCAGAGGCTCTACTATTTTCTGCTCAGTTGTCAGGACTTACTCCTTTACTGCTTGGGGAACCATGTGGTGCAAGGGACTGAATCCAGGTTTCTTGCCGGCAAAGCATGTGCTCCAGCCCTCTGAGCTCTCTCCCTGCTCCTGGCTTATGATTAAAACAGTCTCCTTGGGAGACTGGGAATATACCTTTGTGGTAAAGCACATGTTTTATACTTTCAAAACTCGGAGTTTATCTCCCCCACCCCCAAACACATACACAGTTTTTTGTTGTTGTTGTGTTTTTCCTGGGCCACACCGAGCAATGCTCAAAGATTACTACTGGCTCTGCACTCAGGAGTTAATTACTCCTGGCAGTGCTTTGGAGATCATATGGGATGCCGGAAATTGAACCCAGGTCAGCTGTGTGCAAGGCAACAAAGCAAACACCCTACCTACTGTACTATCATTCTATCTCCCAATGCACACCCTTTTTTTTTTTGCTTTTGCTTTTTGGGTCACACCTGGCAATACACAGGGGTTACTCCTGGCTCTGCTCTCAGGAATTACTCCTGGAAGTGCTCGGGGGACCATATGGGATTCTGGGAATTGAACCTGGATTGGCTGCGTGCAAGGTAAATGCCCTAATAGCCCCATATACACTTTTTTTTTTTTTGCTTTTTGGGTCACACCTGGCCATGCACAGAGGTTATTCCAGGCTTTACACTCAGGAATTAGTACTGGCAGTGCTCGGGGGACCATATGGGATGCGGAAATCGAACCCGGGTTGGCCACGTGCAAGGTGAATGCCCTACCCACTGTACTATCACTTCAGCCCCCACATACACTTTTTTTTAAAACCACCTCTCCTTGTCTCTTCAGTCACTGTTAGGCTAGCTGTCCTATAACTTCGTTCCCAGGCAGAGGCATCTTTGAGCCTGTCCCTTCCAGAGACTTCCTTTTTATATATTAAGATATTTTAATATTCATAGTTTTGAAAATAAAAAATATTCTATCCTTGACTTTTTACTTCTCTTCCATTCTCCCCTTTCTACAAGACCTGGAGCCAAGAGCTTCCCCCACACCCTTCACCCTAGTTTCTCAGGCCCTTGGAGGGAGAGAGTCACAGGGGAGGTCTAGAAAACTGAGCAAGTATCTGCCTCACTAGCCCAGTTTCTGTCAGTAGTAGGAATATCCAAGTCTGACTCCCAGTGAGAGCCGGAGTGGTGGGGAAAGTAACCATAGGGCTGGGCTGCAGGCATGGTCGGAAACTAGGGATTTTCAAACATGCCAGAAACCACTAACTCTTGAGGGACAGTGTTTTTGGAATCTGGACCCCCGAACCAAAGGACATCCTAGAAAGTCCATTCTGCTATCACTGGCAAACTGTCCCAACGCAACTCCCTCTGGGCAAAGGCAGCGATACAGACAGAGGAATGAAGCCAGACAGCATGAAAGCCAAGTATGCAGGTGGCCAGAAGCCCGGGGCACCAAATCAGGAGAGGGGTGGGCTGAGAAAACTGTTTCCCTGAGTCAGCACAATCTGACCTCCCAGAGGCTGGGCACAATCCTCCACTTGTGATAGACACAGATGAACTCATCTTCCACACCAATCAATCTCTCAGCACGCTCCGGAGCTCCCTCCGTATCCTAGATTCCCCTCTCCAGGTCAGGACTTGCCCCCTTCTCCCTCCTCACCCCATTCCAATTAGCTGGATCTAGACTGAGATGCATTTCACACTTCCTTCTGCTCCCCATTAACTCAGCTCCCTGCCCCAGACATGGTTCGCAGATGCTGTTAGGTACCAGCCCTACTGGGGTCGTCTTTTTAAGATCTGAAAGAAGGCAGATGACACCTAAGACCCTCTGCAGATACCAAGGCTTTACTGCCCCCTCCCTCAACTTCTGTACTGTATTAGTCTCTACCCCAACTCCCTTGTCACTGTGTTCAGCTTAAATCTAAATGATGCGGGCATACCCGGGATCAAACCGAGGCTTTCAAGCTTACCTTTCTGCCATTGCCTCCCCAAATTTAAGTGATTTGGGATGGGGCTTGGGTCACACCTGGAGGTACCCTGGGAATCCTAAGTGGTGCTGGGGATTCAAAGCAGGGTTGCCACTGACCCAGCCACATGCAAGGCAAGTGTCTTACCTCCTGTGCCATCTCTCGGGCCCAAACTTAAGTGACTTTCTATTGGTAGATTTGAGCTGGAGGGAGGAAAAACTCCATCTTCCTCTTGAACCCCTGCCACTGGCATCAGGGATGGGGTTCTGCACACTCACAGTCCTCAATGGGCAACAGGATCGTTCACTTGTGGAGGAAGGACTCCTTTATCTGGAAGAGAATTTCTACATTGAAGAAAGGGAAGGAGAGGGGACCATACTGATCAATGGCTCCAGCCCCCACATGAAGACCTCCAGTGATGCTAAAAAAAGGAAGGGAACATACCATCTCACAAAGCCTAGATTCAGAACCCAGAGTGGAAATGGAGAAGGTGCATCTGTGGGTGTCTATATTCTTAAGTATGTCGAAGCTTCCCTGGCAGGAGTTTTGGGGGCTGCACAGTGTGGTGCACAAAGCCAATGCCATCCCTACCCTATCTGCCAGACGTGCGGTCTCCCTGTGGGCCCTGCCAGCTAGTCTGTGACATCAGTCAAACCTGGCTCTACTGTCTTCCCAGCTGGGGAGTGTGAAGGGTTCCCTCTTTGGAGAAACGATTTCTCATAGGAAAGAAGTGCTCGGCTTCAGTCCCCTCTTCACCCTGCTCTCCTCAGAGGTTGGAAGGGGTCCACTTCCACGCTTTCAAGTGACTCAGACAGGATCCAGCTTTGTTTCTATGCTCCCAGGCATGTCTGGGTGCCAGCACCATGGACAGAGGCCAAGACTAGTTTCGGGAAGGGTAAATAACCACTTTCTGGGCAGAAGAGGAGATTTAGTAGAGACGTAACTCTAGGTAGAGAGTTACTTTCCTCAAACCATCCACTGGGGACAAGATAGAAAACTTGCCCTGAAAGAACCAATAATGGGAAAGAACTTTAGATCTCTCAATGTTTGAAGTCATTATTGTAATTACTGCCGAATAGTTCACTTAAAAAATACTATGATGGGACTGTAGTGACAGCACAGTGGGTAGGGCGTTTGCCTTGCACCTGGACAACCCGGGTCCAATTCCCAGCATCCCATGTGGTCCCCCGAGCACTACCAGGAGTAATTCCTGAGTGCATGAGCCAGGGGTAACCCCTTGTGCATCGCCAGGTGTGACCCAAAAAGGAAAAAAATAAACTATCACATGACCGGGGATAGTACAGTGGGTGCTTGCCTTGCAGGCTGCCACCCTAAGCTCCATTGCTGGTACCACCTATGGTCCCCTGAGCACTTCCAGAAGTGATCCCACAGCACAGAGCCAGGAGTAAGCCCTGAACACAGCCAGGTATGATGCAAAACAAAACCAAAGGTAACATCATTCATAACGTCCAGTCTCAGGACCTCAAGAAAAAGGTTTAGAGCTGACTCAATATTTTAACCAGTACTTTCCAAACCATTTTTTCTCTCAAACAGCAGTTCTCCATCTGCTGCCCCCAAGCACACCTTCCCGCTAATACCGCTGTCTGCGGTACACCAAAATCAAACCTGTAACCTAAAATTCCAGTAGCTAAAACTGGGGTTGGAGGCTTGGGACACTGGGGGACTTATCAGTCTCAGATCAAATTAGTCACCACTTCTCTGGGTGGCACATTAACTGGAAAGGACTAACAGAACCCACACCACCCCCAAGCGAGAAAGATAGCCCCAGCATCTGCCCAGTGTGTAGGGGGCTGGAGACTCCCCTGTGGGCAAACGACCACCATCTTTCACGCTGCAGTTTACTCCCCCTCCCCCCAATCTCTGTATCTATTACCACACATCTCACAAATTCCCAAGGGTTTGTGCAACTCTAGATAAAAAAACTCATTTTGGAATATGATAACCATCTACTATTGAAAATAAGTGGACCATCAGCTAATCTAGAAACCTTTCTATGCCCTCACTGCTTTTGTTTGCAATGTATTTCAACCTGCTCATTAATCCTCATTCTGACCCTATGAGGTGGACAGGAACACCACAGGCGAGCGCTTTCCCTCCCTAAATCACACAACCCGCAGGTGGCAGGTGCACCCCTGAGAGACCTCCGAGCGCTGCCACCTGCAGTCTCTGTGAATTATTCACCAGTGGGAGTCTCACCTCCAACTCAGATCCCACAGCTACATTTACATTTCCAACCTTGGCGGAGCAACCTCCCCACACTTCCCAAGCCCCCGGAAAAGCCCCACATGAGGAAAGAGTCTCCACGTGCATATAAATGATTCTTTATGCCCTCCCCCATGTGGTGGGGGGAGGGGCAGGGGGAAGCCCCCCGCCCTCATGCAGGGAACGGGAGGTCAATGTATATCAGTCTTATTGCCAGATGCCCTGTGGCCATGGGGTAGGGGATGGGGGGGTCTGCAGCCCCTTTCTTCTGGCATTGGTCCCCCTTCACCAAGTCAGGTGGTAGAGCTGGGAGGCTGGAGGCCCTAGGAGCTGAGGTAAGAACGGTTCTCTATGGAAGAAAAGCTGCTCTCCCCGCCTGCACACTGGCTGCCCCGGGATGAGTGTGAGGAGCTGTCAGTGGGGGCCGGAGTGGCATCCAGGTGTCTGCCTGGCAGGCTGCCACGGCCACACAATGTCTCCAGCACGAGGCTGTCCGCAGAGACCCTCGGTGGTGGAAGCAGTACGTCCCGGTAGCACGTCCAGCAGCCCTGACGCCTCGTCATCTCTGGCCAACGCACTGACGCTCAATTTCTGCTCCTGGAGTCCAGTTCAGACCGTGGTCACCCTCATGACAACCTCTCGGCCCGAATGGGAACTGGACCGGGCATCTGGTGGCCGCAGTTGTCCGAGGAGGTGCAGGATGGTGTAACCACAGCGCTGAGGCAAGAGCGTCCGCATGCGCTGGGCTGCCGGGGGACGGCTGGTTGCCCCAGAGGGGGGGCCTGTCCGTGAGGTCCTGGGGCTTGGCTTCCCTGCTGTCCCTCCCCCTGCATCTCCTCCTATGTCCTTGGTCTTGTCATAATTTAGGACCTTCCACTGCTGGTTCACTGCTTGCCAGCGCTTGAAGATGCGATAGACAGAAGAGCCTTCGTGGACGATGAGGCCTGAACAAGGGGGTAAGAAATCCAGGATCAACTTCTGCCCTGACCTAAGCCAGAAGGACTTACAGTGATGAGCTGAAGGAACAGCTCAACAGGCTGGAGAACATGCTTTGCATGCAGGAGACCTGGATTCAAGTACATCATCACATGTTTCCCCAAGCCATGCCTGAAATGACCTCCAAGCACCAGACCACCCCCAAGAAGTAGCCTCCAAGCACTGCTGGGGATAGCCCCCCCAAAAAAGCAAACAAAATAAATAAATAAATAAAGCAAGAAAAAGGAGGAGATAAGGTTGCAAAAGGAACTTAAGACATCCCTTAAGACATAAGGGGGCTCCAAACTAACTCTCACAAGTCCCAATAATAAAAAAAAGGTGGGCACGAAGTTTAAGGGCACAGACATGGAGAGTTAAGTGTGCGTGCAGGAAAGATTGTGAGCAGGTAAGGGGGAAGGGTGCCCTCACCTATGCAGACAACATCCATGAAGCCGTACATGCCGTAGCAGATCTGAAAGAGCAGATCCTGCCGCTGCCACTTGGCTGAAGGGCTGAGTGAGGACCAGATGAGCCAGGAGATGCTGGCGACGAGGAAAAGAGAGCCCAGAACTATGGCAGCAATCTGGACCTTCTCGATCACCGTCAGGGAAATGGCCTGCCACTGTATGGGAAAGAGGCTCCAAAAAGTCAGGGACAGTGATGGAGGGCCAGGTTAGAGAGAACCTTCCTGCATCCCTTCAAGCAGGATTACCATGTGCCTCCTCTCTGCCCTCATCAAACCCAGAATGTGGCACCACCCGTACTGCTTGAGGTTGCTTGTCTGTCTCATTCCAGAAAGGCAGGATCCGGCAAGTGCACTGAAGCCAGATTACCTGGGTTTGAATGCTGAATCTGAAGTCTATCATTTATCTACTAACAGTCCTGAGTTAACACTGGACAAGTTTTAAAACCTCTTTGTGCATCAATGCCCCTTTTTGGAGAGGGCCACACCCAAGAGTGCTCAGAGGTTACTCCTGGCTCTGCACCCAGGAATCACTCCTGGCAGTCTTGGGACATAGGGGGTACAGGGATCAAACCTGACAGGCTGTGTGCAAGGCAAATGTCCCACCTGCTGTACTACTGCACCAGCCCCAATGTCCTCATCTTTTCAATCGGAATAGGGGTTGGAGAGATTGCTCAACTGGCTGAGCACATGCTCTGCACATGGGAGGCCACGTTCCAACCACACATGATCCCCTGAGTTCTGCTGTGTGTGCCCCCCCTCCCGCCAAAAAAAAAAAAAAAAAAGCAGGGGCTGGAGAGACAGTTCAGCCAGGAAGGAATGTGTCTTGCATAAGGCAGAACCAGGTTAACTCCCAGGCACCAAATATGGTTTCCTGAGTACAGAGCCAGGAGTAAGTCCTGACACTGCCAAGTGTGTGCACAAACAAAAACAAAACAAACAAACACAGGGCCAGAACAATAGTACAGACGGTAGGGTCCCTGCTGTGAATGCAGCCAACCAGGTTTGATCCCTGGCTCTCCATATGGTCCCCCAAGCCCTGCCAGGAGTGATCCCTGAGCGCAGAGCTAGGGGGTGAGCACTGAGAACTGCCAGGTGTGATCCCCACCAAAAAAAAAAATTACATTTAAAATGAGGACAATAATAATAAACTAACGGAATTATAAAAAGGATTAAGACGTTAATACAAACACAAAACTCTTCATGTTTGCTATCACCTTCCTCACCAGGATCATCGTTTCCTTCTCCAGAGCCTGGAATGAATACACGTGGCACCCAGTAACTACCTGCTATTAAGCAAAGGGAGGACAAACAGATGGAAGGTGGTGACAGTAGGGTGAGGAGCAACTTTGAGGCAAGAGAGCGTCAATGGCTGAAGTCAGCTCCCTGAATTTTGAATACCCCAGTCTGTAAGTCCTCTCGCTGCATCTCACCTGCAGGGGGTTCTTGGTGCTGATGGCCAGGACCTGGTACTTGAAGTAGCAAAGCTCACAGCTCCAGGAGCCCCTCTCACTGATCCAGCGGATGAGGCAGGGTTGGTGTGTGCAGCGCACGGAGCCGTCGCAGCGGCAGGGACTCAGGAGCTCCCCCTGGAGGAAGTGTGAGGAAGGTCCCAGTCAGGTATGCCCTCTGCTCTGGGGAGGCCCTCTCCACACCAAACCCCTCAGGTCTGTCACCCGCAAACAGGTCAAGAGGTGAAGACTGGGGGCTGGAGCAATAGCACAGCGGGTAGGGCATTTGCCTTGCACACAGCCGACCTAGGTTCGATTCCCAGCATCCCATATGGTCCCCCAGCGCCGCCAGGAGTAATTCCTGAGTGCATGAACCAGAAGTAACTCCTATGCATCGCCGGGTGTGACTCAAAAAGAAAAAAAAAAGAGGTGAAGACTGTTGCAGAAAAGGAAAAAAAGAGGGGGGGGGGCTCAAGGTGAAATTCCCAGGCCAAAAAGATGAGGGATGAAAAGGGGTTGGGGGAGGGGTGGGGCAGGGGGGCGACTTCTCCACTTCCCAGAATATGGGGAGAGGTCGTCTCTTTCCCGGGGGCGCCCCAAACAGAAGTTTGCCCCTTGGGATCTGGAGAGGGGCGATTCAGAGCCGTGCCTTTCACCCGGTCACGCGTCTAGTATGTCAGGGGTGAGGTGCAGGCATGGGGTGGTTGTACTGGATGCCTGACACCAGGCATCAAGGGGGGGGGAGAAGGCCGGGGACCAGGGTGGGGAGAGTGGAAGCGTCCCTTTGCCATCCATCAATAATTTCTCACCACAGAGAGACAATCCCGGCACTAGCTCGGGACAAGTCTGCCCACAAGAGTCACACACAAAGAATACTCTTCGGAATGAGATGGGAAGTTGCAGGTGGGGCAGTGGGGACAAGTGCCCCCGCGGAGAGGAATTCCGAGGAAAAGATTAGGGCGCTGGCCGACGCCTCCCTTCGCGTGGGTCCAAAGTGGACTGGTGTGGATCAGCCCGGAGATAACACGAGGCCGACCCCCCCCCCCCCCCCGTCCCACACACACCCCCAGCCTCATCAGCCTGGGGCGGAAAGTAGCAGAGAAAGGCTGTCCCCATTTTGGGTGGGGATGGCTCCCGAGCTCTTCCAGGAAAAAGCCCCACCCCTTCCCAGGGACCCCCTTCCGCCGACCCCACACCTGCGCCTCGGGAGCCGCCAGCTAGGGTCCCAATCTGGAGGGGGCGGAGGGAGGGGGACCCGGGCCCCGCCCCGCCTGCGCAGGCCCCGCCCCCTGGTCCCGGTCTCCCGGGGCGCCCGGTGCGCGCCCCCCACCCCGCCCGGCCCGCGCCGGCCTGACCTGCTCCGGGCCCTGGAAGCAGATTCGGCACTGGGGGGTTCGGAGGCCGCTGTCCAGGCTGCTGCTGAGCGACAGGGCGTCCAGCGCGCCCGGGGGCGGCGGCGGCGGCGCGGGCGGCGGCGGGGGTCCGGCCCGCGGCTCCTTGTCGCCGGCCAGGCCCCGGGCGCGCGGCTCCGACCCGTAGTACTCCTCCTCGTCGCCGTCGCCGTCCCGGCTCGAGCAGCCGGCGAAGGGCGCCCAGCCGCAGCCTTCCCCCCCACCCCCCCGGGGCTGCGGCTCGGCCCGGGGCCGCCCCCCGCCCGTCAGCACCAGCAGCTTCAGCTCGTTCAGGAACATGCGGAGCCGAGACTTGAGCATCGTCCAGGCGCCGGGGGGGCGGGGGGCAGCGTGCAAGGGGGGCTGGCGGGCGCCGGGGCGGGGGGGCGCCCGGGCCGGCGCGGGGGCGCGCGCGCGAGGGCCGAGCCGGGCCGGGGTCTCCGGGGCCTGCGCGCGCCGTTCAGGGCTGCGGCCGCCCGGGCGCCGGGGCTGGCGGGGCCGAGCGGGCGGGCGGCCCGGGGGCGCCGGGGCGGGCGGCCATGGCCGGGGCAGGGGGGCGGGGAGAGGGGCTCAGGGTGCCGCGCCCCGCGGGTCCGGGTCCGGGGCGGGCCGAGCCCCCGGCGCGACGCCGCCCCCCATCTCGGCCCTCCTGGCCCCAGGCCCGCGCCCGCTCCCGGCTCCGGCTCGCTCGGCCCGTGCGCTCGGCGGCGGCAAATGGCGGCTCCTTCCGGCGGCGGCGGCGGCGGCGGCGGCGGCGGAGACCCCCCCCCGAGCGGCGGGCGGGCGGGGCGGGCGGCGCGGGCGCCGGGGAGCCGGTAGGGATGGAGGGAGGGGCGCGGCGGGGAGGGGGAGCGGGGAGAAGTGGCCGCGGCTGCGCATCCCCGCCCCGCCCCGCACGAGCAGGTGTCCCCCGGGGCGGGGGCGCGCGTGCGAGCGCGGGGGAGGGGAGGAGGGTGTGGCCGGGAAGGGGCGAGCGCGGGGGGGGGGCGGAGGGGCGGAGGGGCTCGAGGCACAGGTGCACCGGGGAGGGCGGCGCTGCCCCGCGGGCGCGGACGGGCCGCGAGAGAGCCGGGGGGGGACTCGGGCGAGGAACCTTTTCGCACAAAAGACCGAGTGAGCCGGCTGCGCGGCGGCGGCGTGGGGTGGGGAGGAGAAGCGGGCGAGGAACGGGATGGGATGGTGCGAGGGAAAGAAGTCTGCGACTGTGGAGTGTGCGGGAGACGCGAGTGTGGAAGGGATGAGCGGGTCTTTGCCGGCACGCCCCTGGGAAGAGTGGCCTCCTTGCCGCCGCTGTGGGGAGCGTGACCCCCCCACCACACACCTGCTCAGCGCCGAGCTTTTACTTGTGCCCTGATCCTGAGCACCCTTCAACTCCTCACCAAGTAATTTCTACCTTACGTTCGCATCCTCCTTGTTTCCCTTTTCCAAATGCTGAAGGAAGGGGAATTAGGGGAAAATCCTTTGGGTCAAACACACTGGGAGCAACTTAATTAGTAAAAGAGTAATTAAAAGGAAAAGGGAGGGTATGGAGCAAGGGACAGACGAAAACTCTCAATAGAAAGTGCATATGGAGAATGATACCCTTACAGATGAAATATTTTGGGTGGAAGAATGAATGAATCAGTTCAAGGGGTTGGAATCCAACCCAAAATAGAGGATGACTTCTGTTCCCGAACAGCAAATAATGGTATGCTTATGTGGAAGGTGAGGCTGAAGTGGAGAATGCTGATGTAGGGGGAAAGTTGTAAGCCTTCCAGAAGGTTTGCAGCCCAACCAGTCAAATAAAGGTAACCATTGAGGGCTGAAGAGATAGCTCAATGGGTCTGAGTGCATGAAAAGCAAAACATGCTTTGCATGCCAGAGACCCAGGTTGGATCCCCTGGGGACCCTCTAGCATACAGCCTCAAAGGTGTGGCCAAAAAAGAAAGAAACAAAACATAACCAATGAATCATTCACCTTACTGCCCCTTAGCCAGTTCAGAATTTGAGGTTTTTCTTACTACTGCCCTAGCTCCCTAGCAGAATGGAAAAGGGGGTGGAATCTGTACTGATCTCTATTCCATTTTATCGTGGAGGATGGTTTATATTTATCTCAAACCTGAACTCTTACGTCATTGCTTAGATGGTTAAAAGAATAGAACTTAGGATGGAAAGAGTAGCAAATAGGGTAATAAGATGATTTCAGGGGTGGAGATATGGTAGCTCATCTGCCTTGCATACAGCTGGCCCATGTTTGATCATGTACCCCATAAGTCCCCCTGCCAAAGAAAAACCTTAGGAGTGATCCCTGAGCACAGAGAAGGAGTAAGCCCTGAGCACTGCTAGGGTGTGCCACACTCCAAAAAAAGATTTTAGTTTCCTCACACTAAGACACTGGTTCCTTCTCTCCTCCATTTCCCCACCCAAGGGCTCAGTAATAAGTTAGATCCCCACTGAAGATGCCAGAAAACTCGCTTCTGTCTACCTAAGTGTGAGCAGAGGCCACTTGAGAACATCTGTGTCTTGAGCAAGGAATAGCAAGGGGCTTTGTAAAAAGACTTATCCTGGGAAATGAAAAACAGAGCAGCACAATGATCCTAAATGGGGAAGCATAAAGTTTACAGAAGGGCACTTATTCTTCTCAATATGATGGTATGGGATAGTAGTAGAGGTAACTACCATGCACACAGTCACTTCACTTCCTTGCACACAGTCACTCTTGTGTCTACTCATCTGTCAGCATATCATGTCAAATATCACACACATTTATATACACACACATATAAAGTATAGCATCTTAGAGCTGAAAGAACCTGAAGGTCCATGTATTGCTGTCTCCTTGTCAGTGACTTCTCTGCCAGCTGGCGTATGGTCTCTGCTTAGCACTCCCAGGAGGTGTGGAAATTGGGAAAAAAGTAAGGCTACTTTGCCACTCTTCCTGTTGGATTACTGGTTTAATCTACCTTCTGTCAATCCTTTAGTCCTTCTTTTGCCCTCAGATGGCATGTTTCCACACTATTTTATAGGACCATATTGTTGGCTTTGAAGACAGTTCTCTGCAGATGGTTTATGGGTTTTGGACCACACCTCAGCGTGCTCAGGGGCTACTCCCAGCTCGTGTTTGGGGGACCATGTGATGCCAGGGACCAAACCTCAGCCTCCCACTTGCAGAGCAAGCTCTTGACTTATTAAGCTATCTCTACGGCCCTGTAGCGCTATTTTAAGAGGCCAAAGTTGTTGGGAGGGTTGAAGCCATAATACAGCAGCTAGGGTGTTTGACTTGCAAGCTCCTGACCCAGGTTTCATCCCTGGCATCCCATATAGTCTCCTGAGCTCGCGAGGAGTAATTCCTGACTGTAGAGCCAGGTGTAAATGCTGAGCACTACCGGATGTTGGCCCCCAAACGAACAGGCTATTAGTTGGGGCAACAAAAAAAACCCACAAACACCTCAGATACACCCAGAAAGCAAGCACTGTGCAAAATTTTTATTATTCAACAATGAGTGAATGAAACAAAGACAAAAATGAGCGTGCTTTCCTATTGATGGTGGAGCAGAAAGGCGACAGCACCACCTCTCGTCCCCCAAGATCCCCGTCCCCCTCCCCCGCACAAAGAAAGAGTGAGACGTCTAGTAAGACTGGAAGTGCGCCTAAGCTGGGCCTGCAGCCCAGAGTTGGGAGCTGGGTGGCCCAGGTTACCATGGCACCGATTTGGGCTCCACCCTCTCTCCTCCCACTTTCCCCACCCCACCCCGCCAGGGTAATGGCAGCTAGTCACGTGCTCTGCCGCGTAACCACACCTCTGCTCCTCGGAGCAATGTCAAGACAGTCACGTGGGCTAGCAACAGATCACGTGGTCGCCGGGGCTCTCCGCCCCCTTCCCTCGCGGTCGCGGTCGCAGTCTTGCCACGCCCAACCGTCCCCCTGCGCAGGGGCGGCATGTCACGTGCTCCGCACGTCCGGCAACTCGCCCCGCCCCCCCAGTTTCCGCGCGCCTCTCTGGCAGCTGGTCACATGGTGAGGGTGGGGGTAAGGGGGGCCTCTCTAGCCTGCGGCCTGTGTGTCTATGGTCAGGCCCGCAGAGTCCAGCTGCCCCGGACACTGCTTGAGTATATGGCGTGGCGGCACCCTGCTCCTGGGCACCGATAACGGGAAGCCCCCGCAGCTCCAGACTCCGGGTGGGGTAAGTGCAGCCCCTTCTGGGACTGGGGGCCAGTCTCGCCCTGCACAGCGTCCAGCGCGGGCTAGTTCTGGGAGGGTCGATCGAGGGCGGGAGGAGGGGGGGGCAGTATAACGTCCTTTGTGGTCGTGGGGGAGGTGTGATTTCAGGACCGGGGGGTAGGGTCTTGGGTGCTGGGGTGTGTTTCCTTTGTGAGGAGCGCGATGGCCCCAGAGGAACGGGCGATCTTCCCTCCTCGGACCACACGTGGCCGGCGGGGCTGGGGTAGCCTTTGTGTGAGCCGAGGGGCCGGCCTCGTGGGAAGTTGGGGGAGGGCGGGGGACAGGATGGTGGCGGCGGCGGCGGCTTTGTGGTGACTTTTCGTGGGAGCCCCTCACTCTCGCAGGCTCCTATCAGCCGGACTCGGGAAGGGAATTTCCTTAGAAGTTTCTTTGTTTGTAGGATTTCTTCTGATCTGGGAATGGCTACCTCTCGATATGAACCCGTGGCCGAGATTGGTGTCGGTGCATACGGGACGGTGTATAAGGCCCGGGATCCCCACAGTGGCCACTTTGTGGCTCTTAAAAGTGTGAGAGTCCCCAATGGAGAAGGTGCTGGAGGGGGCCTGCCTATCAGCACCGTCCGGGAGGTGGCATTGCTGAGGCGGCTGGAGGCCTTTGAGCATCCCAATGTTGTCCGGTGAGAAGATGGAGGGTCGGGAGTGGCACCCCCCCAAGCCCCCCACCCCCAGCAAACATGAGGCCGTGTTAGATCAGAGGGCATTGACAATCATTGAGTGACCATTTATTCTGGCCAGGCTGATGGACGTCTGTGCCACCGCCCGGACCGACCGGGAGACCAAAGTGACCCTGGTATTTGAGCATGTGGACCAAGACCTGAGAACTTATCTGGATAAGGCCCCCCCACCAGGTTTGCCAGTGGAGACCATCAAGGTGAGTGAGGTCCACAGACAGTTGAGAGTCAGATTGCCACCTATGTAGTAGAACCAGCTGGGATCTCAGTGGTGCCAAGTTTCCAGCGTCTCTGTACCCCCCACTCCCCCTTAAACCAGGATCTGATGTGCCAGTTTCTGAGAGGACTGGATTTTCTTCATGCCAACTGCATCGTTCACCGAGACCTGAAGCCAGAGAACATTCTGGTGACAAGTAATGGAACAGTCAAGCTGGCTGACTTTGGCCTGGCGAGAATCTATAGCTACCAGATGGCACTCACTCCTGTGGTCAGTATAAAGATGGCAGCCCAAAGAGGGTTCTGTTTGGGTGGCCTGTTGCAGTTGACTAAGCCCACCCTTTGTGACTTCAAGCAGTTGTACTTACAGGTAACTTGTAGGGCCCTCATTCATTCATATTCCTATTAGGTCGTTACACTCTGGTACCGCGCTCCAGAAGTTCTTCTGCAGTCTACATATGCAACACCAGTGGACATGTGGAGTGTTGGCTGTATCTTCGCCGAGATGTTCCGTCGAAAGTATGGGACCCAAGTATCCTGAGCTATCTTGAATATCTGAAATATCTTATTCTCCAAACTGCCTGTTTTTGGGGCCAGAGTACAGTGGTGGTTGCAAGGTGCTTTCCTTGCCCACAGTCCGCCGGAATTCAGTCCCTGGCACCATATAAGCACCTGAACATGGCAGGGTGTGACACCTCCCTCCCAAACAAACAAGAAATTCTGGGGCCTAATAGTACAACTGGTGGGGCATTGCCTTGTACACAGCCAATCTGGATTTGATCTCTGGCACCCCATATGATCCCCCAAGCCCGCAAGAAGTGATCCGTGAGCACAGAGCCAAGAGTAAGTGCTGAACATGGATGGGTGTGGCCAAAATAAACTGCCCATTCTTAAACTTGTTCTCTCCTGGCCAGCTTGTCCATAAGCAGCAGTTCTGGAATGTTGTAGAATGTGGACCTTCATTCCTCATTTATTCCTTAGACATCCCTTTAGTCTCCAGCCCTCTGTTTTGAGCCTCTAAATATTAATCACATTATTCCCATGTCTTTGATTGCTGTCTTGTGTCCCTTCTTACCACAGGCCTCTCTTCTGTGGAAACTCTGAAGCTGACCAGTTAGGCAAAATCTTTGAGTAAGTGACCGGCCAGGGGGAGAATTTTTCATTCTTCGTTCTGCCCTTCCTCTTACGCCTGGATGGCAGCTGGCTCTAGAAATGGGGCCCACAGAAGGGGCCCTCTTGATGACGAATGATTCTCCTGTTCCCATAGCCTCATCGGGCTGCCCCCAGAAGAAGACTGGCCTCGAGATGTGTCTCTGCCCCGAGGAGCCTTTTCTCCCAGAGGGCCCCGCCCAGTGCAGTCAGTGGTACCTGAGATGGAAGAGTCTGGAGCACAACTGCTACTGGTACTGGGCTCGGGCATGGCAACAGATACGGGGAGACACTGGGGTGAAAACCAGAATGGCATCAAAGGGTTCCAAGCCCCGATTACTGAGACTTGGTGGACGGGGCTATATTTTATTGCGGTGGTAAATGGCCAGGCAAAAAGAGGGGTAGAAGAAACAGTCATCCCAAAACAACACATTTTTTCCCATTTTGTGTGGATGCTGGGAATTGGACCGAGGGTGGCACGCATGCGAGGTGCAGTTCCACCACCTGGTTATATCCCCAGCACCCATAAGCCTTTCGATTTTTTCACAAGACCTGACCCCTGTCTTCTCCCTCAGGAGATGCTGACTTTTAACCCACACAAGCGGATCTCTGCCTTCCGAGCCCTGCAGCACCCTTACCTACAAAATGGAGAAGGTAACCCAGAGTGAGCAATGGAGAGGCTCCAGCAGAACCAGAAGCCGTCATTTCCCTTCCTTTGAATCTGAGAGGAGAAGCCCTCACTGCGGCCATCTGCCTGAGCTGAGGCGGTGGAATTCCATCACCGACTTTTTCACCAGCTTTTTTACAGAGAATATTTTGCTGCCTTAATGACATTTCCCCCACTCCTCTTTTAGAGGTGTGTCCTTCTGTGCTCTCTTTCCTTTAGATCAGGGGGGTGTGCCTTGTTTTCCCTTTTCCTACCTGATATTGGGGTCCTTTTTTTATACACGAAAACAAAACAAAACAGATATGGTCTTTTGTTTATTTCTCCTCTGTGTTTCTTCTTTTGATTGACTTTGTTATCAAATGTTTGGAAAAACCACTTAGAAGATGAAACTGCAGAATCTTACTCCTCTTTTTAAAACTAGGGGGCCTTCATAAGGAAACCACTTAAGTTGTTTCTTTGAATAGAGAGTTAAATGGCTTTTATTACTGAATTTCCCCAAACTGAGTCCAGCGTATTATGAGGAAGAGTTCTTGGTAGACTTCTTCTTGGCTCTGATTGACCGTTGAAGCCAGGCCAAGCTATGTGGATGTGGTCCAGCATATGGAATGGAAAAAAGGGGGAAAACCGAGCCAGGAATGACTCGAACCTCTATCCCATCTCATGCACTCCCAGGAATATCCCAAATCCATTCAGGGAGAGAGGGAAGACATTTTTCTTGCTCCCACTAAAACATGTCAAGGCATAAAGCCTAGCCACTCAGTCATCATTAGGAGATATGGGGAAGGGCCTTCCCTTTTTCTCAGATAAAAGGGCTTGGTAGACCCTAGGTTTTCCCTCAGGGCAGAAGAAAAAGCTTAGGGAGAGCAGGAGCTGTGCCAGAGGAATCCAGTGTCATAGAAAGGCACTGGGGTTAGCTCGTGGGTCTTTCTGATTCCGGAATCTCATCGCTAGCCAAACACCAAGGATCTGTAGAAAAGGGAGACAAAGATCAGCACCAAATCTGAACCAGTGAGGTGAAAGAGCGTATCTACACAGGAAACCATAGTGTTACCTCTGTAAAGCTAAAGAAGAGTCCAACACCGCCCAGGATTTTTAGGGCTTCGTCTGAATGTTTGAGCAGTTTTTCTCCACACAACTGACAGGTGTTCCACTTAGTGCAGATCTGAGGATAAAATGTATTGTGAGGAACCAGTGTCTTTTTTTTTTTTTTTTTTTTTTTTGCTTTTTGGGTCACACCTGGCGATGCACAGGGGCTACTCCTGGCTCTGCACTCAGGAGTTACTCCTGGCGGTGCTCAGGGGACCATATGGGATGCTGGGAATCAAACCCAGGTCGTTCACATGCAAGGCAAACGCCTTACCCGCTGTGCTATCTCTCCAGCCCCAGGAACCAGTGTCTTAATGTAAGAAACTTAATTTTTTTTTCCCCTTGAGTGTGGCACACCCCAGCAGTACTCAGGGATCACTCCTAGAGGTTCTTGGGGGAACTCATGGGGTTCATGATCAAATCTGGGCCGGTTTCATGCAAAGAAGATGACCTATCATCTCTCCGCCCTGAAATCATCTTTGCTACCCTATTTGCTACTCTTTCCATCCTAACTCCTATTCTTTTTAACCATCTAGGCAAAGATGTAAGCGTTCAGGTTTGAGATAGATATAAACCATCCTCCATGACAAAATGTAGTATAGATCAGTATAGATTACATCCCCCTTTCTATATCACAGGACCTGTGGTGAATGGCCCTAGAAATGATCCCATTGAGCTAAATCTCTCATTCACCCCACCAGTCAGCGGCACAAAGCCCTGGCGCAAGAGGCAGCCACGTGCTGACTATTAAAATCTGGCCATTTGGACCTTTTCCTGACACACTCTTCTGTCTTCCCACAACTCACAGCAGCACAAGAAGTAAGATCTTGATTCAGGGTTGTGAGGTTGAATAAGCCGCAACAATCAAAATTTCTTTCCAATTCATGCCGGGTTTTATTGCTCATGACCCGCCAAGAAGCATTGATGACATCTGTCTGGAGGATAGAGGCAGAGTGAGTTTATTTGCTGCTAAGTTAACCATAAGAATTCCCCTACCTCCTGATCTCAGTTAAGGTGTCTTTATATTTTCCTGCTTCAGTGAAGTGACTCATTCCTCAGAAGCAAAGGCATATGACATTTACACACACAAAATGACAAATATTCACGTCAGGTTCTTGAATGTCATCTTCATGTAGCCAGACATCCGAGACCAAGGAAGCAAATGGCCCAAGGCTCTTCAATCTGGTGGATCTAAGAATGTTGAGACCAGATAGGTGGGAGTTATAGGTTAAAGAGAAAGCATCTCCTTACCTGTTTGCTTCGGCTAATAGCCAGACAGGAACAAGAGATTCCAAACTGGAAAATGAAGACCAAACCAAGGATGATCATGTACTGAGAAGAGAAGTTAAGGGGGGAAAAAGCCACCCTAGATTACTTTTTTGTTTCTTGGACCATACCCTATGTCGGGGGAAGGCACAGAGCTAGTCCTGGCTCTGCACCTGAATCACTCCTGGCAGTGCTTAGGGGACTATCCGGGACTCCAGAGATTGAACCTGAGTCTGCTTCACGCAAGGCAATTGCCCTATGTGTTATACTCTCCAGCCCCATCGTGCTTTTATTTGGGGGGAAGGGGACGGGCACTGCACCCAGTAGTGCTAAGGGGACCATTTATGGTGCTAGAGATCACAACGGTTGGCCTCATGCAAAGCAAGCATCTTACCCACTGGATTCTCCAGCCCCCACTTCTTTTTAGACATCTCAATTTTCCATAGGGCCCTGGGATTCCCATGACTTCAGGTCAGGATACAAAGAACAACAGCACTTGGTGGTGGTTAACTGCACCCACCAGTCCAGCCACTGCGATGAGAAGAAGGAAGACTCCCACAGCTATGACTCCACCGATGATACGGATGCTGGACACCAGGCCCAGGCTAGTGGCCCACGCTGCCACTCCAACAAGCAACAAGCCTACCAGCTATGGGAAACAGAAGAGAACAAGTCTGCAAAGGGCTCTGGCGGCCAGCACAAAAAAACGGCCTGAGGGGAGGCTAACAAGAAGGAACTGAGCCCTGTGTGAATGAGGAAGAATAGGTGCCTGGGGAATTGGGGGCATCCCGGCACACTCCTCCCACCCATCGGTGGCTGGGATGGGGGTAGAAGGTGGTAGGGATAGCTGCCTATGAATATAAATAGCAATCTTTGGCTTTGTCCAGCATTCTTTTTTGGGAGAACTTTAAATTCACAGGAAGAATGGTTGGGTCTTTAGGTCCACGACCATCTGTTTGTTCACCAACCCCCCCAAGACAAACCCTCTGGCCACCGGAAGTTTTCCCTCTTCCCACGGAAGTCCCTAGGAATTCCCTCTTCGCCGGAAGCTCCCTGGAATCTTCCCGGAACGCCCCAGTACACCCCTCTCCCCGCCGGAAGTCCCCTAGAGACTCTCCCCACTCGTCTTTCCACCCCGAGCTTTCCTCCTCCAAAACCTCACCATGTAGACCACGTTGAGCGCGCACAGCGCATTCTTGGAACAGGCAAATCCACCACAAACCATCTCCCCAGCTTTGGGGACCCAAATGGTCCCGAGGACTTGGGGGAGGGTCTTGGGGACCGTCTTCTTGGACCCGGACAGCTTCTGTTCCTTTAAATCGGGTCCGCCAAACCCAAAGCTCTGCGCCTGCACCGACCCACCCCTGCCTCTGGATTGGCGAAACTCGGGCTAATCCTCGACGCCCAGGGCCCGAATGCCAATCAAGCTGCATTACGTCACTGGCCCGCCCCCGGCCCCGCCTTGAGGCTCTTCATTGGCTGGGGCCCGGTGGGGGCTGGGCTTCTGAAGATTCTCAGGGGGATCGTAACCTACACTTCCGAACCCAGGATTGAAAACCGAGCTTTCTGCAGTCCGAGCCGGGATTCAGAGCTAATCCGACGGCTACTGGGAGGGAGGAGGAGCTGGATACCTGAAGGGCGACGAGACGAGGTTTAGCGAGCCGGGCGGAAAGGGCTCCGCCCCGCGAGGGAGCGCCCTGCCCGCCCCTTTCCGCTAGTTCTGCAGTGACCTCACGATGATGTCATTGTCTGTAGTCATAGCGTCATACTCGGAAATGCCCCGAGGTGCAGCATTTGAAGCTATTTAGTCGTGCCACGGAGGGTGTAGCCACACCCAGTCAATTTTCACTTGTTTGCAAGTATGCCCCTGTCCCCTCCAAATGGATGTTAATACTCTAAAAATGCAACGTGAACCTCGGGAGTGACACCCCCGCCGCTCCCCCCACCCCCGCTGCCACCCTTCCTCCCCCTTCACAGCCCCTCTTCCTCGCCCGGCATTAGCGGCCGAGACACAGAAACCAAACAGAGAAAGACATTCCTTGTGGAAAATAAAGCAGCCTCTGGCCGTTTTTCCCCCTCCTTGTGTGACAAAGCTAGAGGCTGGGTAGGGCGCTTGCCTTGCACAGGGCCACCCCGGGTTGATCCCAGCACCTCACATTGTCTCCCTTCGTCACAGCTCCACCAGGAGTGATTCCTGAGCTCAGAGCGAGGAGTAAACCCTGAGCACAACTGGGTTGTGCCCCACACACACACTACACAAAATGCCACAAGTACATACATGGGTGTGCTTCACACACTCAAATGTCTGCATGGGGACTCGCAAAAAAAAAAGTGACGAAAGGAAGGGTCCAGAATATACATGTGAGAGGTGGAAGAGATAGCGCAGCGGGTGCTAGCTTTGCACTCAGCTGACCCAGGTTCAATCTCCAACATTCCATATGGTCCTGGGAGCTCAGCTAGGCATTATTTCTTAGTAAAGAGCTGGAGTAACTCCTTGTGCATTGCTGGGTGTGATACAAAACAAAACCCAGAACAACCCAGAACATACACATGAGGGTTAGAAGACTCTCCACATTTCTACTTGGGAAGATTGGTGATCGGTATATTTGCCATTCTGTGCTTAGACATAAAACCCTTTTCCTGGGGCTGGGAAAAGGCTTGACTCCTCTCCCCCAAGAAAAAGAATGAAAAGGAAAATGAAATACATCCCTTCATCTCTCTTTCTTTCTCTCTGAGTTCTTAGTTCTATAACTGCAGAGGCATTGTCTTCCTACAATTAATATTAATATTAATAGTCCGATTGTATGAGTTTCATCTTCACCACTCACTGCTACCAGTTAGGTGCTCTGTGCCTGTTTCTTTAAGTGGGGGTAAATCACTACACACCTGCCTCTCACTGTTGTGAAGACTGCATGACTTAAGATGTGGCTAATGCAATGAACAGAACCTGGCAGTGTAAACACTGTTATTATTATTGCATGCTATTTTACTGTCCAGTGGGTAGCCCCAATGCCAATTCCTTCACCCCCAACTATATAAATGTTTACAAATCATGTGTAAAATGGTTTGTAAAATCAAAACATTTTTCAGACACCTGGCAGGGCCAGAAAAGTTTGAATCTTGAAACAAAGTGATTCAATTCAACTACCCACATTTTTCGACTCTTATCCCTTCCAGATTTTATTCTGTCCTGCAATTCTTCATCCAACCTCTTCCTTTTATGTCCTAAATCAAAAACAAGATTTGATTTATATCCTAAATCAAGTATTGGGGAGAAAGGAAGCTGGCGGGTCAGCACCTGGATTGTGAGGTGTAGTGGAAAGGGCATCAGGATTATAATCAGAAAGAATTTATCTTTACTTCACCTCTTACTGACCTCTCAAGGATTTGGTTTCTTTTTCTGCAGAAAAGAAATAATAATCCACCATTTGGGCCTGTGATGAGGGTGATATATATGAAAGTATGTTGTAAATTAAAGACCACTCTCCACACGCATGAAGGTACGGCAGAGGAACAAAGGCACGTGGGTCCCGGGGCTGAGATCTCCAAGCCTGCTCGGATCAGGGCTGAGCATCCTCCACCCAGATCCTCCATCTTTCAGTAGGCAGGGGTCACACCCACCAACTGGCCCCCTGGCGCCGTGTAATCCCATCAACGGCCAAGACCCAGAGACTATAAAACCGGAAGCGCGTGGCCGCATTTGCGGCCGTGAGACATCTTATCATCTCATTCCTACTCTGGACAAAGTGGCAAGCTACTGAATGTAACATGCCCACACGGCAGAGTCTGGCAAACTCCCCGTGGCGTACCCAATATGCCAAATACCAGTAACAATGAAGGGTCTCATTCTCCTAACTCTGAAAGAGCCTTGAATATGGCACTTTTTAAAATCTCAGGGCTAGGATGAAGGAGACGTTACTGGGGCCTGCTCGAGGCAATCGACGAACAACAGGATGATCGTGATCATTGTAAATTACTGTTATAAACAAATTAGTTGTTATAAAAGTAACTGAACATGAAACATAGTGGTTTTGTCTGGGCCCGAGTTACCAACCTTCATAAGCTGTTGTCCCCTGATTACTTAGCCCCTTTAAGCAGAAGCAGATACAGTGGGGTGCCTCTGACTGAAGAAAAGCTGTGTTGTAAGATGTGAAAAGCAGACTCTTTATGGGCTGGAGTAATAGTACAGTGGTAAGGTGCTTGCCTTGCAGGCAGCTGACCCAGATTTGAGCCCCAGCATGTCATATGTTCCCCAGAGCCCTGAGTACAGATGATCCCTGACTACAGAGTCAGGAATAATCCCTGAGCACTGCTGGGTGTGGCCAAAAAAAAATCCCAAGGCACATTTTTCTTTTAAAAGAATGCAGACTCTTTGGATGTAGAAAGTGGCACGTGGGTGGTGAGTACCACTGTAAACTGGGATGCAGGGCTAGGAGGCTGACAGACCAAGTGTGCATATGGTATAAGCAGTACCGTGCTCCAAGTGTGCATAAGGATTCCTGTGTGTATTGGAGACAGAAGACACATCTCTAGGTCACCAAACATTTGGGATTGCACCTGGGACCTGGCTTGCTACATTCTTCCAGGACCAACACCCGACTTAATTAGCCACCTCCCACAGGAAGCCCTGGGATGCTTGTTTTTTTTTTTTATCTGTCATTACCTTTTTTTTTTTTAATTTTTATTTATTTATTTATTTTTCTTTTTTTTATTAGTGAAAAACCATGAGGTACAGTTATAGGCTTACAAATTTTGTGCTTGGGTTTCAGTTATACAATGATCAAGTGCCCATCCCTCCACCAGTGCCCGTGATCCATCCCCACGGGTCCCAGCATCCCCCCCCCCCCTCATCCCCCGCTCTCGGCAGGGGAATCCGAGCAGGATGCTGGTAGGGTTGAGAGTCTGACGCTAGAGGGGGTGGAAGACACAGGAGGTAGTGCTGTCTCAGGCTGTGGGTTTGAAACTCACCAGTCAGGAAGTGAGGCGACAAACGGAAGGGCTCGAAGGGCCGCGGAGCTCTGGGGCACAGGAGAAGGAGCCTTCTTGAGTTTAGGGGGTCATGGGGACCATGGATTTGGAGGCGAGAGGTTGCTGTTAGCTGGCAGGACAAGTCTGGGCAACATGCATGCCCAGAGGCAGCTGGCTGTAGCCACAGTAAGAGCAGAAGTCAGGCGACATGAGGTGGCTAAACAGGCTCTACGTCGCCTCAGGAAGCTGGCAGAGAGGGTGAGCGACCCTGAACTTCAAGATAGCATCCAGGCCTCACTGGACATCCTGCGAGGTAAGAGAGGGGTTAGTGTCCAACATGAGTGCTGGACCAGAGATGGCCTACAGAGTTTGCTGGGGACAACCCACTTTCCAACCACTTCCCAGTGCTGAGGTGGCGCTGGGCCCCGGGAGACTGCATTTGGGAAGGATGGAAAAAGACATGGGAGGCGTTCCTGCTCCTCTTTCCCCAGCTCTCATCCTTGTCCCAGGGGGGTTAAAACACAGGTCACTGTCAAACTGACCTTCTGGCAATGTACATGCGGGTGAGTATGGGGGGAAATGGGTTGTGATAGACCCATAGTGACTTGGATCTTGCCTGGGGAGTCTGGGGCAGGAAGCAGGCTGGGCCAGGAGGTTCTGGGACTGGATAATGTGTTCCTTCCCAGGACCCGCGAAGGATCAGTGACCTCTTGTTCTGCAGCTGTAGAGAAATACATACACACACACACACACACACACACACGCGCGCGCGCGCGCGCGCGCGCGTGCACACAAGCATGCACATGCATGCTACTTGAAATACACCACGCAGGTTCCCAGACTCACAGACACACTTGTATTAGCTGAGCTGGAGTGCTAAAAAGTCCCCAGGACTTATCTGTGTCCCCTCTTGTCCCCATGCACCTGTTCCTGTCTCCCTTCCCCCAACCCCCCACCACACATACACCTTCCGCTTTACCTCCTTGGTGCCATTAGAGCAAGTGATGACAACACAGGGAGGAAGTGCTGCCATGGCAACACCATCCGCCACATCCTCCTGCCCACCCCAGCCTTCAATCCTGTGGTGGGGCCCTGGCAGGAACAGCTTCTCGCCATCCTCGGGGGCCCCACCACTAAGGAATTGGGGGAACTGGAGGCCTAGCCTGCTCTCATCTTATTAACCCTGGAGGCAGCAAAGAGCTAACCTGGCATGCAGGGACGCAGAGTGTCTGAGAGAAGCACATCCCCTCTCTCCCCACCCTACCACCCATCACTTCTGGTCTCCTGCAGACTGTTTCTACCTGTCTGCCTGTCGGGTCAAGAGGCCTTCTCTCCATCAAGGATGCCTCCTGCCAGACTTCTCTGACAGGAGAGATCACCAGAACAAAATGGGGAAGGAACAGTCTGGAGAGGATTCCACGGGAACAGTCTGGTCCTCTCCCCAACCCTTCTGAGGCTTGTGCCCTCAGGCTTCTGGTCTCCTACCCTTTGCCAGGAACTACGGCTGACGGCATTTCTAGCTTAGTGGTTAGAAAGGCTGGCCGAAGGATGGGCTGGACCTGAGGGGGTGTCTCTGGGAAGCCCCATCTCCATAGGGGAAAACAGAAAGGCTGGGAAGGAAATGTTTAGCCAGGTGGAGGAGCTCTGCGAGTCTCTGGAGTGAGGAGTGAGGAGCCTTAGAGGCTGGAATCTTGAGCAGCTCCCATTCTCTATAGGGGAGTCGTTTCACTCCTTTCCTAAGAATAATCAGAACTTTGTTCCCATTGGACATAAGAAAAAACTGAGGTCACCAAAGGAAGGAAATGAAATCGGAATCAACAAAACTCCCTCACTGCCTTTGCCTCCTCACCCCCTGGATTTCAGAAAAGGCAAATGAAGAACCTCCAGTTCTTTTATCTTGGTCCTGGGGAGGGTGGGAGGGAGGGGCGGTGAAGCTATTGACCTCAGAACAGGACTTTTTGGGGACTGGGGGCAGGTCTCAGCGAGAGCAGAGGGCACCCAGCATTTCACATCTGCACCCCCACCCTCACCCCTACCAGGCCGTGCCGCCTAGCTCCTGCCTCCAAGAGCCGCCCACGACAGCACTTATTATAGTCTGGCTGCGTCAGGAGGGTGGGACGCCAAATTAGGGGAAAGCTCAGGCTCTGAGTTCCCAGGGAGGGGTCCCTAATGCCTCCCCAACTCCCACCCCACCCCATCTCAGTCCCTGACCTCGCCTGCCCAACTCATTCATTCTTTTCTGGGTTTAGGAGACAGTGAATCTTGAAGTCCAGGGTCCCTGGAGGTGTGTGTGTGGGGGGGGGGGGGGGGTAGCACCGAGCTCACAGGCATTTTTTTTCCATTCCATCTCCTCTTCAACCCTCTTAAAGAACCCCACCCTGAAAATCTCAGGAGACTGAACAGGGGCCCACAAAGAGACCAGCTCCTGCTGCCTCAACTGAAGAGGTTCTTATATTCTGGGGTGCTCAGGACCTCCCTCATGGGTAATCAGGTGTGAGGGTGGTGCCTCTGCTAACTCCAAATCCCCTGGCCCCCCCCCCCCACACACACACGCCAAACCTTCCTCTCTGCTTATCCCTGCTGTTTCTGAGGCACTCTTGGAGCTCAGGTTGCTATGGAGACAGGTTGCATTTTGGTAAGGGGGGGGTGTCACTCTAGACATAATTCCTTCTCGAGATGGAGCCTTTGATTCACTTTTCACCCAGGTTCTTGGGGCTTCCAGATCTCCCATCTCTTGAGCACCCCCTCCCCCATCTCCCTTCCTACCCTGCTAAGTTCCTTGTCTATCCCCATCCCCAGGGAACATTTTGCAAGTTCACTTTGGGACAGTTGAGCTCAAGTCGTGGCCTGGTCAGCGTATTTTGTGGGCGTCGTGGGGGCCGTGGGTGGGCAAGAAAGCTGGTCCTTGGGCAAGAAACGTGTCCCAGTACCTGGGGGGAGAACAGAGGTCCTAGGAAAGGGATTCCAGGGTTTTTCTGTTGCCCACTGGGGCTTCTCCAGTATGAGCAACGGCCCCGCGCTGGCTGCGCGCTGCCCGCGGAGGGCCCACTGACGTTCACCCTGGCCCCTGACAGCCTCCCGCAGCCGCGGCGCGCCCTGACCGTGGGGTGCACGGGGAGGGGGCTCTGTGGTTGGAGGCGGTCAGTCCCCGTTCCCGGAAATCCAGCCCAGGATTTGGGAGGGAGATCCAGTCCTGGGTTTTGCGCCGCCCTCGCAGACAGCGGCGCTGGTGGAGAGAAGGTGGTGGTGGTGGGGGGAGACCGGGGAAGGGGGCGGGGGGCCGCCTCCTCCTCAATGTGAGGGGAGCGCCCGGACACAGCGCGCATCCGGACCCAGCCGAGCCCCGGCGAGCCCCCCCGGACCCTTCTCCCGGATCGCACGCTCCTCCCCTCCCAGCCCCCCGCCCCGTGGGTTCCCACCCCCTTCTGCTTCCCTCCTTCCTCCCCCGCCGGCGCCCGTATCTCCATCCCCAGCATCCTCCCCGCGCCCCTGCGAATCCCCCGCACGACCAGCCCCATTAGCTTCCCACCCTCCCCAAGACCCCCTCTCCGACCCCCCACCCCAGCCGCGGCTCCCGTCTCAGGAGTCTGCATTCCCCGCCCTTGCCTCCCCCGCACCGGTTCCCCCCCCTGCCTCCCGGTCCCTCTTTGCTGCCCCCTCTTCCTCCCTCTTCCGATTGCCCCCCACGACTGTCCTCCCCGCTCCCCCCCGCCCATCTCAGCGCCCCCACCCAGACCCGGGTGCACGGTCCATCCGGCGCGCCTCCCTGGAGCAGCACCAAGGTCCCGGGGCTCCTACGGGGTGGGGGCGCAGGGCGGGGAGCATGGGGAGGGGGCGCCCCGTGTGATGGGCGGGGGGCGTAAGCGGAGGCGGCGGAGGCGGCGGCGACAGCGGAGCCGGGCCGGGGGCTCAGCGGGGTCCGGGGGCTGGGGGCAGCGAGCAGGGCGGCCCCATGGCCGGGCCCCCCTGAGGCAGTCCGGGGGAGTCCCGTCCGCTCCCCAGCTCGGGGGTCTCGGGGCCCCATGAGCCGGGGCGCGGGCGCGCTTCAGCGCCGGACAACGACCTACCTCATCTCGCTGACCCTGGTCAAGCTCGAGTCGGTGCCTCCGCCGCCGCCTTCTCCGTCCGCGGCCGCCGCCGGCGCCCCCGGGACCAGAGGTGCCGAGATCGGGGATCCCGGCAGCCCCCGAGGTGCGGAGGAGCCGGGCAAGAAGCGGCACGAGCGGCTCTTCCACCGGCAGGATGCGCTGTGGATCAGCACGAGCAGCGCGGGCGCGGGGGGCGCCGAGCCCCCCGCCCTGTCCCCGGCTCCGGCCAGTCCGGCCCGCCCCGTCTCCCCCGCGCCCGGCGGCCGCCGCCTCTCGCTCTGGGCCGCCCCTCCCGGGGGGCTGAGCCCCGACGCCAAGCCCGGGGGCGCCCCCGCCGCCGGCCGGCGCCCCCTGCTCAGCAGCCCGAGCTGGGGGGGCCCGGAGCCCGAAGGCCGGGCGGGCGGCGGCGTCCCCGGCTCATCCTCGCCGCACCCGGGCACCGGCAGCCGGAGGCTCAAGGTGGCGCCTCCCCCGCCGGCGCCCAAGCCTTGCAAGACGGTGACCACGAGTGGCGCCAAAGCCAGCGGGGGCAAGGGCCCGGGGAGCCGCCTGTCATGGCCCGAGAGCGAGGGCAAGCCCAGGGTCAAGGGGTCCAAGAGCAGCGCCGGGACTGGAGCGGCCGCCGCGGCCGCCACGACCCCCGGCGGGGTCGCGGCCGGGCCCGGAGCCCGAGGGAAGCTCTCCCCGCGGAAAGGCAAGAGTAAGACCTTGGACAACAGTGACTTGCACCCGGGACCGCCCGCCGGCTCGCCTCCTCCGCTCACCGTGCCCGCGACCCCGGCTCCGCTAGCCGCTGTCACCGCCGCCTCCGCGCAGCCCGCGGGGCCTGCACCTCCGATCACGCTGGAGCCTCCAGCTCCCGGGCTGAAGCGGGGCCGGGAGGGGGGCCGAGCATCCACTCGAGATCGAAAGATGCTGAAGTTCATCAGCGGCATCTTCACCAAGAGCACAGGGGGGCCTCCTGGCTCGGGGCCTCCTGCGGGACCCCAGGGCTTGTCGTCCGGCAGCGGGTCCAGGGAGCTGCTGGGCGCAGAGCTCCGCGCTTCCCCTAGTGAGTAGGCTCGGGGCCCGAGAACAGGAAGGGGAGGGGGTCCGGGATTCTCGGTTTGCAAGGGGTGAGCGGGGCTGCAGAGAGCGGCTCCCTGGGGTGGGATGTGAACCTGGCTGGCTCTTCTGAGCACTGGGCAAAGAGGCGGTCTGGGCGGGAGGCTGGGGGGGGGGGGTGGATGGGGGAGTCGCTGCCTTGTGTGACAGGAGAGATGGTTTGACTTCAGGGGAACTCAGAAAGCCTGGGGAGATAGTACCCTTGGTCGGGGAGGGAACTTGGAGGAAATTGTCCCCAAGGTAACCCTGGTCTCAGTGTCTGTGGGACTCCCCAGGATCACAGGGATCCTTGCCCAAGGGACACAGGCTGCCTTGCCCAGGGGACAGTGGAAGGGAAGGATGCCTCAGTTTCTCCTGAGAACCTGGGGCAGGTGGCATGAGAGTGACCTTCTGGGCAGGCCCCTGCCGGGGGCAGGTTCCCCCTGGGCTGAGAGCAGGCAAGGGAGGCCCAGTGGCGGGGAACCCCTCCTCTGTCCTGGCTGTGGGGTGGGGGTGTTTGGGGCTGAGACCGTGCTGGACCGGGCAAAGGAGAGGAACAGAGGAAGCCTCACTTCCCCTCCAGCTCGGGGGCTCCCCAGTGGTTCCCCAGTGGCTCCCCAGTGGCTCCGGGGTGGGGGGCGTGGAGCTGCTGCAAAGGCAGTTCGGATACCTGGAGACTGGAAAAGGGGGTACAGGGGAGGCAGCTGTGTGTGTGGCTCTTTATTTTTGTCCTGGAAAAGGAGAGGAGAGCGACTCTGGGTTCAGCTCACACTCCCCCAGAGGGGAGGCGGTCCGGGAGCGGGGGCGGCACCCCGGGTTTGGCTCCGGAGCGGGTGGGAGCAGATGGCTCCGGATCCCAGAGTTCCCGCCGCAGCTGCGGCTCCCCGGGAACGTCCGGCCGGTGTCAGGCGCGGGGGCTGAACCCGGGAGGGGGTGGGGACAGGGACGCGCACCCGTCCCGCCCCAAAACCCAGCCCTCGGCGGGGAGGGAGGAGCGCCCGGACCCAGGGTTCTTTCGAAGGATTCTAGGCTCCCGGAGAGGAAACTGCCCTGGAAAAACCGAACGCCTTGCCTGGGGCTGTGGGGAGGGTCGGAGCTTTCAGGCTGTTGACCTTGAAAAAGGGGCGGGCTATCCCTCACCTCAGTTTCTCTCCGGTGAAGGGAGATTGAGGAAGGTCCATTCCCTTCGGCGCTCCAGCCCCCCTTCCCAGCATCTGCTCTGAGGATCAGTGTCGTGGGGGAACAAGGGACCCTTTCCTGGCCTTTTTCCCGCTAGAAAGAACCCACCTCTGTCAGAGCGCTGGTCCCCTGGTCTGGGGCAGGGAACTACGTTTGGGGATGTGCTTTAAGGGAGATGCCATCTGAAGTATTTTTGTCTTGCTGGCTCTGTTGCTAAGCAACCACTGAGCGGCGGCAACAGCTGTGGGGAGAGCGGCTAGGATGGGCGGACAGGGGACCACTCTCCGGAGCTGCTCCGCACAGCCCCGCACAGCAAGGGGCGCTGTGACGGAGGAGTGAAGGGCAGGGCGGGACGCCTCCTGGGTCTGGAGCACCTCCTCTCACTGTCCCTCTTTCCTTCCTTGCAGAGGCTGTGATCAATAGCCAGGAGTGGACTCTGAGCCGCTCCATTCCTGAACTGCGCCTGGTAGGTGACCACCTCCCACGAGCGGGGCCTCCCCCCCTCTATTCGCGCAGTCCCTTCCTGCTCTCTGGGAACGTGGAGAAGAGTTTCCTGTTCTCCCCACATTCTAACCTCCAGCGTGGTCAGGATATTGCCCCAGACTTTTTCTTTTCTAGCCTCCTTCTTCCTGATGGTACTCAGCGCTCTTTCAGGCTTTCTCCTGTAGTCCTTTAAGTTTTATTTAGACTAGAACTGGGTAAAACTTTGCAACTGGTACCTACGGCTGTTAGACCACTACTAAATCTCTCTGCCTCTGTCTCTGTCTCTCTTTCTCTTACACACATGCGCGCGCACACACACACACCTCTAGTTTATTCCTAAACAACACTGAAACACTGACTTGCTCTGTGAGTGGTCCCCTTTGAGTGGGGGTCATTTCTTACCACACCCAGGGCTGGACCCATGTGAACCTGCCCGTCCTTCAGGCTCTGTTAGATCCTCCTGGGCTGTTTCATCAGAGCGAGCCCCTTTGGGTTCTCTAGAGTCTCCGAGTCTAACCATCCTGCTTCCTCTTCATCCCCACAATCTCTGCTCCACAACCATGGCTTCAGGGGGTTCTGGGAGATGCGAGGAGTGGGAAGTCATCGCTCATTCACCGATTCCTGACGGGTTCCTACCAGGTGCTGGAGAAGACAGAGAGTAAGTGCTCCAGAGCCACAGTAAGTCAAGGCTGGGGCCAGGATGGACAGAGACAGTACCAGGCTGAGTGAAACGAATCAGAGGGAGAGGGGCAGACAGGGAAAGATCGTACACATTTGGGGATATTAAAAATATATATATATATATATATGAGATTACTCCCTAGGGTCTGCAGAAATTAGGGCAAGGAAGCCTGGTCCATGGTTGGGAGGTTGCCCCAAGCGGGGTAAGAGAAGGGCAGTTAGGACAGAGAAGGGACCACTGTGACAGTGATAGTTAGAAATGATCACTCTGGACAAGAGCTGAGTGCTGAAAAGAGGTAAAGTGATGTGCATGATACCTTTTCAGTACCTGTATTGCAAACCACAGTGCCTAAGAGGAGAGAGGAGAGAGGTGAGAGGAGAGAGAGAGAGAGAGAGTGTGTGTGTGTTAAGAGGGCACTGGTGAAGGGATGCTTGTTGGAACATTATATGACTGAAACCCAATCATGAACAACTTTGTAACAAATCATGAGTTCATGCATCTCACATGATTCAATAAAAAGGGAGGACAAAGAAAAAAGATCGGGATCAGGGTTTCAAGATCAGTGACTGACCTTATAAAGGATAGGACCCCTGGGACTTAGTACAGTGGGTGGGGCATTTGCTTTGCCTGCGGTCAACCCAGGTTCGATTCTCCTGAATGCCATAACCCCTTCCTCCCAAACCCTTCAGTGATCCCTGAGTGCAGAGCCAGGAACCCTGAGCACTGCCAGATGTGCTCCCCGCCCCCCCCCCCCATGGATAGGGCCTCCATAATGCAAATTTAGAATATCTGGGGGATTTATCTCTAACGTCTGACCATTTTCAACCTTCTGGACAGGTGAACAGCACAAGAAAGAAATGTTGGTGGATGGACAGACTCACCTGGTGCTGATCCGAGAGGAAGCTGGGCCTCCTGATGCCAAGGTGAGGGTGAGAAGCTGGAGGGGGCCTCGCCAAGGTTGGCACAGGCCCGGGGCTGTGGTTCTCCAGGCTCCGCTCTGGATGCCCTCCAGAGGAAAGGACTTGTCTGACCGCGATTTGCTCCCTCACTCCCCGCAAGTTCTCAGGCTGGGCAGATGCCGTCATCTTGGTCTTCAGCCTGGAGGATGAGAACAGTTTCCAGGCCGTGAGTCGACTCCACGGGCAGCTGAGCTCTCTTCGAGGGGAGGGGCGAGGAGGCCTGGCATTGGCACTGGTGGGCACACAAGGTAAGGAGGAGACTGCTACCCGCTTCCCTTCTTTCTGTCATTGTCATGACAGCGCTGCATTTCCCTGGGCAGTGTTAGTGGGCAGTTCTTTATCGTGCAGCTTGCACAGGTGCTCGCTAGGGGGCGCACTCTCTTCTGGTGATGCCCACACACGCTAATGCTGGTCATCACACAGGGGCTTGGCAGGGGTGTTTGCATATCGTATCTTTTAGTGATTGGTGCTTATGGTCACGCCCCTCCCTGTATGGTGTTCCCATACACCTGGCTGTGGTGTGGCTGGAAATCACAGAGGGCAGAGCTGCTGGGGGATGCTGGGGCTTTGAACTCGTGACTTCATGCTTGCAAGGGGGCACTTTAAGCTCCAGAGCCATCCCCTGGGTCCCTTGGGAGGTCCCTGGGCTGTTCACTGCAGTCACTGAGGTGGGCTCAGTAGAGATGACAGATGGGTAAGGTGGAAATAACTCCCCATGGATTCCAGTATCCCCCTGGACTTGGTTTCCCACAGGGAGCCTTTAAATAAAACCTCCTGCGGTCTGAGCAGGGGAAAGGGAGTCTCTAGGGGGGAGGCAGAGTCTGCACTATCTCCTGCCCTCTCGCGAGACCTCACCACCTTGAGCTGTCACACTTCGAGCCCTGATCTGATGCCACACAGGGAACACAGTCTCATAGGTCTTAGAAATAGAAAGTTATCCCCACCTTCCCTTTGCCAGAGATGGGTTAGGCCAAGCCCTCCTTTTTATTTGAAGGGGGTACATCTAGTCGTGCTTAGTGGTCACTCCCAGCTCAGTACTCAGGGGTTACTTCTGATGGTGCTGGGGATCCGAGTTGGGCCCCTGCATGTAAAGCAGGGCTCAGTCGGTTAAGCTAACTATTCTATCATGGGGGCGAATATTTTATTTTATTTTTGAGGTCACTGACCACATTCAGTGGTGCTCAGGGACGGCCTCTATGTCAGGAGGCGAAGGAGGATTAAACTATTGTTGGCTGCATGCAAGGCAAGCACCTTACCCTCTGTTCCAATGCTGTGGCCCTTGAGGCCAGGATCATTTAAAGAAACTCATCTACAAAGGGAAAACATAAAGGAAAAAAATTTTTTTCTTAAGGAAACTTTTTGGAATGAGAGTGATAGTACAGCGGTTACAGCATTTGCCCAGCATACAGCCGACCTGGGTTCAATCCTTGACATCTCATATGGTCCTCTGAGCACCACTAGAAGTAATTCCTGAGTGCAGAGCCAGGAGTAAACCCTGAACATCACTGGATGTGACCCCGCCTCCCAAAAAGAAAAATTGGGGGGGGGACCTGGAAGATAATGTAGTGGGTAGGCACTTACCTTGCATAAGGCCAACCCAGATTCAGTCCCCAGCATCCCACGTTTTCCCCTGAGCACCACCAGCAGTGATCTCAGAACGCAAAGCCAGAAGTAATCCCTGAGTACCGCCGGGTGTGGCTCAAAAAGAAAAAAAAGAAAAAATTTTGGGGGAAAGGGCATATCTGTAGGTGCCTGGGGGCTCCTGGCTCTGTGCATGAGGAGTGCATGGATAGCTACTTTTAGCCCCTCAGCTATCTCTGGCCCCAGACATGATTTCAGAAGTCTTTTACTTCTCAGCGCACGATGCAGATGGTTTCGGCCTCTGCCCTTCCCCTCCTTTCAGCCTCCGTGTGGGCACAGCGCTTCCTGCCTGGCTGCCTGTCCTGCAGGTGCTCAATGCCACCTGTTGCCTGGTTCTCACTGCAGAGTGAACTGGCCACCTGTTGCTTATGAACATTCAATAATTTCAACTTGTTCTTTTTTTTGCGGGGGTGAGGCTATATCTGGTAGTGCTCAGTACTCAGGGGGGTCATTCCTGACAGTGCTCAGGGAACTATACTTTGTGAGGGCTTTGGCCTGCAGAGCCTGTTCTCTGCCCTTTGGAGCCAATTCCCTGACTCTCAGCCCTCCGTCCCTGCCGCCTGCACACTCTTTCTTTCTTTCTTTCTTTCTTTCTTTCTTTCTTTCTTTCTCTCTCTCTTCTTTCTTTCTTTCTCTCTTTCTTTCTTTCTCTCTCTCTTTTTCTTTCTCTCTTCTTTCTTTGTTTCCTTCTTCCTTCCCTCCCTCCTCTTTCTTTCTTTCTTTCCTTCTTCCTTCCCTCCCTCCCTCCCTCCTTCCTTTCTTTCTCTCTTTCTTTCCTTTTTCCTCCCTCCCTCTTTTCTCTCCTTCCTTCCTTCCTTCCTTCCTCCTTTTTCTTTCTTTCTTTTCTTTCTCTCTCTTCTTTCTTTCTTTCTCTCTTTCTCTCTCTTCTTTCTTTCTTTCTTTCTTTCTTTCTTTCTTTCTTTCTCTCTCTCTTCCCAGTGGTACTCCTGACTCTGCATCATGCAACCATCACCCCTGGTGGTGCTCAGGCAACCATATGGGGTGCTGATGATCAAACCTGGCCTGGCCACATGCAAGACAAACGCCTTTCCCTCTGTATTATCGCTCTATCCCCCCTCAATTTATTTATTTATTTTTTTGCTTTTTTGGTCATACCTGGCGATGCTCAGGGGTTACTCCAGGCTCTGCACTCAGGAATTACTCCTGGCGGTGCTCGGGGGACCATATGGGATGATGGGAATCAAATCCAGGTCGGCTGCGTGCAAGGCAAAGACTCAACCCGCTGGGCTCACTCCAGCCCCCTCCAATTTATTCTTACATTAGGTCTCCACTCCCTCAGCTCAAGACTCTTTGCATTTGCAAGGCTGGGGATCAATCAGGTGTATCAACATTCTGTCAGAAAACCACACACACACACACACACACACAGATACACACATACATTCACACGCACATGCACACATGCACACATACGCACCTTACTTTGCTTACACAAACAGGCACTTACTGGCACTTACAGCACAGTCAAGGGAGACTGGCTCTCTCATTCCCTGTCCCCTGTCCCCAGGGGAAGAGCACAGGGGAAGAGCGACCAGGGAAAGGGCGGCGGGGGCCCCCCAGTCCAACACCCCCTCTCCTGGCCCCTCAGACAGGATCAGTGCTTCGTCGCCTCGGGTGGTGGGTGATGCCCGTGCCAGAGCCCTGTGTGCAGACATGAAACGCTGCAGCTATTACGAGACCTGCGCCACCTACGGGCTGAACGTGGACCGGGTCTTCCAGGAGGGTGAGTGGGGGCTCCCCGGATGTAAGGAAAGCAGGGTGCTAGGGCCCCGGGGTCACAGAGGCCTCCCTGTGAGTGAGAGGAAGTTGGCTTCCTAGTGGGGAGGGCTCCTGGGGACAGTGCTCCGTGGCCCGGGGCCTTTCTGAGCTTGGGCAAGTTAGCCAGGCAGTTGGGGGACACGAAGGCTAAGAAAGCAGGGAAATGGGGCCTGATCGTCCCCTGGGGCTTTCTCCAAGCTGGGCCACCAGAACGGCCCATTGTCTGCCCGGCCCCTCCACACTCACGCCTGTCTCCCGCCCCCGCAGTGGCCCAGAAGGTCGTGACTCTGCGCAAACAGCAGCAGCTCCTGGCCGCCTGCAAGTCCCTGCCCAGCTCTCCCAGCCATTCAGCGGCCTCCACGCCCGTGGCCGGGCAGGTGAGTTGGGGGTTTCAGGGCCCAGAGAGGCTGGTCGGAGGCAGAGAAGGGGCTGTGAGCCGAAGATGGAGTAGCAAGGGGATCCCAACACTTGGGGGCAGCAGCGACGCCATTTGAACAAAGTGGATCTGACGTTGTGAACTCGATCCGATTAGCAGTGCAGACTCCTTGGGCCAAACAGCCAGTTGGGAAGCTGAAGGCAAGTGTGAGGGGCTGGAGTGATAGCACAGCAGGTAGGGCATTTGCCTTGCACGCGGCCGACCTGGGTTCGATTCCCAGCATCCCATATGGTCCCCTGAGCACCGCCAGGAGTAATTCGGAGTAACCCCTGTGCATCACCAGATGTAACCCAAAAAGCAAAAAAAAAAAAAAAAAGGGGGCAAGTGTGAGGCCAACCTTGGCAAACCCAGAACAAGGGGACAACAACCTTTACCAGGGTGACACCAGTCAGTAAACTGTGATAGCACAAGGGCTTTTTCCAGTTCCTCCTCATAGCTGTGGGGAGCATGGTGGATGAGGGCATCCTGTCGGCTCTGCTGACGCCTCCCTCTGTCCCCAGACTAGTAACGGGGGCCACACAAGCGACTACTCCTCTTCCCTCCCATCCTCGCCCAACGTCGGTCACCGGGAACTCCGAGCGGAGGCAGCGGCAGTGGCTGGACTGAGCACCCCAGGGTCCTTGCACCGGGCAGCCAAGCGCAGAACCAGTCTTTTTGCGGTACTGGCCATGCTGAGACCCCACTCTCCCGTCCCCCGTCCCTTCTGTTGTGTCCTTCTGCTCCTGCTGTCCCTGTCCTTCCATACTGCGTCCCTCTGCCTTTGCTCTAACGGATGCCTGTGTCCATTCCAGAATCGCCGGGGCAGTGATTCGGAGAAGCGGAGCTTGGACAGTCGTGGAGAGACGACAGGGAGTGGGCGAGCCATCCCCATCAAACAGGTGGGCGACTCTGCGTGCAGGGCCAGGTGGGGGGCAGCTGGGGTTTGGATTTCTGCTCCTGGGTCCTGTCAGGCAGTGCTGGGGACTGGGTCAGGGCTCCAGCATGCGGAGCATGTGCTCCAGCTCTGAGCCATCACTGTGGATGCTTTCATGCATGCATGGGTGCCTGTGCATGTGTGGGTGTTGTGCACGTGTGGAGTGCCAAGGATTAGACCCAGGGCCTCACACTTTATTATTTATTTATTTATTTTGCTTTTTGGGTCACACCCGGCGATGCACAGGGGTTACTCCTGGCTCTGCACTCAGGAGTTACTCCTGGCGGTGCTCAGGGGACCATATGGGATGCTGGGAATCGAACCCGGGTCGGCCGCGTGCAAGGCAAACAACCCTGCCCGCTGTGCTATCACTCCAGCCCGGCCTCACACTTTAGAGGCATGCACTTTGCCACCGAGCCATGTCCCCAGCCCCTGGAGCTGGTCTCTTTTCTTTTTTAAAACATGCTTTATTTGGGTACAGCAGGTAGGGAGTTTGCCTTGCACGTGGCTGACCTGGGTTCAATCCCAGTTTCACATATGGTCCCCTGAGCACTGCCAGGAGTAATTCCTGAGTGCAGAGCCAGGAGTAACCCCTGAGCATCACTGGCTGAGACATGCCCCCCCCCCCCAGGTTTATTTTTAAAAATTATTTGTTTTTTGGGCCACACACAGCAGTGCTCAGGTCTTACTCCTGGCTCCTCACTCAGGGGTCACTCCTGGTTGGCTCAGGGACCATGTGGGGGTGCTGGGGAATGGACCTGGGTCAGTAAGGTCCAAGGCCCTCCCTGCCGTATTATCTCTCCAGCTGCTTCTTTCCTTTTGTTTTCTTTTCCTTTTTTTCTCTTATTTTTCCTTTTGCAGGGGGCTTTGAGTTATACCTGGCGGTGCTCAGGTGTGGCTCTGTGCTCAGCTGTGCTCAGAGATCACTCGTGCCAGGTTCAGGAGCTTATCAAGGGTACCAGGGATCGAACCTGGATCAGGGAAATTGGTCTGAGTGGGTTTTTTTTCTTCCTCCCACTGTCTCTTTCCACACTCCAGAGTTTCCTACTGAAGCGAAGTGGCAACTCCTTGAACAAAGAATGGAAGAAGAAGTATGTGACGCTGTCCAGTAACGGCTTCCTGCTCTACCACCCCAGCATCAACGTGAGTGGCAAGCATTCACGCTCGGCGTTTTGGCAGACGCCGGCCTCCCCTCGGGGCAGCTCTCGTCCTATCCTTTAGCAGAACAAGCATGTGTGAGGCACTCCCGGTGTGCCCGTGCTAGAGACAGAAATGGTAACGCCTTCTCCTCAGGACCTTGTGATGCAGAGGGGGACCCAGGAGGGAGGCCTCCACAGGGCCTGTCAATCTGGGAGGGCTTTCTGGAGGAGGTGATGGTGACTGTGCCCTTCTCCTGATGCTCCTCCCCAACCAATCCAGGCCCAAGGTGCTCTCTCCCATCCCTCTCTAGCCAATTCCATTGGCTGCTTCCCAACACCATCCGGGACTCTCACCTTCTCTGCACTCTCCATCCCTCGCCCCCTCCAGGATTACATTCATAGCACCCATGGCAAGGAGATGGACTTATTACGAACAACAGTCAAAGTCCCCGGCAAGCGGCCCCCTCGAGCCATCTCTGCTTTCGGCCCCTCGGCCAGCATCAATGGACTGGTCAAGGACATGAGCACTGTCCAGATGGGGGAAGGCCCCGGTGAGTGGGGCTTGTGTCAGGAGGGGTCCCCCGGGGTGGGGGACAAGGAGGGTGAGTAGGGTGGGGGTGAGCTGGAAGGGGGGGATGACGAAGGACCGCCCGAGGAAGGGGTCCAGAGGCGAGCAGCTCACCGAGGCTTTGTCTTGTCCCGGCAGAAGCTACTACCCCCACCCCGAGTCCCAGCCCCAGCCCCAGCTCCCTGCAGCTCCCGCCAGACCAGACGTCAAAGCACCTGCTGAAGCCAGACCGGAACTTGGCCCGAGCCCTCAGCACTGGTCAGTGGGGACCCGCCCTCCATCCTCTGTCTCCGGCAAACCAGAAGAGGGTGGGCAGTGAATGAGAGGCCAGGACGCTGGGGTCCTTGCCTGGGCAGGTGGGGCCCAGGCTTCCTCACCCGGAGCTCATCAGCATGATTAGGTCAGGTGGGCTTTGGGGAGACGGCTCACAGGGCTGGAGCCCAGGTCTCCGCATGCAGGAGGCCATCGTTCAGTCCCCAGCACCTCGTGGGCTCCAGAGCACTGCCAGGAGCAACTCCTGAGCAATGCATGGGGAGTAGCCCCTGAGCACAAATAGGTGTGGCCCCCAAACAAACAAAAAACAACAACAAAAGTGCTGGGGAGGATGCTCAGTGGCAAAGTGTATACTCTACCTGCAGGAAACCTGGGTTTAGTCCCCAGCACCACCAAACAAAGTAGACTAATTTAAAGATCAGTAGGTTCCAAGGAACTTCTGGAGCTTAAGTCATGGGGAGGTTTCTTGATAGCTCCACATCCCAGTTTGCCTCGCCTGTGTAGAGGCTTCAAGAGAACTGAGAACAATGACAAAAAACATAGTCAGCCATCAGCATTTGGAATGTTTCCATATGTATTTCACAATAAGTAACACTGTCACAGGGGTCTGCAGGCCACCTTGCCAGGTCAAGGATATCCCCATTTTAGGGATGAGGACACTGAGGGCAGAGAGATAGTATTTGCACTAGCTTTGCACACTGCCAACCTGGGTTCAAGCCCCAGCACCATTTATGGGCCCCCAAGGGGTCTCCTGCCATCAGTGATGCCTAGGCACACAGCCAGGAGTAAGCCCTGAGCACTGCTGGCTGTGCCCACCCCCAAAATAGAGAGGGACTAGAGAGAGAGCACAGCAGGTGAGGCATTTGCTTTGCACACAGCTGACCTAGGTCCAGTGCCTGATGCCTGACACCACATATGGTGCCCTGAGCACAGAGAGCCAAGGGTGAGCCCTGAGCATGGGTGGGCATGATAGAGAGGGGGAGAGGTGGGAGGGAGGGAGGGAGGGAGAGGAGGGGAGAGAGGAGAGGGGAAGCGGGAGGGGAGAGAGGAGAGGGAAGCGGCTCAGAAGATGAAGTAACTTGCCCAAGTTGTGGAGGCCGGTGAGTGGCAGAGCCAGGCAGAGCCAGTGCAGTTCTCCAGCTACTCCCCTGCCCTCCCCGGAATGATCCAGGGGAGCCCTGAAGACAGACAGCTGAGGAGTGGGCCCCTAAAGTGCTTGGGGGGCGGTAGGCTGATAAAAAATTAGGAATCCTGGGGCCCGAGCGATAGTACAGCAGGTATGGCGCCGGCCTTGCATACGGCCAGCCCTGGTTCAATTCCTGGCACCCCATGCGATCGATCCCCCAATCACTGCCAGGAGTAATCCCTGAGCAACTGGGTGTGCCCCTCCCAACGTTTTTATTAAAGATTAAAATCAGGAGGGGTTGGAGCGATAGCACAGGGGGTAGGGCATTTGCCTTGCACACGGCCAACCCGGGTTTGATTTCCAGCATCCCATATGGTCCCCCGAGCACTGCCAGGAGTAATTCCTGAGTGCATGAGCCAGGAGTAGCCCCTGTGCAACACCGGGTATGACCTCCCCAAAAAATCAGGAATTCTGTGATGAGAGCGACTGAGCCAACTGTGTACTCCCTCCCCAAGACTGTACCCCATCTGGAGACCTGAGCCCCCTGAGTCGGGAACCCCCTCCTTCTCCCATGGTGAAGAAGCAGAGGAGGAAAAAGCTGACAACACCGTCCAAGACGGAAGGCTCGGCGGGGCAGGCCGAAGGTGAGGTCCCAGGGCAATTGGGTTCCACCCCCCCATCCCCACCCCTCCTGCCGGACCTGGCCTGGCTCCTGCTGGAGGAGAGGAGGTGGCTGGCCCAGGGCTTGGCTCTCAGGATCACTTTGCACATAATCCAGCGAAAAGATGGAGTCCTGGCCCACTCCTGCCTCCCAGCCCAGTGTCCCCCACCCCACCCAAGTGTGTAGCTCCTGCTTCCTCTCCTAATGATCCTGCAGTTCTGGCTCTTGTCCGTGGCTCTGCACCTGCGCCCAGAAGAGCCTGTGTGTCCCCCTGCCCAGGGGATTCAGCCCCGGTACTCAGTGTCCCCCGCTGACTCCTCAGTTGCACCACTGATCACCCCATCCCTCTGCTCAGTAACTTTCCAAGATAGACGGCTACCCCAGTTGCTCCTGGCCACAGTTCACCCCATTCCTTGCCCTCAGGGATTCCTCCTGAACCCAGGGCCCTCTCATCCCAGGTCTGTGACCCCAGTTCTGTCGCTTTTCTGGATGTCCACTTAGCCCCTGACCGTCCCTTCCCCTCCCCTAGACCCAGCTCCCCCTGGGCCACCAGAACTGGTCCCCGCATCCCCGCGCTCGGCTGGGCACCGGCCTTGCCTACTCTCATGGCTCTTGGCTTCCGCTCTACTCTGCTCCGGGGCCACTGACTTTAGTTCTGCTTTCTCTCCCCGTCTGTCTGTCCTGCTTTGTCTCTGGCACTCTTGTCACTCTTCCTCCACCTCTCCACCTGCCTCTCTCTCTCTCTCTTCCCGGCTTCTTTCTCTGTTGTGCTCTCCATTCTATCTCTATCTCCTTCGCTTCGGGAAACCAGCCAAGCGCAAAATGTGGAAACTAAAATCCTTTGGTAGTTTAAGAAATATTTATAAAGCAGGTAACAAGCGGGGAGCTGGGAGGGGTGCTCAGCTGGGACGCAGGGGGTGGGGGTGCCGCGGCCCTCCCCTGCATGTGCTTGGGCATCCTGCCGTCGCCCGCCCGCTGCTTCCCCCGCCCTCTGCCCCACTCCCAGGGGCTTGGGACGGGCATCTGGGAGGAAGGGTTTGGGGAAGTCCGCTGCTGTCTGGGCTCTGTTCCTAATGATCCCATCCCACCCCCCCACCGCTACCCAGAGGAAAACTTCGAGTTCCTGATTGTCTCCAGCACCGGCCAGACGTGGCACTTCGAGGCAGCCAGTTTTGAGGAACGGGACGCCTGGGTGCAGGCCATTGAGAGTCAGATCCTTGCCAGCCTGCAGTGCTGTGAGAGCAGCAAAGTCAAGGTAGCCGGGCCGGGAGGTCGTGGGGAGAGCCAGGCGAGCGTCTGCGCGGTCCGGAGCAGGGCCGTGAGAGCCCGCGCTAACCCGCAACCCTCTCTGCAGTTGCGCACAGACAGCCAAAGCGAAGCCGTGGCCATTCAGGCCATCCGGAACGCCCAGGGCAACTCCATCTGCGTGGACTGCGGGGCGCCCAGTGAGCACCAGAGGGCGCCAGAGGGACCCGGGCGGGCGCGCGGTGTCCGCGAGTGGCGGAAGGCGGGCGCGGGGCGCCACGCCGGGAGCCAGCCTGACCCACGCTCTCCCCGCAGACCCTACGTGGGCCAGCCTGAACCTGGGCGCCCTCATCTGCATCGAGTGCTCGGGGATTCACCGCAACCTGGGCACACACCTGTCTCGCGTTCGCTCCCTCGACTTGGACGACTGGCCGCGGGAGCTGACCCTGGTGCTGACGGCCATCGGCAACGACATGGCCAACCGCGTGTGGGAGAGCGACACGCGGGGCCGCGCCAAGCCCACGCGGGACTCGTCGCGGTGCGTGCGCGGGAGGAGGCCCAGAGAAGGGGGCTCTCGGGAGCGGGGGTCTTTCGGGTGGGGTGCGGATTGGTGAATGGGGTGGTCCCCTCCACCCCCCGTTTTTTCGGGTCGTGCAGGGAGGAGCGTGAGTCGTGGATTCGCGCCAAGTACGAGCAGCTGCTGTTCCTGGCGCCGCTGGGCGCGAGCGAGGAGCCGCTGGGCCTCCAGCTGTGGGCTGCGGTGCAGGCCCAGGACGTGGCCGCCGTCCTCCTCCTTCTGGCCCACGCGCGCCACGGGCCGCTCGACACCAGCGTGGAGGACCCGCAGCTCCGCTCCCCGCTCCACCTGGCGGCCGAGCTCGCCCACGTTGTCATCACGCAACTGCTGTTGTGGGTACGTGAGTGGGCAGAGGCAAAGGGGTCTTTGAGGGGGCTGCCCGGTGTGACCCCAAAAGCAACAAAACGAAACAAAACAAAAAACCCCAGAAAACCCCATGGCCTGGAGCGATAGCACATCCCATATGGTCCCCTGAGCACCACCAGGAGTAATTCCTGAGTGCAGAGCCAGGAGTAACCCCTGTGCATTGCTGGGTGTGACCCAAAAGGCAAAAAAAAAAAAAAACCCAAAACCCAAAGGGGTCTTGGAGGGCGCCATCCCCGGAAACAGGCCGGCGTGGGCGGCGGCGTGTGAGCGGGGCGGCCGGGTGTTCGCCCAAAGCCCCGCTGCGGGGGAGCCACGGGACGCAGGGCGCGCCGGCCGGCTGCGCGCGGTAACTCTGCCCCTTGCGCTTCCCAGAACGGCGCCGACGTGTCGGCCCGCGACGCGCAGGGCCGCACGGCGCTGTTCTACGCCCGCCAGGCTGGGAGCCAGCTCTGCGCCGATATCCTGCTCCAGCACGGCTGCCCCGGGGAAGGCGGCAGCACGGCCACCACCCCCAGCGCGGCCACCACCCCCAGCATCATCGCCACGCCCAGCCCCCGCCGCCGGAGCAGCGCCGCCAGCGTGGGCCGCGCCGACGCCCCCGTCGCGCTGGTATAGTTGCCCAGCGGGAGAGACATCCCCCCCCCCCACACGGGCCGGGCAAGACCACATCGGGTGGGCCGCTGGACAGATGCACCCACTCACCTCTCCAGTCCGCACCCCACCCCACGGGAGCACTTCCTCCCCCACCCTCCCACGCACACCCCTCCCCGACGAGGGCACAGCTTCCACCCCACCCCCACGCCTCCCGGAAGACACCAACTCACCTCCCTCTCCCCCATCGAGGCATGGAGACCCCAGCTCGGCACACGTCCCCTCTCCTCTCTTCCGCACTCGGATTGCTCTGGGTCGACCTGGGGATGCGCCCCGGCCGCGGGACTCGCTCCCCGGCGCTGGCACCTGCCGCGCGCGCCCCCCGCGTCCTGCCCGTGCGCGACGGTCCCGCGGCGGGAGCACACACACCCAGGCTGGCTCCTGGGGCGCCGCCTCGCCAGAGGGAGGGGGTCGAGCCCCAGGACTCGGGGCCAGTTCTCGGGACCCCCACCCCTTCCATGCTAATCTCACTGCCCAGTGAAGCGGGAAGGGCAGCGAGGGGCAGGACCCCTGCTGCCCGCCCATGGGGGTAGAGGGGTCCCCAACCCTTTCCGTGAAAGGGACCATGAGGAGTGGAAATCAGGCCATCCCCTCACACCCACCCATGGAAGGAAGCGAAAGGGCTGGGGGAGCCGCGAACCTGGGGCCCTCCTCACTGCTCTGTGGGAGGGAGAAGGAGCGGAGGGTCGGGGAGGGACCTTGTAATTTATTGCTTTGTTCCCCAACTAGGGGGAAGGGGCGGGGCCGAGGGCTTGGGGAGGGCGGTTCAGGGTAGGGGACGCCGAGGGTGGGTCGGGGTGGGGTGGGGTGGGGGTGCTCTCGGGTTGTGAGTGTCTGTGACCGTGACTGCGTACCTGTGACTGTGCAGCGCCTGTGGTGATCCGGGGTGGGGGCACTCCTGAAATGGGACCCCTCCCCCTCTATTCTTTCTGTCCAGCCCCCTCTCCCAAAGGAGCAGCTCCTGACCCGCCCCTCCACCTCACCCTTCCTCCCGGCCAGGGCTGAGAGGATGTGAGGTGGTTGGGAGGGTTTCCAGGCCTCCCTCCTCATCCCGGGAAAGGAGGTGGTGGGGGGCGCTCAGCCCTTTCTCCCTCGAACAAGCCCCCTTGGGCCGTCTGTGTCAGTGGTTTCCGGTCTTTCTCTCTCCCCTCCCCCCCCTTGGCTAAGATATTTTGCAAAGGACCAGGTCACTGAGGAGGGGGCTTGCCTCCTCCCCAGCCCCTCCAGGGCAGGTGGTGTGAATCTTCTCAACAGCAATTAAAGAGGAAGTGATTTTGTCTAGGGGCTGAGCCGCTGGTGTGTTCTTGAAGAGGTGTTTGGTCAAGGTGGGGGACGGAAGGTGGGGAGGGCCCGCAGGGGGCCTCCTGTTGGGGCTGGTGGGGGCCGGGGGTGAGGGTGCCCAGGTGGCAGGTCAGATACTTCACCAGGTGCCACAGCTCGCAGCTCCTATGTGGAAAGAGCCAGCAGGGGAGCCAGCAGCAGTAGGGCCTGGGCCCCCAGTTGAGCTGTTCTGGAAAGGAATTGGGGTTCAGTGCTTAGGAGAGTGCATAGGTCACTGACCCCTTGGAGAGCGGAGAAGATGGTATGGGTTTAGTGATGAGCCGGGAGTTGGGCTCAGGCCTGATTTTGAAACTGATAGATATGAGGCCTCTGTCCAGTGTAGACAGAGGGACAGAGACAACGTGAAGGAAATGGGAATTTATTGGGGTGCACTCCTGGATGGAACTCTGCGGACCTCGGATGAGGCTGGGGTCGATCTGTGCCCTGGGAGAGACTAAGGGGGCTTTTAAGGGAGAAGGGAAGGGGTGTGCTTGTCTTGGCTCCTGAAGGGGGTGGATGTGAGGAAGAATGGAATGCAGCCTGGTGGCTTCCCCTGGCCAGGAGGGCCATAAGACCTGTCTTCTGTGCTGGGGGCAGGGTGACCTTTGATTCTGGAAATGTCACTATTTTATCTGCCAGCTGTGTTTTGGGCCAGAGCAAACCTTACAGAAACCAGGCCTTCCTTGTCATTGCTAGCTGGTCTTTAGCTGGTTACCTTGGTGGCATCTCTTTATTTGCACGTTGGGTAATGTCTGCCTAGAGGGCAACTTTCAAGGGCTTGGGTGGGAGCCGTGGGAGAGGACCCTGGCCAGCCCATTCCCCTTGAGGTCCTGGTACCCAAAGGAGAGCTGATAGTAGGCGTCTGTCTCCTGGCAAGGAGGGAAGAGGTGGAAAATCTCCAGTCCGCAGAAGTCCAAGCTGTCCACCAACTCCATGCCCAGCTGATGCACTTTGTCCACTTACATCTCACGGTCAGAGCCACGAGGTCACTCTGGTCAGGCCAGTACTGGCACCTGGCACTGCAGCCCTCAGGGTTCTGCTGGCACAGCCACCCAAGCGTTGTCACGAGGGGCCAATCGATGGTCCTGGGTGCCCTCAGCTCCACGCATGTTTAGCTGCGGGTGTGCTACTGCGCTGACACCCGGCGCGGGTCCCTCTGACGTGGTTGCCCCGGTTCTGTAAGCTCCAAGACTGGATGACCAGAATCCCGGGGGCGGGGGTCTGTGTGCATTTATTGCAGGAGATGGTGGGTCAAGGGGTGGGTGCAAGTTTGCGGCGTGGAGTCAAAGAGCAGGGAGGAAGGGGAAGTGGCAAAGACACGCCCCTGGAAGACCTGATCCCCTGGACTCTCCGGCTTGGTGACCGCGGAAGCCGGCGAGTGTGAGAGGATGTGGGGAGCAGTGCAGGACCCAGGGAGGAGGTGATCGCCGCAGGGGAAGTCACTCTCATTCCAGCAGCCACAGGTGGTCAAGGTGTGAGCAAGTCCCACAGCAGATCCCAGCAAGAGGAATCCAGTGATCAGCGGGATCTGTTCTTCATGGGCTGCCTCTTTGGCCTTGTGGGGAGATGTCCAGGGTGACCCCACAGCAAGCCCTGCAATGGGGTGAGAGAAGACTCTGGAAGGGGCTCCCTGGAGAGCTGAAGGACAACCGCCATCCCCCTCAGATCCCCACGCTGCTGACTTGTGTGTCTCCTCACCTGGATTCCTGCCACTCCCAGCCCCTCCCTGCTCCTAGCTGCCACCCCAGCCCCTCCTCGGTTGGCCTGAGCAAAGCTGGTGCCGTCCAGCCTTCTCCAAGGGAGTTTTACCAAAAGCCAAAGGAAAGTGAAGAGGAATTTATTATCGAAACAATATGAAAAGTTTTAATATAAATTATTTAATACAAAAATGATTAAATCCAGTGGTTTCCAGAACTTGGTTTGCGAATGATGTTAAGATTTTATTCCCATCAGAGCCAAGGCCACTCTCCAGCCCAGGTCTCTGTCCAGCCTCTCAATCTCTGATCAGCGTTTGGGATTCTCCTTAAAGACGCTCGCCTCCAGATGCATCTGGCTCAGGCTGTTTATTCTAGGTGACTTCCAGGTGCTGTGCCAAATGTGTGTGTGGAATTGTCAAGCCTCATCACAACCTAGCTAGGCCAGGACTTTTAGCCAAAATTCACCTGTGAGGAAGTGGCACTTGAAAAGCCAGTTTGTTCAAGCCAGTTTGTTTAAGACAGGGTGAAGGGTTGAACCCGTCTTTCTGACTGTGGTTGCATTGGAGACAGCATCTCAGATCTAATACTGGTTAAACATCCCCACCCGGCCCCCAAGATATACAAATGGCTCTGGAAAGCAGGTTTTTGTAAGTGTGCCCATCTAGGTTTGCCATGCACGACCTTCAGTAAGGGGGCTGGTCTCAGGTCACTTCTGTCCATATAACAAACAAAAGCCTCCTTTCCTGTCTGGGATCTCTGAGTGCCTTCCCCTTGATTCTTAAATTGCCTCCTCCCCTTCTTTCCTAATCTTTTTTTAAAAAGATTTTTAATTTTATTTTTTGATTTTTGGGGTCATACCCGGCAATGCACAGGGGTTACTCCTGGCTCTTCACTCAGGAATTACTCCTGGCAGAGCTGGGGGACCATATGGGATGCTGGGATTTGAACCCGGGTCGGCCGTGTGCAAGGCAAACGCCCTACCTGCTGTGCTATCGCTCCAGCCCCTCCCCCTCCCCCTTTTTTTAAACATTTTATTGATTGATTGATCTGGCCACTTCTGGCGATGCTCAGGGATTTCTCCTGGCTCTGTACTCAGGAATCACTTGTGGCGGGTTCCGGGACCACATGGGACATTGGGGATTGAACCCAGGCCGGCTGTATGCAAAGCAAGTGCCCCCCGCCATGTACGATCACTCTGGGCCCTTTTTTTTTTCTTTCTTTTGGTTTTGGGGACACACCTGGCAAGGCTCGGGTTACATCTGGCTCTGTAAAGAATCACTCCTGATGGTGCTGCAGGAACCATATGGGATGCTGGCAATTGAACCTGGGTTGGTCGTGTGCAAAGCAAGCACCTTACCTACTGTACGATTGCTCTGGTCACCCTCCCCGCCTTTTTTTCCCTTTACATCTGGTAGAGCTCAGGGATGACTCCTAGCAGTGCTCTAGAACACCATGTGATGCCAGGGATGGAACCCAGGGCTCTGGTACACAAAGCCTGTTCTCAGCCCTTTGAGCCATCTCCCTGGCCTTTTCTTGGCTGGTGAGTCAGTTTGGAATCTCTAGCAAGAGACTTTCTGCCTCAGGGGCTGGAGAGAGATGACTGTGGGGAAGACACCACACATGGTTTCCTGAGCCCTGCCAGGAGGCCCGCATCTGCAATTGGCAATGCAGAGATGCAGATGCTGCCCAGGCCCTGCCCTCCTGCAAGGCAGGATGAGAAGCTGATCACGGGGAATGTTGCAGCGATTGCCGAGGTGGGTCTGGCTTTGGAGAGCAGCCTGCTTTGGGGAGAGCTCAGCTGGAGGGTCGCCATGGAGGGCTAAGTCCATGGTGTGCATTTTAGTGTCAAGGGGAGATAAACACCAGAAATGGGCAGATGAGGCAAAGGAGGGGACAAACACACACTGCAAGGGTTCTGGTCCCAGTGCCTTTGATTCCCCACCAGTCTAGGTTTCTTTTTTAGCGGGGGCACACCCAGCAGTACTCTGCACTCAGAAATCGCTCCTGGTGGAGTTTGGGGGATGACATGAGATTGAACCTGGGTTAGCCACGTGTGAGGCAAAGGCCCTTGGCGCTGTACAACTGCTCGGGCCCTACCAGCATTCTCCAATTCCTGCTGCCCATCACAGCCATCACCGAGGCCACTGGGCGCAGAGTGTGTGCCCCCCACCCTGATGAGAACACCAGCCCATCCTAATTCGAGCCCCCAACCCATCCCCTGAAGAGAGGAGATGAATGGACGGATGGTCCAGTTTTTTATTTAGAAACCTGATTGCTGAAGAAATGCGGGCTCTGTGCCCCGCTTCTCACTAGGACTGTCAGAGGTGGAGGCGCTCCCGTTTCCCCAGGAAGTGGGGGTGCCTTGATCGAGGCGAGGTTGTTGGGGAACAGTGTGGCTGGGAAGGGACATCGAAGTCCATCCAAGAGAAGGTGAGGTGGCCCCAAGACCAGGCATGACTAGAGAGGCCTGTGCTCCTGGGGCCTGTCCCTGGCCCGCCCCTCTGTCCTGTTGGAGCTTGAGTAGGGGAGGGGCCGGGGACAAACTGGGGGATGGTGACAGGAAATGTTGGGGGGACCGACAGGGAAGGGGGTGAGGGAGGTTTCTGCAAGTGCAAATTCATGGGCCCGGGGTCTGGCGGAGGGCTCTCGATGGAGCGGCTCCCCAGCGCCCCTGCACCCCCAGGAGGGCCCCCTTAGGGGCACAGCTCAGCTCGGCTCTGCTGCTTGGCCTTTAGGGCCCCTGGGGGTGGGGGGCAAAGGCAAGCTCGGTCTAGAAGACTCTGGACTCCTTGGGAGTCTGGGGGGCGGGGAAGGGGGTCTCAGAAGTCAAACTCGTCCATCTCCCCCGTGCCCTCCCCACCGGGCGAGCCCCACACGCGGCGGTAGTTGTTCTCCAGATCCTTCTGCCGTTGCCGTTCCTTCTGTGCCTCCTCGGCACCCTGGACCTGTGGGAGGATGTGACTGAGTGGCTGAGCCCCAAGGAGGCCCGGGGCAGGGGTGGGTGTGGGCACCCCCACTCCTTGGGCTCGCCGTGGGAACAAAGGGAAAGCCCAGCCTCGGCTGAGAGAACCCAGAAGCGCAGAATGGCTGGAGGGGGGCCTGCCTGATTCTCCACCTTCTGACTGTGCTAACCCTCCCGCCCCCATCCCCCGTAATATCGGCTGGCCCTCTAGTCTTGTGCACTGGCTCCTCATTCACTCCCTTCCTTCCTTCCTTTTTCTTTCTTCCTTTTTTCTTTTCTTTCTTTCTTCTTTCTTTCTGTTTTTCTATCTTTCTTTTTCTTTTTTTGCTTTTTGGGTCACATCCGGCAATGCTGGGGGACCTAGGGGATGCGAGGGATCAAATCCTGGTCTGTCCCCATGTAAGGCAAACACCCTGCCCACTGTACTCTTGTTCCGGCCCCTCACATGATTTTCATCTGTGACCCCCCTGAGAATATCCTGGGGTCCCAGATGCTTGGGGTGCGTGAGGTGGGGACACAGGCTGGGAGGCCCGTGATGTAGGATGCCTCTCACCAAGATATTGAAGAAAATCTCCTTGAGATTTTTTGTGTCCTCATCCGTCAGCCAACGTGTCTCCTCCTCGGTCCCGTCAGCCCCAGGTCGGACAATTTTGATCTCGATTTTCCCTGGAAAGGAGCGCCGTGGATAGTGAAGGGTGCCGGGGCGGGAGGCAAGGCTGGGCTTGGACACCCCCTGGGGCAGTGCGTCCCCCTGCCCCTTAGCTTTCTTGGGCTCTGCCACCTGTCTGTCTCAGCTGTAGACAGGCTTTCCCCGTTCGTCAGGGGACAGGCAGGTCCTGACTTGGGCCTCCACCTTGGGAGCCTGGTGATGGCTCAGAATCCTTGTCTTAGCTGGGGGATGACACTGAGCAGGGCCATGACTCGAAGGAGGGGCTGCAGAGACACCTCTGCAAGCCTGCCTGGGGCCTGGTGGGGAGTCAGGGTCACCTAAACGTGCCCCACCCTGTGCCAGCCTGCAGAATTCTCTCTTCCTCTTGCAGTAGCGCCTGCCCTCTGGGTGCCATCATTCTATGGTTCACCATCATGTACAGGCAAATGACTGTTTCCAGAAGTAAAATCCAGGCCACCTGGGCCAGACGAGGTGGCAGCAGCAGGTTGGGGGAGTGTAGATTGGCACCTGCAGGTGCTTGAGAGACACTTTGGGATGGAAGACAATGGGACGGAAGGGTTCAAACTCGACTCTCTTTGGAACGTGCTCTCCAGGCCTGCAGGAGGCTTGGGGGTGGGGGGGCAATGTCACATTGGTCCAGGCAATGGGCAGCTGGGCTCCCCCGGCTCTCCCTGGCTGGGGGGGCCTCTTTGGAGGCTAAGTCCTAACTCCACAAGCTGCTTCCTCCCTCAGGTGTGCATCTCTGGCACATTTGGTTCCCCGGCAGCTGTCTCTGGTTCTCTCCCCCATCTTCCACTCTCCAGGACAAAGGGCTGGGGGCAGTGGGTGGGTCAAGCCAGAGACCCAGCAGCTTCCTGAAAGAATGAAAAGGAAACCAGGCAAAGGGCTGAGGCGGCTGGCCAGGGGAGGGCCAGAGTGAGAAGCATGGTCGAGAAAGGAAGCGGCAAACGGCAAACGAGCCATCTCAGGAGGGATTCCCCGGAGACATCCTTGAGGGCTACTGAGCCGAGCAGTCTCCTTCCGCTCCTCCAGCGCTTACCTGCTGGCTGGGGTGCCAGGAGAGGCTTTTGGGGGACGAACTTCCTTTTCCGGTGCTTCTTCACTAGCTCTGGACTTTGCTTTTCCTCCAGCCTCTTGATGAGTTTGTTGAGGGTGGAGGTGAGGGCGAGAAGGGCCCGGTCACGCTCCGACTCCTTCTTCAGCCCGTCGGGGTCCAGCTCCTTCTCGGTCTGCAACAGCCCGGTGGGGCGCGGAGCGTCAGGGTCTGGGGACTAGGGCCCGGAGGTCCAGACTACTAGCTGAGTCCCATTCTTCTCCCTGACCCCCTCCCATCCCACTTGTTTTGGGTCGCATCAGGGGTTAGCTTCCCAGCTCAGTATTTGGGGACTGTTCTTAGGGGACACACGGTACCAGGCTCCAGCCACTCTGGTGCAGACAGCCGCTCACCGCTCTGGGGCCGCCCCCTCCCTTAATGAAGTTAAACACGCCCACTGGGGCGTGGCCATGCTGTGCTGGGAGGTGCCGCGTGCACCCTCGGCCCGCCCGGACACCTGGGCCAGAGCGGGGCTCACTTCCTGGATGATGCTGTCCAATTCCCGCTCCATGCCGGCCTTCACCTCCGAACGGAGCCGGTCTCGGTCTGAAGGGAGCAGAATTCCTTCCAGTTCCTTCTCAAATTCTCCCAGTAACTGCCGTTCATCTTCATCTTCATCTTCTTCCTCCTCCTCCTCTTCCTCCTCCTCCTCCTCTACTACCTCTTTCTGAGGTTCAGGGTCCCCCTTTTCCTTGACCTCTGGCTCCTTTGGAGGGGCTTCGGCAGCATCGCCTGCAGGTTGCTCTGGGCCTGTGTTGGGCTTTGCCTGGGTGGGCGGGGGTGGGGACAAAGAGCTGGGTGGAGAGGAGGGGCAGGGCTCCGCCCTCCCTCGGAAAGGGCCGGTACCTTTTTGGTTCCGCCTTTCAGCTCCTCTATCAATCGAATCAAATCTGCAGGACTCCGAATGACTTTGACTTGCACATTGTTGTGAAAATCTGGAAAGAACAATTAAGAAACGTGTGGTCGGAGAGATGGTACAAATGGCACCAAACCCCACCAGGAGTGATCGCTAAGTGCAGAGCCAGAAATAAGCCCTGAGCACCGCCAGGTGTGGCTCAAAAACTAGAAAATGGAAAAAAAAAAAGAGCGGGCTTGGCTAGTCTAAATTCTGTTTTGACTGTGTGCAGTGGGGTAGGGGGTGGGGGTTGGGGAGGGGACCAAAGACTGAACCCTGAGCCTTATACAAACCAAGTGCTCTACAAGCTGAGCTATCTCTGGCCCTATTTTTTCCTGGGGTTTTGTTTGTCTTGTTGTTGTTTTCGGGCTACCCCCAGTGGTGCTCAGGGCTTACTCCTGGCTCTGTATTTAGGGATCACTCCTGGAGGGGCTCCGGGGTTGAATCCACTACCAGGCAAACACTGTAAGCCTTGCACTGTTTGACTTGCTAAGGAGAGGCAATTCAGGAGCTCCTGCAGAATGAGCTGTCAGTGTGGTCAGGGAGTGAGGGTTGGTCATGCCCTTTGGAGAGCACTGGCCCAGCGTGGCGCTGGGCTCATGCACTGCTGATGCTCTCACCCTCACTCCAGGTTTGAAGGGCACCCAGGAGATTCTGGGGCCAAATACTCCTCTTCTGAGGCTCCTGTGCACCATTTCCCACACATATAAATCTACTCAGGACCAGGACTAGGCATCCTGCTGCAAATGACAAATTCCTTCTCTTTAACCCTCACGACAAGTTATCCTCTAAGGCAGGGGTTGTCACTGCACTCGATGGGGGAAGAAATTGAGGTTAATTATCCAGGATCACCAAGTCAGCCAAGAGTGGAGGGGCTGGAGTGATAGTATAGTGTGTAGGGTGTTTGCCTTGCATGCGGCCGACCTGGGTTTGATTCCTGGCATCCCATCTGGTCCTCCAAGCACTGCCAGGAGTGATTTCTGAGTGTAGAGCCAGGACTTAACCCCTGAGCATTGCTGGGTGTGACCCAAAAAGCAAAAAAAAGGTCTCCAAAGACGATTAACTCCCGGAGAAGTGACTCGGCTGCTGGCCTGGCTGCATAACCCCCTCCTTGGTACTGAGTTCTGCTTTAACCACCGCCCTGCCAAGCCAGCAGTAAGGCAGAGGCCCAGGGCTTTGCTCACCGTCAGCGGGGCCTGGAGTGCGATCTGCTGCCTCGGGGATCGGTTCTGGCTCCTAGGAATGGAAAACCAGGCAGTTTCTGAAGGCTCTGACTCTAGGCACGTGTGATCCCACCGTCACGGCCAGGCCGATGGAGAGCACCTTAGAGTGCCCTCTGCTCCCAGGGTCTCACCCAGAACCCCCAGGGTCTGCCTCACAGGAAAACTGGAAACGGGCACTCACCTCAGCCAGGACTTCCTCCACTTCCGGGGCCTGTGCCTCTGGCTCATGGAGAATCTTCCAGAAATCTGACTCCTTACTGTTTTCCTTGGGTGGACTTGCACCTGGGATACGAAGAACAGGGAAGAATCGGAGAGAGCAGGGGAAAGAGGAGTCAACACGACAGTCCCCATTACCCTCCTGTGCTGCTAAGGGGCCAGACCCCCAGCACGCATGACCCCATTGCCAACAGCCAGCACAGGACAATTGGTCTGGGTCAGGGAAGCCAGGGAGACCTGTTTCAGAGCACACGGTGGGTGAGGTCCTACCTGCTTTCTCGGGGGCTGCTTCCCCCGACTCCCCAGACTTGGTCTCGCTCCACCTGGGGGTGTCCAGGTCTTGCAACTCATCTACGATTTTGTCTCCATATTGTTTGGAGTCTCCTGAAAAAGAGGGTGGGTGGGAGGGGACGTATTTTTCTGGGTGGGTCACTATTTTTGCTGTGTGTCTCTCACCTCTCCGTTGCCTGTCTTTCTTCCCCTTCCTCTTTCACCTTTTTTAACTTGAGAAGGGCGATGCCCAGCAGTGCTTGGGGGCCATGTGGTGTCGGGACGCAGCTCAGGGCTACGCATGTACCAGGTGCATGCTCTGCCCTGCCGGCAGGAAGCCCCTGCTTCCCGCCCTTACTCACCGGTCTCCCTCTGCATGTACGCCAGGTACTCCTCAGGCTGCAGGGCAGGGTGGCAGAGAATGGCCTGGGGAGCCGCGCTGGGCGGGGGCCGTAGGAGAGGGTGGGGGCAGAGCCGAGGAGTCCGAATGGTCAGCACGTAAGAGCAGGACAAGGGCTCGTCCACACGATCAATGTAGTCCCCTGAAATGCCAGCACCCTCGTCGCAGAGGAACTGCAGGCCAGAGAGGGTGAGCACAGTGTGAGCACCAGTGGCACTAGGCTACCGTTCTCAGAATCCCGGTCCTGTTTCAGCACTTATGGTGCGTCAGGTGACATGCCCAGCCATGGACACGCCACTTGATATATATTCGCTCATTTCATGGTCATAAGAAAGTAGGATGGTGTCTCAATTCTGTGGCTCTCTTTGTTTTTCCTCATGGGGGCCAGAGTGATAGTATAGTGAGTAGGATGCTTGCCTTGCATGATGCTGACTGGTTCAATCTCCGGCATCCCACGTGGTCCCCTGAGCACTGTCAGGAGTGACCAGGGTGCAGAGCCAGGAGTAATCCCTGAGCATTGCCAGGTGTGGACCTCTGAACCCCGCAAAAATAAAAAGTTTCTTTTTCCAAAACGACCCACTGTTAAGTGGTAAAAGCAGGAACTGAAATCAGTCGGCTTATCTATAGGTGAATGAACTGACTTCTGTCTTACATCCTAGCTTTATATAAAGTGTGTGTGTAGTATACTGCAAAATACACTCTTTGATTCATTGTGTATGTTAATGGTTTAAAAAACTTCATTTTAAGGCTCTTGAACAGAAGGAGAATAAATTAATCCTGGCCTCTGCAAAGTATGAATGCAATATGGTAATTTCCAAATTATTAAGAGTTGAAAGACAGAAAGAAGGCCCCACTTCTGGAACAAGAGCATGAGCTGCACGGTGCACCCACACTCCTAAAAACACCCCCAAAGAGATCAAATGAAGCATAATACAATTTTAAATTTCTCCAGTTTCCTAGGTACACAATAAATTAAGAAACATCTATTCAAGGGCTGGACAGATCGTACGACACTTGCTTTGCTAATAACTCTTGTTTTTACTTTTTGGGGCACACCTGGCAATGCACAGGGGTTACTCCTGGCTCTGCACTCAGGAATTACTCCTGGCAGTGCTCGGGGGACCATATGGGATGCTGGGAATCGAACCCAGGTCGGCTGCATGCGAGACAAATCCCTACCCACTGTGCAATCACTCCAGCCCCAACAAAAAGAATCTTCTCGTAAAGAAAACCTACACCTGTAGTGTTAAACTATATGCATGAAAAAAAAAAAGTTCTTTTAGTGTGGGGCCCCACACCCAGTGTGTCTCAGGGCTTACTTCTGGCTCTGCACTCAGAGATCACTCCTGGTGGTCTCAAGGGACCACACATGGGATGCTGTGGATTGAACCTGGGTCAACTACAGGCAAGGCAAATGCCTTATTTGTTGTATTATTGCTCCAGCCCCCCCTCAACCATTTTTTGGGCTTTTTGGGTCATACCGTGTGATGCTCAGGGGTTACTCCTGCCTCTGCACTCTGGAATGACTGTGGCGGTACTTGGGAGACTATATGGTATGCCGGGGGTTGAACCCGTGTCAGCCACGTGCAAGGCAAACACGCTACCCTCTTTATTAAAGCTCTGGTCCCCCTAAAAATAAAGAAAACTTGGCAATGGTTTCATAGGGAAAATATGAGGCAATCATTCAAAGAATGAAAAACTGCAAAATGTAGAGAAAGTAGTAACACTTTTAAATTCATTCTTTTCTTTCCCTTCTTCCCTTCCTCCATTTCTTCTACTACTGAGATTTATCTTCAGGTCCCTAACTTATTAAAAGGTAAAGGTAAAGGCCCTCCCGTTGATCGTCGATTTGCTCGAGCGGGCCCAGTAACGTCTCCATTGGAGACTTTGTTGTTACTGTGTCTGGCATATCGACTACTCTCGGTAGCTTGCCGGGCTCTCCGAGAGGGGCGGAGGAATCGAACTCGGGTCGGCCATGTTGGCTGCTTGTAAGGCGAACGCCCTACCCGCTGTGCTATCGCTCCAGCCCCCCTAACTTATTATTGTTTAAAAATATTTTTTGTTATTAATGTAATATGGTAAAAACAGCATTAATGTTGATGTTTCATTGTGCAACTGTACTTTCACCACCACAAGTGCTGAAGAAAGACCAAGGACAGGCCAGATAATCTCATCAAAAGCCACGATCCAGAGACTCACTGTTCTTCTCTCTTGAAAAAGAACATAAAACGACATGCCATACAAAAAAGTATAGTCAAAGTGACATCTGCACTTGTTTGTTCATTGCAGCACTGTTTACAATAGCCAGATTCTGGAAAGAACCTGAGTGCCCAAGAACAGATGACTGATTAAAGAAACTTTGGTACATCTACACAATGGAGTACTATGTAGCTGTTAGAAAAGATGAAGTCATGAAATTTACATACAAGTGGTACTACATGGAAAGTATCATGCTAAGCGGAAATGTGTCAGAAAGAGAAGGACAGACATAGAGAGACTGCATTTATCTGGGAAACATAAAGTAGCAAAATAGGAGACTAACACCCAAGAATAGCTGAGATAAATATCAGGAGGTTTTCTCCATGGCTTGGAGGCCAGCCACACATGCTAGGGGAAAAGGCAGCTCAGATAGAGAAGGGAGCACCAAATAAAGGTGTTGGGAGGATCCTCCCAGGATGGGAGATACATGCTGAAAGCAGACTATAGACTGAACATGATTGCCACTCAATGCCTCTTTTGCAAACCACAGCACCCAAAAGGAGAGAGAGAGAGAACAAAAGAGAATGCCCTGCCACAGAGGCAGGGTGGGATGGGGGGTGGGGGATGGGAGGAATACTGGCATCCGTGGTGGTGGAGAATGGGCACTGGTGGAGGGATTGGTATTTGATCATTGTATAACTGAAACCCAAGCACAAAAATTTGTAAGTCTACAACTGTACCTCATAGTGTTTCACTAATAAAAATTAAAAAAAAAAAGACCCGACATGCCATAGTCATGCTGCCAGACCCTGTGCCAGGCTGGTTCCCGGAGGGGGTGGGTGAGGCCCCTCCCTGCCCCAATGGACCCAACCCCAGCAGCCAAAAACCTCCAGAATTCAATCACTGCCATGCTCACAGCCATTTTTCACACTCTCGGGCTGAGCCTCACCCATAAGTAAACCTATTCTTAGACTGCAAGGCGGCTTCGACATCTTATACCTCACACCACTCACATTCCAAGAGTAGCACACCTCATTAGATGTGGTTTAAAGTAGAAGGCAACCAATCTTAGAGAGAAATATATTTTTACAAATATATATATATATATATATATATATATATACACACACACATGGTTCAACCTTTAACAACATATTAGTAATCGCTTATGAAGGGCTTAATGGCCCTTGAGTGAAATACAACAATCTTTACACTCTCCCCTAAAGGAAGTTTTTTGGAGCATTTTCAGTGGTTTTTCATAACAAACAATACATAATAAATTATTTCAATTCTGTTTTGGGGCAGAGGTTGGAGTTCAGGATGGAAATATCCAAAATATAGTGGTGGAAAGGTGTAACGGTGGTGGGACTGGTGTTCGAATATTAAATGTTATCAAATATTGTGAACTACTTTATATATATATGTATATATATATATATATATATATATATATAAAGACCAAGGACATAGCTTGGTGATTTAGACCAAAGATATATTTCACCGTTTTGCACATGTGTGGTGCTGCGTTCAATCCCCAGCAAGACACACACACACACACACACACACACACACACACGAACACACGCGCACACACACACGCAGCTTTTTGGAATGAAGAAATAGCACAACTGGCAATAATGCATGCTTCACATGCAAGAGCTCTGGGTAAGATCCACAGCACCACACAGTCCCTGAGCACCACCCAGAGTGACAACTATACAGTTAGATGGGAATAACCCATGAGCACTGTTGGGTGTGGCCCACAAAACAAATCAAGTGCCCAAGACCCTCTACTAATGTCCTCATACCACTTCTAGCCTTTTATTTCCTAACACCTATTTCTCCCCTACCCCTTCACTTGGTAACTAACTTCATTCTTGTGGTCAGAGTCTAGAGGTTTGTTTTCACTGGATACTGTCCATTGCCTTTCTCTTTTTTTTTTTTTTTTTGGTAGTTTCATTCTCATTTATTTCCAGTTTTTTTAATAATTGCAGTTTTAATATTTTTTGTAGACTTACTATTGCCTTTCTTTGATTCTTTATGCACCACATGTAAGTGAGATAATTTAGTATTTGTGCTTCTCCCTCTTGACTATTTTGCTTATCATGCACCCTCTAGTTTCATCCAAGTTGCAGGGAAAGGAAAGATTTCTCCCCCCTTTTTTTAATTTTTAGAACTCAGTAGTCTGGGTTTACACCTGGCTCTGCATTCAGGAATTACTCCTGGCAGACTCGGGGACCATATGAGGTGCTGGGGGTTGAACCTGGGTCACTAGCATGCAAGGTATATTGCACTACCCACTGTACTATCTCTTTGGTCCCAAATTTAATTTTTTCCCCTTTTTTGGGTGACACCTGGTGATGCACAGGGGTTACTCCTGGTTCTGCAATCAGAAATTACTCCTGGCAGTGCTCAGGGGACCATACAGGATGCTGGGGATCGAACCTGAGTCAGCTGCGTGCAAGGCAAACGCCCTACCCGCTGTACTATCACTCTAGTCCCTAATTTTTTCTTATAGCTGAGTAGTATTACACAATTTCTTGACCTACAGATCTGTCACTGAACATTTAGGTTATTGCTATATCATATTTTAACTTCTTTTTTTAAGGCCAGCATAAACTTGTTGCTAAAATACAATAAGAACAGTCCTAGAAGGAAAAACCACTGGTCAACCTTTCTCAGGACAGGTGCTCCACCACGGAGCTTGGGCTCCAATATAATTGTGTTTTATACAATTTTACATATTATTTTCTATTTCTCAGAAAGTGTTTGAAATATGTGACCAAAACACTAAAAAACAGAGGGAAAGGCTGGATAGAGAGTTCAATGGTTGAGTGCAGGCTTTCCATGCAGGAGGCCTGGGCTGATCCCTGGGCCCTCTTGTCCCCTGAAAATCAGGAGCAAGCACAGAGCTGGATATAGCTCCTGACTACCCCCTGGTGTGAATGCCAAAACAAAGAAAAGAAAGACTGCA